TTAACCCGTTCCAGCAACGAGTCTCACTGCCGGCCGCGGTATACGCAGGAATTGGCAAGTTGCTCGTCCACTTTTCCCGCCTGCCCGCGAGTTTCTTCTTGAGCCTGCGCAGTCCCTTTTCAATGGGGACGAGGTGTACGGATAGGCGTACCAGAAGAAACCGAACCCTTCTGTTGCCGGTTGCCAAGGGACTTGTTTGGAATCAAAAGAGGCAGATCGACAAACCTCGACTTGCCCTTCCAACACAACGACGTCTCGACCGACATCAAGTAGCTCCAAATCCCGTGCCCGCAGACGCCACAATCCGTTCTCGGGCTTCCACCTCTGAGTCTAGAAGCATTTAGGGGGCCATGGCAAAAGAGACGTTCGCAGGGCTGGGCGGGCGGAAGAGTGCCCTTCTTCTTGACTAGTGGAAGAGAACGAATGCAAGGCGTGGTGTGTGTGTGCGTGTGTGTGGGAGGCATTCTCAGACGTCCCAATAGTCAGCAGCCACAGACGGCAACACACCGAAGCGATAGACATTTGGAGTCTTGGACGGACATCCGTTCTCATCAACGGTTCGAACGTTCCTAATCCGGGGGAGGTCCAGACTTCAGCCCAACGGCCGCTCGCTTGTGATGGCATGGCATGGCTCTGAGCCGTACCGTACGCCGCCTCTCTCACACCTGAGAGCAAGACGCAGCCGTACCGGGAAACGCAAGGCGCCCCGAGATTAACCTGCTCCCCGTGCTGCGGCGTAGCAGCGCCGTGCCTCGAGGCATGTCCAATGCACGTCCCGCAGCGGCTGGCGGTGATCCTCCTCTTGCCTCAAGCTCGTCCTCCTCCTCCTCCTCGACCACCACCACCACCACCACCAGCCGCTAGCCGTCCAGTGACATCTCAGCCTCACCCACGCTCGCAGTGAACCAGCCAAACATTCGAATGGGATCGACCCGGGCAAGAGGGGGGTCACACGGCGCTCCGAGCTCGAGGGAGGCGGCTACCTGCGCCGCGCCGCCGCCTTTTCCCCCTCCAACCCCTGCGCGATGCATCACGGCCGGCCGGCCGTCCGTCCGTCCTCTTTGTTCGGAACGTCTCCCTTTGGCTGGGCTGGAAACGGCATCTTTCTCTGTCCAAACTCGGTGTGAGAATATTGGGGATACGGGAAAGGGGAGGGGTCTCAGTCAAACCAACCGGTCAGTCAAGTAATGTCTTCGTAAGCATACGAATCGAGGCACAAGGCCGGGGACCTCACTGCTACTCATCAGCTTCTCAGCTAAAAACCGGCATGATACCCTTCAAGAAAAGCAACGAGAACGCGCGGGAGGGGGGACTGCGATAAATACCGTAATACCGCATAATCGAACAAGTAAATTGTTTCTGTTTCCGCTAGCTGCCAGCTTGATGCCTCGCCTTGCCTTGCCTTGCCTTGACGCGCTCGCTCGCTCGCTGCTCTGCAGGACAAGGGGCCTTGCAAGCACACCTGCAGCCCGCCAAAACCCGAGAGACGAACGTTTGGACGATCCCGCAACGTCGGACGTCACTTCTGTTCTCGGTAGGGCCATCCGGGGAAAAAGAAACGACCAACAATGGGAAGAAAGATGTCTCGACTAGAGAAGGGCCCTGCGAGGACGGGGGTGTGTTCTTGCTGCTTCCACGGGCTTTGAACGATGACCAGGGGGACACGCATTTTCATTCCCCGGAATATGGCCAAGTACGACATGCATATCGAAATTCCGCAGGATTGTGTCTCGAAGATGTCAATCATATCGTATCGGTCGGTGTTCGTTGCGTCGGGTGTTGTCAAAGGATGGGAAGGCTTCCTCAACAGACAGAGAGAGAGAAAGGTTTGAGGAGGCGAAGTCGTTTCTAACATGCCGTTGTGGTCGCGGGTTCCAAGTCGGACTAGAAGCTTTCGTAGCGCCTTCTTGAGGCTTGAGACATCGCGTCCGGGTTGTCTCTGGCTCTTCTCCACGCCCGCCTTTCTCGCTTGAACCCTTACATCGACGACATGCTTCAAAGTCAGGTCTGGCTGACTAGCAGCGGCTTAGCCGCCCACATAATGTTCCCCCTCGTGTCAACGACGGGTTGGTCCAGTGACAGTGACAGTGACGCCAGCCTCGCAGAAAACCCACGCGTTCAACTGCCAACGGCACTGACGGGAGGAATGTGACGGTTCCCCTTGCTCATCAACCTTTTTTCGTGAGACAACCTCGTTGCGGGTGAGACATGACTACACACTTCAAAGCCCGTCTCTCAGTCCCCGTCCCCGACTCTCACTCTCATTCTCACTATTCGTCGTCCTCCTGCTCCTCCTCCACACACCCCGGAACCTAATCTCCAGACTTCCGAGGAAACGAGAGGTACAATCTAGATCTCGCCCACGATCACGATGTGATAAATCTTGCTCAACCACACATTTCACCTCCCCCGGTTTCCCCGGCCACACAACAGCCCTGTGATATTTAGTGGAAATCATAAAACCACACAACGTCAATAGCTCTCTGACAACACCCGCCTCCCCCTCCCCCCTTGTCTGACCCTATTCCTGAGAAACCCCAGCACTAGTCCGACTTGGACAACCACCTCGTTAGCTTCCTCCCAAATGTCTCGAAACCCAGCTCGACGACGACGAGGAAGAAGGCATCCAGCCCGCCGTGCCGTCTTCAGGAGTCCAGTCCTCCTCTTATCGCAGACCGGGCACGGAGCGAGAAACAACTTTCTTCTTCCGGGGCTTTTTTGAAAAGCCCGTACGCTTCAATTCCCGAGCACGGCCGGCCTCCCGGGAGCAGGAATGGGCATCAACACACCTCGCCGCGCTCAGTGCTTCTTGTGATCCCCCGTGCAGACTGCAGTCACCCTTTCCCCGTATGCGAGCGGTAGTGTTCCGTGGGCGGCTCGGGGAGTGAGTGAATGAATGAGCGACTGAGGGGAGGGGGTGCGGCGACAGCCAAGGGGAAAAGGACAGGAGAAGAAGCAGTAAGAAAAAAGCAAACATATCCAAAGAACACCAACCCCAAAATCGCATAGGCGCCCAACACGATGAGCTGATGAACGAACCATACTCGGTCATTGACCCCAGGTTCAGCTGAACTCCCGATGCTGTGTCATTCGTGCGAGATGACGATGCACGAAAATCCATTGATATTATCAAGAAAATATCCCGATGTCCTGCGCCCGCAGAGGCGGGAAATTGGCAAGTAGAAGAAGAACCAGAAATACTTACACCCCAAGGTGAACAAAGCAAACATGCATCGGAGGAATGCTTCGCCAATACATCAGCACCGGGGGACCCAGCAGCTGTCAAGTCAATCACCGGAGGCCCGGCGAAGATCCGTCTGAGCGGTCGTCAAGAGTCTTGTCAGAAGTCGTCGAAATCCCGAATCCCGTCCAGAAAACGATTCCATCGAGGCTACTGCAGGCGAGTTGATGCACGTCGTCGGTCTGTCTCAACGCCACGGTGCACCCGCCGCCGCCGCCGCAGCGATGATCACCTTCGCCTACCTTAGTATTCACCCTCACATATCTCCATCCCTACGAAATAAACCTCTCGTCTTCTACTTCTTCTTCTAGCGCAAAGCCACACCTAACAAGTAAAGCTAAAATAAAGCTCTAGTGTTCTTACAAGATAACTCTCACATATGTGCGGTTTGTGCCAGGCCAGGTTGTTTCCGAGACATGCAGAACCCGCGTACCGACCCGGCAGTCCTCCTATCACCACACACAGAAAGTGATGAGATCATGATAGGCATACTCAGCCTCTCAGGGCACCATTTCTGATCCACGTAGAGTCGTAATAAACTCAGAGCTATATCGGCAAGGGTTCACTTTGAGGTCTGCTTACGAACAGCTTAGCAACATCCAACGAACCGCCTTCCACAGAAAAAAGCAAACATGACGCCCGCTCCTAAAAAGGGGGGGCGTCACCTCCGCACATCAATCAACACACGAAAGTCTTTCCTTCTCGCCGTTTGCTTTGTCTCGGAGGAGCTGGAGAGAGACGTCTTCTGATTGGCGTCATTTACGAGTCAAGGAGACAACATGGCGCTGAGTGAGTCCCTCCTCTACTTGATATGTTGAGAGATATGTGTGTGTGATGTGTGATGTGATTGATGTCTTCTTCTCCGAAAACGCCATCCCATCTGGAATGTTACGAGTTTCGTTCTGCGGCCGTTTTTTCATTCGTTTTTTTTCTTCCTTTCTTGCAATAATGTCCCCGTCTAGAAACAAGCCCAAACCCCGGATTGTCTTGGAACTAAAGATAAATCATGTGGCGCGGTTGGAGGAGGAGGCGTTTTTGCTAATAATTACTTCGTCAACGCGATTGGATGCCACGCGGCGGAAGCAACAACAACACGCGGCCCCGTTGTCGAGGTTATTTTGATGAAAAATCGCGGGGAGATGGCTGTGTCTTAGCTTTTTGCGCTGCTGATGGCGACTATTGACGTACGCAATATCGAGGCCCGCATGCCGCGTCCAATACTTCGGAGATCACGCATGCAGGAGATCGCAGCAAGAGGTGTCACCACCACCGCACTACGGATACACACGTGGAAGGGAGACACGGAGGAGAAGAGTTCAACTCGAAGTAGGATATCTGTTCGTCCGTAATAAAACTACAACCTGCAATCCTTTATGCAACTCGGTACAATCAAAAACCAACAAGAATCTACCCAACGCCGTAAAACAACGTCTGCAATATAAATGACACCCAAGCCGCGAGTTGCGGCAACACCATCCCGTCCCTTTCCAACACCCCCCGAAAAAAATCATCTTCATAAGTGTGTATGTCATGAGTCCCGTCTAATCATCACCGGGACCCAACGACAAATGTGTATGGACACCCACGATTATCTCCCTATCGGAGCAATACTCCTCCAGACTTTTTGTTTTTCGGTGCCGTCAGAAACAAAGGAGATGGGGGTTAATGACAAGAACGAACAAAATGAATGACCCGTGTGAATGCTAATGGTATCTCCGCCACCTAACGCTCATGTTATGCCGATAGAAAAGAAATCGTGTTAGACTCTGGCCATGGGCTTGCGTCGCACCAGGAACGGACTGGGCATCTCGTCCCGCTCGGGATCCCACACCGCGGCCGGCTCGCCGCCGCTGGATCGACGGTCCGCGATGCGATCCTTGAAGGCCCTCTTAGGGCTGATGTTCTCGCCGCCGGACAGGACAGCAGAGAGGGGGCGGCCGCCGGCGCGCGCCTGCTGGAGCTCGACCAGCGTCCTGCCCTTGATGTTGTTCTTCGCCGCAACCTTGCCAAGGGGCTCCTGATCCTTCTTGGTCGAGTTCTTGCGGGAAAGGCCACTGGGGGACTCGCTGCCGTTGGCCACCGACGACAGGTTCGCCGCCGACGGAATCTTACTCAGACGGCGGTTGGGAGACGGGCAGCGCTCGCGCAGACCACGGCCGAGGTCGGGGTTCGAGGCCATGTTCGGCAGCGCGGGCAGCGTCTTGTTCTGGTTCAAGGCGCTCGAAGAAGTCTGGGGCTTGACGCGGGTGATGGGAACAGACTTCTGAGAAGTAAGAACCGGGCGGTTCTTGGAGGTGAAGGGGTTCTGTCGCGACTTGATGTTGCGGGTCGGGGAGGGAACAATGTCCTCGTCATCGGAATCGATGTTAAGGATATCGCGAGGCAGATCCCACATGGGGTCGCCAGACGTAGCGTTCGATGAGAAGAGGTTGCCGGTGTTAGCGTTCGGCACCTTGGTGGCCGCAGTTCGTCGGGGGGAAAGCGACAGAGAGGCGATGGCCATCGGAGAGGGGGATCCCATCTCGATGTCCATGGGGGTTCCCATCCCACCAACGAACATGGTCTGCGCGCGACCGAAGGGGGTGCGAGTAACCTTCTTCAACTCGTTGCTCGCCACAGGGCTCTCCGTCGAGATGTCGGTAATGTCTGTCGAGGAAGAAAACTCCTCGTCGCCGCTGGCATTGCCGACAGACGATCTCGGGTAGTCGGACTTTGTTTGCGAGCTCTCGAGGTCCTGGGCCTGTGCCGTCTCCGCGGCCTTCTTCTGCAGTTCTGCCTCGACGCGAGCCTGCACCTCGCTTTCGAATCTCTTGCGCAGAGCCTCGATCTCTTGGTTAATCTGTCGGTCAATCTCCAGACGCGCCTTGACCTCCCATTCTCTGCGCAGGGACGCGTCGACTTCTTGCTTGACGGAGGCCTTGTCCGCCTCAAAAGCAGCAATCTTTTCCTCCATCTCCTTCTCGCGGCGGGCGAACGAGTCCTCCTTGGTCTTGATCGCCTTGTTGAGCTCGACGACTTCTCTCTCCTTTCTCATCAAACGGACGACGGGGAGGTTGAGAAGCTGTGCGGTGTCGGGGCGGTGGTCGGGGTTGACTCTCAGGCAGTCCTTGATGCAGCCCATGAGCTCGCTCGAATAGCAGCTGGGCAGAGGCGACACCTTGCCCTCCTTGATCTTCTGCACTAACTGGAAGTGCGACTTGGCGTTGAACGGGGGCTCTCTCGCACAAAGCTCGTAGATGATACATCCCAGCGACCAGATGTCGGACTTGAGGGTGTACTTCTCGGCGGCGCAAATCTCGGGCGACATGTAGAAGGGCGTGCCGACGTAGGTGGAGGCGAAGTCGTGGGACTGGATCATCTTGGACAGGCCAAAGTCGCCCAGCTTGACCGAGTTGTCCTCTCCGAGGAAGACTGCCCATGATTAGTCAATGTCAATCCACCGGGTGGCCTGACAACACATACCATTCTCGGGCTTCAAGTCGCGATGCAGAATCGTCATGGTGCCGGGTGGCGTCTTGGGCTTCAGCGCCGTGCTGAAGAGGCCCAGAACATTGCTGCCGACCTCGGGAGGGTCGATGCCATAGTGGCACCTGTAGAGCGCAGTAACCAGCTGCGAAAAGATGCTCCAGACGAATGACTCTTGCGCGCGCTGTCCCTTGACGGCCAAATCCCTGATGACGCGACCGAGGTCGCCATTGCCGCAGTACTCCATGTAGAGGTGGAGGTCTTGGGTCGATTTGAGGTGCTCGCGATGGTAGTAGCCGACGATGTTTTGGTGGCGGAGGGTCGAGAGGATCTGGAATTCGGCGTGGAGCTGCTCGCGCTCCTTTTGCGACATCTTCAGGTAGCTGATCTCTTTCCGGCACATGACGAGGCCATCTTGCTTCCTGCGGACCTTTCGGATGACTCCAAAAGAGCCATGGCCTGGGGGGGGGGGGGATTGTCAGTCAACGGTGGGTGAGCTCTTGGGAGTGGTGGTGAAGGGGTCGTGAACAAATGTGCACATACCGATTTTCTCCAGCACCTCGTACTTATCCGCCTCTAAAGACATCTTGGACACAACGCGCAATAAACTTGATCAAAAGAAACCTTTCCTTGTATCCATAGAAGATGAGAGGCAGTTTGAAGGCGAAGTCGCAAAACCTGCTGGGTTAGTAAGAGAACTGGTGGTGGTGTTGACCGGGAAAGCTGCACTGCTGAAATCGAGAGCTGGTGAACTTGGGTGCATGTCCACTAACAGTTGGAAGTTCTGGGCTCGGTAAACAATTGGGGCCGGTGCCATGGCAACCGCGCTAGTGTCGGAAGGCGGATAATCGAGCTGCCTATCGATAAGGTCCGAGGGGTCCTCGGGCTGGTGGATCCACCAAGTTACAGTGGGTGGTGGGGGTGGTGATGCCGGTGGCAGCAGCTTCCAGTTGGGGTGTCATCACGTAAGGGAATCTATGGCCCGTGCGGAGGCGACCTTGGATGGAGTTATCGGACATCTCAGAGATCCATCATGGAGACATATTCCTTGTCATCCAGATTCTAAAGCAATTTCATACAGATCTGAGTTCTTTTTCTCAATCTTTGTTTGGTCTTTTTATTTCGTTTCAATCCGCCTGTAGAGAAGCTTTGTCTTCAACTTTAAAACATCATCATGGTGCTCCGGAAACATGAACTCGAAACGCAGCTTAAGAACGAAAATGAATTGATCAAGAGCGGCGTCCTGAGAGAGGAGAACCCCCTCGACCAGTCCACCGAGTTCGAGGCCTTCCTGCTAGCCTGTAGACGGGGTGACCTGAAAACATGTCAAGAGCTGATCTCGGCCGGGGTGAACATCAATGGCAAGGACCGCTTTGACTACACGCCCTTGATCATTGTAAGCCTCCCGCACAACCCCGGAACGTAGACGCTCGGATGTCACTGACGATAGCTGTCAAGGCCAGTCTGTGTGGCCATCTGGAGCTTGTCCAACTCCTTCTGGAATCCGGTAGGGCTGTTCCGCTAGTTCGGTAAAATAGACGTCGTCGTGGCTGAAGTAAAAGACAGGTGCCCTGGCCGAGAGGAATACCTTCCAAGGGGAGCGGTGCATCTACAACGCGCTCAACGACAGGATACGAAACCTGCTGCTGGAATACGACTACTCAAAATCCACGGACCCGCTCCAGCCGTGGGCCGGCCACATCACCAGCCTGCTCACGAAATCGGTCCCCAAGACGGCGGACATCAGCCTGATCGCCTCGTCGCAGTCTTTTGAGCTGCACAAGTTCCTCCTCGCGGCGCGCACGCCGTACTTCCGTAAAAAGCTCACCGAGGCGCCCGAGAGGACGAGCTACGAGCTCCCCAAGAACATCCCGGTGGACTCCTTCCAGGTCGCCCTGCGCTACCTGTACCTGGGCGAGGTGCCGAGGGACCTGGTCAACGCCCGGAGCACCGTGACGGAGGAGGAGGTTCTCAAGGGTGTCGACAAGCTCAGCCACTACCTCGAGATCCAGCAGCTGTGGGAGGCCATCCTCGCCGGGAACGACCGCCGTCTCGCGCGGCAACGGTATCAGGATGAGGTGCAGCGCGCCCAGCGCCAGGTCGAGCAGTTTTACCGCGAAAAGGTCTTGGGTCACAAGATGGTCGTCGACACGAAACGGGTCGGCGAGATCAAGTGGCGGCACGACAACTCCATCTTCGCGGACTGCCTCCTCTGCGCCCACGAGCCGGAGACGGAAGGCGCCTCCAAAGACGCGGAAGAAGTCGAGAGCGTCGCCAGCAACATCGGCATCCCCCTGGGCCCGCGGATGAACGGCACGGCGGAGAACAGGAAACCCAGGCGCTCGCTCGTCATCCCCGTGCACAAGGCGATCCTCATCCGCAGCCCCTACTTCGAGACCATGTTCTCCAGCGAGTTCAAGGAGGCCCAGGACTCGGAGCACCTCCACGTCGTGACGCTGGACTGCAGCCCGGAGGTGCTCGAGATCGTCCTCACCTTCCTCTACACCGAAAAGGTCGACTGCCCCCTCGAGCTCGCCCTGGACCTGCTCTACACGGCCGACATCCTCTTCCTCGACAAGCTCAAGACCAAGGCCGCGCAGGCCATCAGCACGCTCGGCAGCGGCAACAGCAACGTGCTCGTCGACCGCACTCACGGCGGCGAGGGGGGCGAGGGGCAGGAGGAGATGGAGCCGATCAACATCTACGACGTCATCCACGCCGCCTGGGACCTGCGCGTGCAGCGCCTCGAGGAGTTCGCGGCGCGGTACCTGGCCTACCGGCTGGAGGACTACATCGACGAGCCCGAGTTCGCCGAGCTCATCAACGAGAGCGCATCGAGGATCAAGGACCGTCAGGAGACGGACACCATCGAGCTGCTCGACGACATCCGGCATTACCTCGACCAGCGCTTCCGTCTGCGGTTTGAGGACGCGAACCTCGAGGACATGATGGACGAGGAGGGTGAGATTGACGCGGCCGTGGCGGAGACCATTGCGGCACAGGCCGAGCAGGTGGATGAGAAGGGCGAGCGGGTGGTCCTGCAGGAGAAGCCCGTCGAGATTCCTGTTGAGAATGGCGATGGTGAAGGTGTGAGAACGCTGGGTGGTGAGATGGCCGAGGACGAGTTCGTCTCAGATGCCATCAATTACCAGATTCTGCTAGGTAAGATTGACACGATGCTCGATCGTTTGAAGCTGGATGCATAGACGCCACATTAGAAACTAGACGGGTAGAATCAAAACTCATCCTCTGTTCGGATGATTACTAAGTACCTGACCCATAAGGGGCCGTTCCGGTAAAGATAATTGTGACCTCTAGTCACCATTTCTAGAATATCTGAGCCTCAGCACACCACAGCCCGTCCTTTCAGGCCGGCGAGCACAGCTAATTTGTGCTTCAAGAACATGACCCATGTAAGGCACCATCCCCATCAACGCCGATACCGCCCAAAGCAAACAAACCACACGCCCGCGTCCACAAGTCCTCACAAAACCTCGGCTGGACCTAGGGTGCCATCAGGATTGACGCGCTGAACAGTGTTGTGCTCCGCCTCCTTGCGCAGCTTGCGCTCCACCGCCGCCGTCTTGATGGACTGCTCGTTGTCGAGCAGCTTCTTCGCGTCTCCCGCCAGCAGCTTCTGCTCGTACTTGACGTCTCTAGTGTGCATGGAATACCAGCCCTGATGTACCTTACACCGCTTCTTGTCGCAGATATTCTTGTCCTCGCCGGTCAGGCGGCTGCCGACGTCGAGGCTCCCGGCCTTGAAGATCTCCTTCGCCTCGTCCGAAGCCACCCAGTGGTTGAAGGGGCCTATGACGCCGACCTGGTCGAGGCGATAATCATAGCCGCAGGTGGAATCCTCGAATTGCTTGGACGCGATCAAGGTCTTTCGGCGTTCGCTGGCCATGTCGAGCAGCTGGATCATCTTGTTGTAGAGCGCGGTCTTTTCGCCCATCGTCTTACGATCGGCAGCCGACTCCTTGAGGATGCCTTCCTCCTCGTCGGTGAGAATGCCCGGGGGTAGAGCTTTACCCCTAGCCTCTGAATTTTCAGCTGCGGAAGAATTTAGTCAGGTGAAGCTGAGAGCTTTCCAAGCCAGGTGTACATACCTCCAGCGGCAGGCGCAGCGAAAGGACGAGTGTTGACCTTGAAGTTCCCCTCGGCGTCGATAGAAGCGAGCGGGCTGTTGAGAAGACCAACAAGATCCTCGCGAGTGAGACCGCCGGCGTCCTTCGAGGACTTCTTGGGCAGTTTCATGATCTGGGCCTCCCACCAGGCCTGCTTGTGCTCGTCGGAGCAGAAGGCGCTCTTGGGCTCGCCGTCGTAGAGGCGCGCGGGCCTCTTGCAGCCGCCGCGGCCGCAGAGCTTCTTGAAGAGGCTGACGTTCTTGTCGCCGTCGGTGCAGTTGGGGCAGACGAAACGCTCGATGAGGTTCTCGCCGACGTCCTTTGAGATGTTGATGCACTCGCCGTGGAACCAGTCCTCGCACATGTCACACGATATCATGAACCTGTGGTCGTCGGGTCCCCGGCAGATGCAGTAGGGTCCGTTGTCCGACTCGATCTCCTCGTCGGAGCCCTCGGCCGGGGGGTCGTCCATGGCCTCGTTGCTGGCGGACGGTGGCTTCTTGGATTTGGTGGGCTTCGAGGCGCCGCCGCCCTTGGGTCGCTTGGGGCCCTTCTTGGTGGCAGTTCCTTTCTTCTTGAAGCCGCCCATCTTGTGAGACTCGGCCGGCTTTTCTGTGGTCTCCAAGATGGTGTTGCTGGGGTCGGCAGGTGGTGGTGAGGTGGGAACTGTTGTTGCTGTTGTTGGGTTTGAAGAAGTTGCTACCTCATGGTTATCGTTATTCACCGACGGTATTGCAGCAAATTTCAGATCTGTATGGGAAGGTGCAGGGTGAGGTGTGCCTTGACTAAGGGATGGGTTCTGAGTTGGCGCATCTCCCAGTTCAAGATCCTCATCTTGCCGGTCATTGACCGTCTGATCTCCTTCCGAATCCATGGCTTCAAACCCAGATCTTTGCCAAAAATGATAAGTCCGTATAAATAAAAGATGGAGAGCAGCTTTAAATTCAAATAAATAAATAAACAATACAAGATAGATTGCTTTCTCTCGTAAATTTACAGGGGTCGTTTGATGTTGTTGAAGATGGACCAAACGCGCCTGAAGCCCCAAGCTTCTCCCAGATCCATATTTCCTCGGTCAGACCTCGGTGTACTGAGGTGAACCTGCAAATCGCCTTCGCTGAGGCGCATCAAGTATTATTCCGGGACGACAATTTTTGGAGTCTGGTCCGAGCTCACCGAGAGCTCTGGATCTTACGATGGCCGAATTTCTAATGACGGCATTCCGGAAACGACTCAATCCTCAGAGGACCGCCCAATTGAACCTCCAGCCATGTCGCACGTAACAGCCTCGTCGAGGCTCTGGAAGTCGCTCCTCACAACATCCTCCCAACAATGCCGACGATGCATCTCCCAAGCGGCGATTCCTAAGCAGACCCGGCCGACTGCCGCCGCCGCCGCCGCCAGACCCGTGTTCGAATCGAGGCCGAACCCGGGGCAGAGGAGGACGAAGACGTACAAGACCGTGGAGGAGGCAAAGAGCAGATACAGATCAGGGGTGAGACACGCGACCCGGGAGGCATTTGCGCGGAAGAAAAAAAGGACGCAGCTGACGGTTTTCTTTTTTTTGCGACTAGCCCTTCTCGTGGAAAGCAGGATTGCTCTTCGTCGGAACGGGCGCCGGTCTGACGTGGTACTTTGAGCACGAGAAGCAGCGCATGGAGCGCAAGCGCATCGCGGAGGCGACCAAGGGCATCGGACGTCCCAAGGTCGGCGGGCCGTTCCGGCTGAAAGACCAAGACGGCAACGTCTTCACCGACGAGGACATGAAGGGCCGCTACGCACTGGTACGCTCCCGAACCCGAGATCTACTCTTCTCATTGAAGACGAATCCACTGACACGCCACCGTGCGTCCCAGGTCTACTTCGGCTTCTCCCACTGCCCCGACATCTGCCCGGACGAGCTCGACAAGATGGCGCAAATGTACGACCTGGTCGAGAAGGCGCGGCCGGGGTCCCTCCTCCCGCTCTTCATCACCTGCGACCCGGAGCGCGACACCCCCGAGGTGATCAAGGAGTACCTCGCCGAGTTCCACCCCAAGTTCATCGGCCTCACGGGCACGTACGACGAGATCAAGGCCATGTGCAAGCTGTACCGCGTCTACTTCAGCACCCCGCAGCACGTCAAGCCCGGGCAGGACTACCTGGTCGACCACAGCATATACTTTTACCTGATGGACCCCGAGGGCGACTTCGTCGAGGCGCTGGGCCGGCAGCACTCGCCGCAGGCCGCGGCCAAGGTCATCCTGGACCACATGAAGGACTGGACGGGCGAGTGGAAGAAGAACGAGGAATGAGGCCGGAAAAAATCGGGACGAGACCGCGGGCCCTTGATATGTGTAATATGTACCAACAGCTGTCTATGGGGATAGAACGTTGAGCAATCAGCTCCGAAACCACTCAATCACGGTAATATCATTGTACACAGTCAGTTGCGGGACAATCGCCAGTGTTGCAACTAATGTTCCAAAGTCTTGCGCTTTCGCAGCGTTGAGATGTTGCGCATTCATACTCGTCGACTTGGATCCCAAACTTAATCAAAAACTCTGTGGTCGCTTGCTGCGAATGCAGCATCCCGCCGTTCGAGTTGAGAATTAGAGAGGAAAGCTCCAAACTGCAGCTTTAAATCTGGATACCGCCTGACTTGGATAAGCTCTGGGTTTTCGACTTTTACTATGAAGCGCTCATTCACTTCAGCATCATCATCACCATGCACGAATCATGATAACTCTCAGCCTAATCCCCAAACATCACAGCCAAGCCTCGCAAAAGCGTATCAAGTGCGAGAAAGAACGTTGCAACCCGAAGCTCTCGATGCAGCACACCCCGCCCTCCAGCTGCAGTGGCAGCGAACGGTCTCGCCACTAAATTTAGCGAGTGGAGTTTTGGCAAGGGGGTGCCACAGACCTGCGGCAGGGGCTGGCGGCGCACGGCGGGGAGCTCAATGCTTGGATCCCGCCTCGCTCGACTCGTCAACGATTTGCTCTTCCTTGCTACACCGACAACAACGTTCCTTTAACCTTTCATCCCAACAATGCGGGGTATCGCACGTCGTTGAAATTGGACAGGAAACTTTGGTCAAAGAGAGGGAAAAAAAAAAAAAACAGGAGAATGAGGCAGGCGATTAGGGTTCCCGGCCTTGGACGGCTGTCTAGGCCCTTCGCGAGCTCGGCGCCGCGAGCTCCGTTCCGTGCCGCGTCTGCTGGACTTGGGCGATATGAGAGGGGATCATCAGCGCTGGGAAGCACATCTCCGCAGGCGGCTGTGTGGGCAGGACTCGGGAGTGCGGGATCGCGGAGGTGCTTCAGCAGCAGCAAGAAGCGCGTTTTTGAGGCTGGGGAGACGCCGTCGTTTGCTTTCGCGTTTGAGTGAGTCAAGCTCCGAGGGCAGTTTGTCTGCTCATATAAGTGTCGAGATACCACGGACTAATGATTGCAGCATCGACGGTGTCTTGTTGCACGTAGCAAAGCCGATCCCCGGCGCTGCCGAGTCTCTGCAATTTCTCAACGATAACAACATCCCGTTCATCCTCTTGACAAACGGTGGAGGTAAGACCGAGGCTGCCCGCGTGCAGGATCTCAGCAACAAGCTCGGTGTGCAACTCTCGGTCGACAACTTCGTCCAGTCGCACACGCCGTTCCAGGAGCTTGTCCAAGGACCCGAGGGTCTCGGTGACAAGACCATTTTCCTGACCGGAGCCGATGCCAAGAAGTGTCGAGAGATTGCGAAACTGTGAGTTAGATCACCACAGGCTGTTTGATAACGTGCTGATGTCTCGTTCAGGTACGGCTTCAAGAATGTGGTCACGCCCGCAGACATTATCGCCGCGCATCCCGACGTTTTCCCCTTTGAGCGCCTCATGAAGCAGGTTTACGCCGACACCCACGAGCCGCTGCCCAAGCCGATCCACTCGGGCAACATGCGCGACGAGGACGCTCTCAAGATCGACGCCATGTTCGTCTTCAACGACCCCCGCGACTGGGCGCTCGACATCCAGATCATCGTAGACCTGCTGCTCTCGCGTAATGGTCTCCTGGGAACCTACTCTTCAAAGAACGGCGACAAGTCCCTGCCGAACAACGGCTGGCAGCAGCAGGGCCAGCCGCCTCTCATCTTCTCCAACGCTGACCTCTTTTGGTCGACGACGTACCATCAGCCGAGGTTCGGCCAGGGAGCTTTCCAGGCTGCCGTTGCCGGTGTCTGGTCGCAGGTGTCGGGCGGGACGGAGCTGCAGCGGACGGTATTTGGCAAGCCGTTCGCGACGACGTACAAGTATGCCGAGCGCGTGCTCAACTCGCATCGACAGGCGCTTCTTGGAAAGAGCGGGCAACAGGGGACGGCGCCGTTAAAGACTGTGTACATGGTGGGAGACAACCCGGAGAGCGACATCCGTGGAGCCAATGATTTCAGCAGTAAAGAGACGGAGTGGGCGTCGGTGTTGGTGAAGACGGGCGTTTGGAGCCAGGAGAGGGGCGAGCCTGCGCATAAGCCCAAGATGATTGTTGATGATGTCAAGGGGGCGGTTGAGTGGGCGTTGAAGAGAGAAGGCCGGCCGGTGAACATCTAGATGTGTATATTCGAGACGATGTATCAATATTACCACACCGAAGAGATGGACTGAACGTGTGTAGTGGTGGCTGAGTCGTCTTCAAGGGTTTGCTGTGCCACAAATGATTGCGACAGGAAGGCGCGCGTGATCATGATATCGACGATGATTGATCAGATTGTGCTTAGCGCTTTTGCCCGATGTCTGCGCATATTGATAAAAGCGGTCGTCAATGGGACTCGTGAAGGTGGTTGGTTCAGACTTTGATGCAAGTGCTCGATATTGTATGGCGTGGTGGTAGCGGTACGTCACATGCAAGACCAAGAGGTCGAAGCAAGGGTCGGGAGCTCCCGACTGGATGGCAGGGTCCAAATTGACGTCACGGCTTGACAAGCGTTGGTAACCGGGTTGCGTGGCGTGGCGTTGGGCTGATTTCTGGTGTACCTTACGCAGTACTTGTTGTCGGTGAGTGGGTGTTGGGGTAAAACCTGTCAAACGAGTGACAGCTCGGCACGCCATGATTTGGCATGTATAACCAAAAATCGTGAATGACTCTTGGGTATGCGGCGATAAGATCCAAAGTCGACGATTCTGATATGGCAATGGCCAGCTCTACTGACAGGGGTCTTGATATTGAGGAAGAATTGGAAGACGGTGGAAGCTCAGCGCTGGTTGGCTGTCCCGTCTGCGGGACCGTTTCTCAGGGGACCCCAAGCCAAAAAGACACTGGAACCTGGAAAGAAGTGTGAAATGAGGGCGCCTTTCTGCTTGTGATGGAAGCGAAAAATTGTGCCCCACTCGATGCACATGACCGGCTACCTTACGGCTTCTGCTCCCCACGGCTCGGTCAACCAAACAGTCAGTGGCCCGCCGACTATTGAGGGGGAACACTCAAGGAGCTGAATTGTCTTCCAACCAGCGGCGGCTTAGGCCCCAACCAATGCCTTCCCCTGCGCATGCCGCTTACCTGCCTGGCTGTGACTGCCCTGCCCGTGCAGCTGCTGGGAAAGCTTTCCTGGGTTTTCGGGAAACGAAAATGTGACCTTGCCTTCCTTCCTTGCTGCAACCTCGCACCACACGACAGGTTTCCCTTTCACAAATTTTGAATTCTTTTCGTACCATATGACTTGACTTTTCTTTTTCGTCTGAACATCTGCAGACTCGGACCAGTTCCTCCTGTCTGCCCTCTCAAACTCAGACCCCAATCCAGACTCTGCAACATTTGGCTCATCTACTTCAGGGACACAGAAGTCGCCTTCAAGTTTGCACCTATCGCTATCACCCTATTCGTCTTATTCTTCGCTCAAAGAACCCATCGAACCCATTCCTGGTCCAAAACTTCCCCAACAGCGCCCCGTTATCCGTCACAGCGTCAGGGTCCCATCCCGTTTCCCTGCCCCACGAGCCCCTCGTTGGACTAGCCGATAAGACACTCTATCGTCCCTGCTCTTCCAATCTGCCCCGAGCGCCAACCGCAATCTGTCACCTCTCATCTTCAGCTCACGAGACCACTATCCCTATTCTTCACCGACGACTGCATCTGGCCGTCGTACCGGCCAAGAATTTGTGTCTCCCTTACCGACATACCAACTAGACCGAGTAACACATATCTGACACTCCTCATAAACCCTGTGTCGTCTGTCGCGTGCCCGTCGCCGCAATGTCCTCATCCTCCTCGCCTCACCTCAACGGCTTGCCTCTCCGCTCAGCCATGAAAACCGACGATGAGTCGTCCTCGGTCACGAGTCCCGGTAAAGGTCAGTTTTTCGTGTAAATCTCGCCCGCCTTAACCTGAAGTCTGCAGGTCCGGCATTCGCATCAAGTGGTATTGTGCTGCACTCATAAGGGCCTGATCCTAATCGATGGCACTCAACCGCGGTGGCCTCTCATCCATGTTTGCCCCGGGTCACTCAGTGACGCTTCGCGCGTGTTTGCATCCTCACCCCCGCCACCACCGACAAAACTTGATGGACCGGTATCATCGCTGGGCTTGTGACTTGAAGAGGCAAGACCTGCTAACGCTCTCGCAGTCGTCCAAATCGCCGAGCCAGAAGCTGCTACAGCCCCGCCTGCCAGTGCTGAGCATCAGGCTCACCACAAGAGACAGTACGCCGCAAACATGGCCAAGAGACTGACCGGCCGCTTGCCGTCTTTCTCCGAGTCCTCATCGCGCTCCTCGCCCATCTTGGAACCTACGCAAGTGCCCGAGGATTCTGCTGCCCAGCAACACCACCATCGCCATGGTCAAAGGCACCTGTACCAGAGCCAGAAGCTCCTGGCCCAGCTGAGCGACTGGTTGGAGCACGAGAAGAAGAAAAAGGCTTCTCGCAAGAGCAAGACTTCCCCTCGTCGCCGTTCCCCGCAGTCCAAGACCAAAACCGAGACCCAATCTCAGCCTGACGTCCAGGCCGCACCTCGTTCCAGATCTGATTCCATCGACTCTGATTCCAGCGACGTATCCTTCGACAGACTCCAAAAGATCATCGATGACAGCATGGCCTCTCTGGGCATCAGCTCCGTTCCTCAGTCGGGCCCCAGACTCGGCAGACGCACCTCCGGTCGTCTTAAGAAGTCGCTCTCACGTAACATGTTCCATAGAACGGCAAGCTCCGACACTGACTACATTGGTGACGACGTGGTCGTGCCCACATGCGATGCTGTTCTCGACAACTCCAAGACCCTCAGCTATAACGCCGGCAAAAGCACTGACGACTTGTCTTTGGGTGGCAAGGTAGACGACAAGGATAAAGCGTGGGCCATCTTCAAAAACGAAATCGTCCGCCTAACGCACACCCTCAAGATCAAGGGCTGGAGAAGAGTCCCCCTGGACTGCGGTAACCGTCTGTCCGTCCAGCGCCTCAGCGGAGCCTTGACCAACGCCGTGTACGTGGTCACACCTCCGACAGACCTCGAGGATTCTGCTTCTGGTAAAAAGCATCCGCCAAAGCTTCTCCTCCGTATCTACGGTCTGGAACACCTAATCGACCGCGAGAACGAGCTCAGCGTGCTTCGAAGACTGGCCCGAAAGAAGATTGGTCCTAGACTTCTCGGTTGCTTCACCAACGGCCGTTTTGAGGAGTATTTCAACTCCATCACTCTGACACCCAAGGATCTGCGGGACCCGGAAACGTCAAAGCAGATTGCGAAGCGTATGAGGGAGCTTCACGACGGAATTGATGTTTTGCAAAAGGAGAGGGACGAGGGCGCTGCGGTTTTCAAGAACTGGGATTCTTGGCTCGGTAATGTCGACAAGAAGATCCATGCTCTCGACGAAGGCGTACGCCGCGGATCCAGCGAGTTCAGTGGCGAGGGCTACGTATGCGGAGTTGAGTGGAAGCAGTTCAAGGCTCTATACGACAAGTACCGCGAACTGGTGGTCAAGGCCTACAATGGCAATAGCGGAATCCGCGAACGTCTTGTCTTCGCCCACAATGATGTAGGAGTTCTCTTCTCAAATCCAGCTTTCAGCTTGCTAACGAAGGCAGACTCAATACGGAAATATTTTGCGCATGCGCCCAGACGACGAGAAATCTCCCCTCCTCCAACCAGCAAACGAACACAAGCAGCTCGTTGTCATTGACTTTGAGTACGCGGCAGCCAACGTCCCAGGTCTCGAGTTCGCGAACCACTTCACTGAGTGGGCTTACGACTACCACTTCGAAAAGGCTCCCTATCTCTGCAACACGGCCTGCTACCCGACCAGACAGGAACAGGCCCGCTTCCTCAAGGCCTACGTCGAGCACCGCCCCCAGTACCCCCACGGCGGCGCTTCTACCCCTCGTCTTGCTCCGGCCGATGCCGCAGGCAGTTCGACACCTGCCCTACTGCCTACCAGCTCCTCTAGCTCCATCATCGAGTTTATGCTCGACGCCCGCGTGCCACCGGGGCACTGGAAGGACGAGGAGCGTCGGGCGGATGAGGCGATTGAAGCAGAAGTCAAGGAGCTTTACGAAGAGACACGCCTCTGGCGCGGTATCAACAGCGCCATGTGGGTCGCATGGGGCATCATCCAGGCCAAGGTCAGTGGGTTTGAGTCGCCCGAGGAGAAAGAGGCACAGGAAAAGCAGGCACAGAACGAGGCGGCTGCGGCTGCCGGAGACGAAGCTGCAAAGGCGGAGGTGAAGGCTGCAGCCGAGGCTGAGGCGGAAGGTGGCGACGAATACGACTACCTCAGCTACGCACAAGAGCGCGCATTCTTCTTTCTTGGAGATTGTGTGCTCATGGGTATTGTTAAAAAGGAGGACTTCCCGGAAGACGTGCAGGCCCGGCTCAAGATTGTGGATTTCTGAGTAAGGAGCACTAGATCGCTCACATCATTTAATACATAGGACCAAGTTGACGTTGTGACTATTGGCTTCCACAAATCTCTTCACATGACAAGCTGGTTTACGGTAGTATGGTAGTGTAACACAAGACAAATCTCATAGCAGCTATCAAGGTAAAGAAGCGATAATTTCCAGGTCCCTTGACGTCCCTAAACTCCCTGTATCCACACGTCGCTGCCATCATTCTCGACGCCTCCTCACCATCGTCACTGCCATCTTCCTCCATCGTCATAGCTACTCATTCCCGAGCAATAAGCCACGGGCAGCACATCGACAATACGAACATGCTTTTCTTCCTCGTGTCCTCGTGCTCTCACCATGGACCAGCAAGATGAGAACGCCGTCTCCTTCCTCGACCACGTCGCGGAGCGACACCAGATCCTCACCAAGCTTCAGGCGGCCGAGTATAAGGACTGGTCAACGGATTCGCCCCCGAGGCGGCTGCCCCCACACGTCTCTACTCTAGACGTCTGGGTCGCGCTCCACGTCAGCCCATACGGCCGACTGAACCGATTAGACAAGATGATCGATCCAGCGAGACGGGATTCATCATGACATGATGAGGGTGTGCGTCTTTCGCTTGCCTCACCAGTGTTGCGGTGGGCTGATATCTCATAGCCAAGGGTGTTAGTACGAAGAGAGACGCGTCACGATTACCTCCTCCTTAGGCGAACAAAAAAGATGACGACGGGAAACCTTTCCAGAGTAAAAAAGCGGCTACGCTTCTGGACATTCGAGGCGAAGATGTTGCATGCTGCTGCGGCCGTCCGTCGCGGATTGAGGGGGGAGGGGAACACGGCGACAAAGGCCCCCCCCCGGGCTCGATTGAGTGTGTAGATGCCGCTGCGATCGAGCTTTCGACGGCGTCCTCGGGTGACCACGAACGAGCGCTGGAGACGATGTAATGTGGCGACATTGAGGGTGAGATACTCGCTTCTGTAACACTCCTCTTGGGCAGGGAAGGGCATCAAGAAATCACCGAACCCGGACGTACCAGCGCATGCAACCCTGGGAGCCTGATCCGTCGGTCTTCGAGCTGTAGAGGGTCAAGTTATATGAGACCCTGTTCTTATCCAGCCGCGTCAGGAGTCGACTTACTCGTCCGTCGTCGGTGTGTTCTTGAATAAGCCACCGGCGTTGACGAAGGAGGGGGAACTCACGAAGGCATATCAGACAGTAAGCACATCAAGGCTTACATCAGGACCGAAGGAACGGTGTATGTGACAACACAACATCACAAGATGCGTTACGATGCGGCTCAGAAGGCGTTGGAAGGCATGCGCTTTCCTCGACCTTTACACGTCATCGGGGGCGAATCCAGGACTTCCAGGTCCCGATATCTGCAGCCTTTCCCGCGTCTGCCGAACCACCAAGGCCAAAAAATTCAGAGCACCGCCCATGATCAGCATGTTTAAAATGGTTCGCGTGTTTCGTCATTATTTAGAGTATTACTACATTTTCTGCGGTTCTATGGGCAGCTTTCTTCTTCGTAGTCGTAAAAAGCTGGCTAGTTCATCTTGTTGTATCTCTCCCTGGCTCTGTCTTGTACCGAGTTCACGTACTCGGCATAGCTGTTCTTCGTGTTTCGCTGCGCCAACTGCGCCGCGTCGCCCAGATTTCCGCCATCCGCACCCAGACCAACGCCTTCCTGGTACGCGTGCGTGGCGATCACCTCGGTGCGGCCATCGCCATTCGCACCCAGGCCTTGTCCTGTGTTCCAGCCCATCTTGGCCAGCATGCCTGCACCCTTGGAAGGCTGCGGAGGCGGGGTCTTCTCGGCCGGAGGACGGGCCGGTTTATCGTCTTTGCGTGTAGGCTTGTTGTTCTGGAGAGGTTTGGGTTTCGAGGGCTGGTTGAACACGACTCTCCGCTCCTTCGCGCGGTCTCGATACTGAGGTGCCGTCTCCCCGTCTTTGGGCTGCTCCTCCGACTGTTGTGCCATCCTCTTATCCCGGGCAGCTAGTCGGGGCTTGGCAGCCTTGACCTTGTCCTCGTCTTCCATGGCATTCTTGTGGTTCCTTGACTTTTCGTGCGTGTTGAGGTCGTCCAGAGATTTGTACTTCATCATGCAAAGTAAGCAGCATACCTTTTCACGATCGACGTAGGATGCGGTAGCTGCGGGTGATGCTGGCTGATCAGCAACCGCTGGAGGAGGAGGGGCCGCAGTCGCAGACTCAGTTGGCGGGGATGTCGTTGGAGGAGTGGCGTTTGATAGACTCGCCCCAGTCAAAGATATCTTGATCGGGCCTGTGGATATCGCATTCGCCCCAGACAGGGAGATCTTGACTGGGACGCGCTCTTCCACGCCGTTGTCAGCAGCCGGGTCTGCAGGTCGCTTGCCTTCGTGAATTTCGTCGTGCCTTCTCTGCCAGAACGCCATCTGTCCAGCCATCGGCGCAGACTTCTTGGCGGTTGATGCAGCCAGGTTTCCATCAGCCTTGCGCTTCTTGCTCTTCTTTGCCTCGTCACTGGCATCTGTCTTGTCGTTGACTGATACCCCACCAGGAGGCACCTCTGTGATGATCTTCTGGCTGGGGAAAACGTGCGGCTCCCAGTACTTGACTCTGATACCCGGATTGAAAAGGGGGTTGAAGGAAATGTGCTCGATAGAGCGGGTGATTTCTCGCAGCTCTGGAACGAAAACGCCCAAGTGGATGGTCGAGACCGTTACTGACTTGGACGCGATAGTGTACTCTCGCATCATCTTGGTCTTCTGCACCGCAGACAGGGCGTCTTCGACGGTCCAGAACTCAGCGAATCCGAAATTGAATGACTCGTTGGTTTCCTGGTCTCGCATCAGAAAGACGCGATGCAGCGAGCCCGGTTTTGCACCATAGCCTGACGCATCGCCGGTAGGCGCGGTAGACTTCAGCTTCGGCCCATCACCAGAGTTCTTCGGCGCTGTCGGTTTTCGCGCAAGCTCCAACTTCGCAGCACCCGCAGCAAGGACGTCCTCGGTGACTGATGGAGCCAAGGGGAAGAACACCAAAATTTGGGATGGTGCATCAGCTGCGTCGCTTTCACCCGTGAGGAGATGGCGGTATTGTGATGGATCTGGGTTTGTCAGTGCCGGACGTGCAGAGTTAATCCTGATAAAAGCTCACCAGTCGGCGGACCACCGCAGTTCTTGCACCGATTTCTAGTCGAGTAGTTGGAAAAGTCGCAGGCCGGACAGGTCCAGTTCGGCGCAAAGCCAGCCTTGTTGTCTCGTTCGTTGTCATCTCGGTTTCTTGCGTAGTGGATGTAGATGGAAGTCATGCCATCAGCATCGCCGTCGACCACACCTGCAAAATCTAGCACGAGCTTAGGATAGTTCTCCTTGACAAACTCGACGGCATCGTCGACTTGCTCGAATTGCACAAAGGCGCGGCGCTGACCTGGTATGCGTTAACACGGGAAATAGGCCCTACGTATTTGACATCATACCTCGCCCGGATGGAACGCGAATATCAACCGACGGGTACCGCGACAGATCAGCTTGTTGAAAGAGGCAGCTCTTGACATCCTCCATTGACAACCCAGGAGGCAGGCCTTCGAGAATCACAGTATCGCTCGGGTGACCAGCTTGTCGAAGAGGCGATGTAGAACGATCGCGACGAGGATAACGACCTGGGCTGCCACCTGGAGAGGGGGGAAAATCACGAAAATCCTCGTCAGGACCACGTCGGGCATCGTCGCGGCGAGGGCCATCGTCGTAGTAAGAGCGAGGGTAGCCCCGGCCACCTCGATCGTAACGACGTGATCCGCGGTCGTCGCCGTCATGTGGGTGAAGTACCTCAGGGTCTTCATCACGGCGATCCAGATAGTCATCCCGACGACCGCCTTGATCTCCCGATCCAGGACGTGGCTGGTAGGCCTCACGCGCCGATCCATGGTAGTAGCGGTCGTCGTCTCTGCCGCGGTATTCTCCTCGCTCACGCTCCCGATCACGGTGGTGGACCTCCTCGTCGTCGTATGACAGCTCGTAGTTGTTATTCCTGAGGGGAGATCTAGAATAGTCTCGTCGGCCCGTAGGAAAGTTAGCGGAAGCTCAAACCAGCCAGATGTTCTGCAGATGGTCATGTCCTCCGCAGGCTCAGCTTAGTCTCTTTACCCTGCCGCATGCGATAGGCGTCGTTGCTCTGTTGGTGATCTCGCGGAGGGGATCTTCGTCGGTCGTACGGTCCCCTCTCCCTCGAGCGGTTGTTGTCCTCGTACATGTTCGCGGATCGCAGGATGGGGCGTGGGCGGAACGCGAACTCGGGGTGCGCGGAAGGAATTGGGCTTCGTTTCGGAACGAGCAAAAACAAGAAGAAAAAGAAAACCAAGCAAGAAGGCGCGGCGCTGAACCCCAAGAGGCAGCGACGAGACCGTGCCTTTTGTTTCAATCGGTCGTTGGGCGTGAACCAGGATTCGGACCTGAGTTTGTAGGAAACACTGAGGTTGAAGAAGGGACGATCCACCTGGAGTGAAGCTTGACCCTGGCGTGCCAGTGGGTGGTGTGGTGTGCTTGCCTGCTGACCTTATCTCTGAGGTTATCCCTCAATCGGAGATGCACGCTTAGTCAAGCGGGGTCGATAAGGTTGATAAGGACTGGTCTGTGCATGAGTACCTTGACCTTGGGCGTCCAGCGTCTTTGTACCTTACACTGCTGTCTCCCCGCTGACACATTTTCCGAGGAAATCTGTACGACATTTAAAGATGGAAGCAGCTACTGCAAGCGATAATCCCTGATCATATGATGGCCGAAGGACTGCTCACAACAATCCGTCTATACTCTTCTTCATTTCAGTGTCATCAGTGTTCCTGAGAAGCGTTGTTGTGGCGTTCGGAACGGTTATCTGTTAAACGATCCCCCGACAACCCGAATCTGCTCTCTGCAGGTCATCACGAGAAGAACACAGCCGTGGTTGTTGACAGCTGCTCAAGATCGACCAGCAGCCCACCAGCAATGGAGGCTCAAGATCGAGGCCCGTGGGAGGTCTCCGAAGAATCCTGCCATGTCGCCCTCACATACGACCTCCTCGATGCCACCGCCATTATGAACCTTGTGCGCTCACCACAAGCCGGCGCGATCGTCCTCTTCTCCGGGACCACGCGAGACACGTTCGGCGACAAACCTGTCAAGGAGTTACAGTACAGCGCTTACACACCCCTCGCGCTCCGGACCATGATGTCCATCGCCAAATCCATTCTTCAAAAGCATGGCCTCAAAGGAGTGGCCATGATCCACCGCCTCGGCACCGTCCCAATCGGGGAGGAGAGCATTCTGATTGCCGTCTCCTCGCCGCACCGGCAGGCAGCGTGGAGGGCTGGCGAGGAAGCGCTGGAAGAGTGCAAAGCCAAGGTCGAAGTCTGGAAGAGGGAGGAGTTCCACGGCGAGGAGGGCGTGTGGAGGGCGAACCGGGATGGCATCGCAGGGCAAAAGGTCGCCGAGTCGGCTAAAGCTCCGGATCAAGCACCCCCTGCGTCTTCTTGATTGAACCACTGAGGGCGGAGCCCCGCCGTAGCCCTTGCCGCTCATTAGGCTAACAGAGTTGATGATCTGTTGATGAAGGCAAACTCATTGGCTGCGGACTTGGATTGGCAGGCAGATATTACTGCGTCCCGAACCTGGCTCGCATGTCTTCGTCCAGATGCGATTGAGCGACGTGGTTGAGCATCTAGTCGGACAACAAACGTTGCTGCTTACCGGAAGCCACCCTGGACTGACGCCAAGGCTGACAACAGGGGTCCAGAACAGGCAACAAGTTGCTATTTGCACCTCAAAATCGTTGCCGTCGGCCAGATTTCGACAAGATTTCGCGTTCCATAATCGACTGGTAGAAGAATTCAAACATGGAAAAATTATTTCAGAAAGTATCAAGTTGTCAACGAACTTTTGTTCGCGCTGGTTGATGGCTTTGCGGCAGAGTTACTGCACCGCCGTCTGGTGCTGACCGTTTCTCCTGTTGCTGTGCCGCTCAAGAGCACCAACATGATACGAAGACCCAGCATCGTCTACCAGGGTTTCGCGTTTTCCGAGCAAACTGATTTGCGGGCCCGGGCACTCGACTTATACGAATGGCGGGTGCCCTTGGTCTTCGGGGCGGGCGTCAAAAGCATACATTCTCTCCTTCTTCAACTCCAGCTTACGCTGTGACAGCTGCCCTGATCTGCCGTCAAGATGGACCGCAAGACAAGCTCTCAACCAGTCGACGAAGGCAAGATTTTGACCTACGAGGAGAATCACGCACCGGAAGTTGTCACAAGATACGACGACTATCCCACCCCTATCTCCTCTGCTTACAACGGGGGCGAGAAATCCTTCTACGCCCCTCAATATGCTCAATATTCGCAACACCCATCCCAGCAACCTACTACCCCGGAGAAAAGGATTTGCGGCCTGAAGCGAACGACATTTTTTCTCGCAGTCACTCTCGCTGCGGTCATCATCATTGCAGCAGTTGGTGGTGGGGTTGGTGGCTCGATGGCAGTACAGCGAGCAAAAGAGTAAGAGAATTCACCCACGACTCGAGTCGGAAAGCTGATGCGGAAACAAAAAAAGACAAGCGGAAGCAGATTCGAAAGCGACGGCTGTTCTACAGGCCTCCAATATTCCTCTTCCCACGAGCGCGATCACTACTTCGGGTTCATTGACTTCAACGACTACCGCCACGTCCGATTCCACTACCACTGCTGCCAGGGGCGCTTCCATTTCTATCCCGACCTCAGGGCTTTTGACGAGGGACTCGTTGCAAATCAACTGTCCAAACTTGACGGGCAAGACGAGTGCTGTATCGTTGGGGGGAAAGCAGACGAACTTCAACACGGAGTGTAACGTGGACAACACAGGAGACGACGTCGACATTCTGACGCTGGTTGCGTACACGCTGGACACCTGCATGTTGGCATGCGCATCGTACAACAGCAAGAATTCGAATGCCAGCGCTAAGTGTATCGGGGTGCAGTTCAACGGACTGCTCGAGACGATGACCAGCTTGTACGGGGGCAACTGCTTCTTGAAGAAGGACACGGGCAAGAAGGAAACTACGACACAGACGTCGTCCTCGACTATCAAACAGTACAACATGCACCTGGCTGCCATGTTGAGTTGATGTGATGCTGGGACGGAAGCGATGACCGGAGTGCTGTAATGGGATGGGATTGGGCGCTTTTGTTTTTGTACTGGTTTAATGACACGTTTTTGAGATAACCAATTTGCTATCGATTATTGAAGAACAAAGATGCGAATATTTACGCTTCAGACAACTAGAATATTAATATCCAGTCTAGGTATACCAAGGCGGAAGCGGGAGGCCAAGGGGCTTGGGGTGACTAAGCGAATTGCATGGGTCGTAATCGAGTGGTTCTACCACACTCAGCGAACCTCATCTCTTGTGAACCATTGCATACTCAACTCTCAGCTGTCAGCAACACGCTGCTCTCAAGAATGCGGCGCCCACCGATCTAAATCGACCAGAATGCCTAAGACCCCTCATTCATGTCAATCATGATCTCCAAGACTCTCCCTGTGCCCTGCCGAAACGGCGCGCTCGGCATGGTGGCCTCTTTGAGCGTCGCCCGACGAGGCGACCCCGTCAGGTGCACCGCGAGCTCCCCTGGCCAAGCGAAGCTGAAAAATGCTCGTTGGGGATGTGTTGTGCATACCTAACCGCCTCGGGTTGGCGCGATATTACTCTCCTTCCAATCTGGCAGCAAATGCTTCTCAGGTGGCGCAATTATCTGGCCCTGGGCGCCCAGCATCCCGGCAGCTACCCCATAATCACGGCTCAATCCTGAGTCCGTCGACATTGCTGGAGCAGACAGAAAAGGGCCTGCGACCCGGTCCTTTCTTCTTCTGGGATATCCTAGGACCACCGTCCGCTTGCTTCTTCGCTCTCAATCTTCAGCAACTGGCAGGTCGCGCTTTGTCGGCGCTGTCCCGCGGGTTCCCTAACAAACCCCAACGGCGAGCTTCTCCGCATCTCTCCCTGCGGGGGTGGAGCAGCGACAGGGACCTATTAGTCGGGACTGACAGGCGAGAGGTCTGCTGGTTCTCAAGATGAGGTTCTCGAGGGCAATCCCACTCGCGGCGCTGGCAGATACGGTTGTTTCTCAGCTAGTCGTTTCGGCCGATTTCAAAAGAGTCACATTTCCTCCAGATTTGGTCCAAATTACTCGCCGCGACACCCTCGACCTCACAGCGATCAACAACATCACTGGCGGCGGCTACTATTCCGAAGTGGAAGTGGGCACCCCCGGCCAGAAGATGCTGCTGCACCTTGACACGGGGAGCAGCGACACTTGGATTTTGCACAAACAGGCGGACCTCTGTAATAGTCAACGGTTGCAAAGAACGTACAGCACCGGCTGCACGAGGACCTTCGACGCGGACGAGAGCTCGACTTACAAAGTCGTCTCGAGGAATAGCTTCGATATCACATATCTCGACGGCAAGAACATCAAAGGCGACTATATCTCAGACACCATCAGCGTCAATGGGAAGAAGGTCTCGAACCAGCAGTTGGGCCTGGCGATACACACCGTAAAGGGCTCGGGCTTGCTAGGCTTGGGGTTTTCGACGGGGTTATCAACACGACGCAGTTATCCCACCGTCCTTGACAACATGGTGTCACAGAAACTGATCGGTCGGAAAGCCTTCAGCCTATGGTTGGTATGAGTCTCCGAGCGCATTTTTTTAAAAGCTTTCAGTGCTGACCAGTTGTACAGAACGACTTATCGTCATCAGAAGGAACTGTACTATTCGGTGGCATCGACACGGAAAAATACCTTGGGTCGCTTACTACCCTGCCACTCGTGGAAGACTTCCACTCCGAGCGCATGACCAGCTACAGTGTAGCCATGACTGGCGTTTCCATCGAGGCTCCTGATGGGAAGGTGACACAGGCGGGACCGCAGTCTTTCAACGCCTCAACGGTGCTCGATTCAGGCTCTACGGTATGCCTGCTTCCGGACAAGATGACCAAACAAATCTGGGCCAAATTTGACGTGGTCGATGCGGGCTATGGCTTCATCGACTGCAAGTGGAGAGGAGCTGACGGCGACAACTACTTCATCGACTTCGAATTCGACGGTGTTACGATCCGAGTTCCGCTGGAGGAGATGGTCCTCGACAACCTCGACCCGATCATGGACCAGCTGGACGGTCTTCTCCCGTTCGACAACCCCTGCATGTTCGGCATCCAAAGCAACGCCGCCTTCGGCGTCACAAGCAGTGGCTTCGCTCTGCTGGGGGACACGTTTCTGCGAAGCGCGTACGTGGTGTACGACGAGATCAACCATCAAGTCGGCATCGCCCAAGCGAACATAAACTCGACCCGCTCCAACATCATCGAGTTGCGCGCAGATGAAACGGCATTGCCGACGGCGACCGGCGTCGCTACCCAGGTATCGACTCCAGCTCCGACGAGGACTCCGACGAGGGCCGCCGAACCGAATCGCCCTGAGGAGACTTCTATTCCGGTGACCCCGACACCAACAGACCTACAAAACGGTGCATCTCGGTCCGGCACAGCACGGATGGGATCTAATGAGGTCGTAATGATGGCACTTACATCGATATTTGCCGTGTTTGGTGCAGCGCTTCTGGCTGCTTGATCTTCGACCCCAAAAATAGCGTACCATAATGTATGAGACTAATATACCCACACTGCTGGAATTGCAAGAACGCAACCTGTAGACGGAAGCTCGCGGCGAAACTCGAATAAATTCACTCACTTGATCTTAATCCCAACACGGCCAGCCTCTGTTGGATTGACACGATTCAGGTTCATCTGAAGCTGAGCACGCCGTGTAAAGTTCAAATCTTCAAGGTGTGGAGCGGGTACACCCGATGGGGAAATTTTTTTCATGCACTTTTCGTCACTCCTACCGGGTGGGCGGCTTTTCAACTCATCTCATCCCGAACTCGGCTTCATCGTCCCATTGACTCAACTCTCCATTCACTCACAAGGGTCGCAAGGATCTTGAGATATCGTTTCCAATTCTCTTCTCACGAGGCAGCCTTTTATTCATTCCCACCTCACTCCAACAACGAAAGCTTGGCCTCTGCCCCTCATCGATTACCCCTCCACCCCACCTTCTCCCATCTACCTACACAATCAAACACAATGGCGACCACCGACCGCGTCACCTCCGTCGACCTGACGGGCCTCAAGAAGATCGGCCAGGGCAAGGTCCGCGACGTCTTTGAAGTCGACGACAAGACCCTCCTCTTCGTCGCCTCCGACAGGGTCTCGGCCTTTGACGTGGTCATGCAGAACGGCATCCCCGACAAGGGCGCCATCCTCACCCACGCCTCCGTGAGTTGAACTCCCGCCGCCGTCGCCGTAGACTGCCGAAACACCGTCATCGCTAACCACGAAAAAACCTCGCTGCAGGCCCACTGGTTCAAGGTGCTGACGGACCGAGTCCCCGGCCTCAAGACCCACTTCATCACCCTCGACCCCCCGGCCGGCCTTCCCGCCGCCGACGCCGCCCTCATCAAGAACCGCGCCATGCAGGTCCGCCGTCTCAAGGTCGTCCCCCTCGAGGCCATCGGTTCGTCGTCCCACTCTCTCTTTCTCATCACATCAACCCTCGCACAGTCTAACCCATCCCCCAGTCCGCGGCTACATCACCGGCTCCGCCTGGAACGAGTACAAGTCCAAGGGCACCGTCCACGGCATCGCGGTGCCCGCCGGCATGCAGCAGTCCCAGGCCTTCCCCGCGCCCCTGTACACGCCCAGCACCAAGGCCGAGCAGGGCGAGCACGACGAGAACATCCACCCGGACGAGGCCGCCCGGCTGGTCGGCGAGGCGACGGCGCGCCGCGTCGAGCAGCTCTCGCTGCGGCTCTACTCGGCCGCGCGCGACTACGCCGCCGAGCGCGGCATCATCCTCGCCGACACCAAGTTCGAGTTCGGCGTCGACCCGGAGACGGACGAGATCGTCCTCGTCGACGAGGTGCTCACGCCCGACAGCAGCCGGTACTGGCCCGCCGACAAGTACGAGGTCGGCCGCGACCAGGAGAGCTTCGACAAGCAGTTCATCCGCAACTGGCTCATCGAGAACGGGCTCAAGGGCAAGGAGGGCGTCACGCTGCCCGAGGAGGTCTGCCTCGCTACGGCGGAGAAGTACAAGGAGGTGTTTTTGAAGTTGGTCGGTAAGAGCTTTGACGAGGTTGCTAAGGCGTGAGGAGGGGAGATTGATGAAGATTGATTGAGATGTGGTCTGCTTGCGATGTAGATTCCGAAATTCATAAAATGAAAGATGAACAACAGTTAAAAAGGATGCCTTAAGTGGCGAAAACCCATCCTCATACTGCCAGTGACCAACATATGTACATTGACACGGCCATCATCTCCAATCAGATGCACTCATCGCCACACTCAAACGCGCATCATAGTAAGAAAACTCATATTCGGGTTATGAGATCACTCGCTCAAGAAACCCCATAACTGCAGGTGGTGGTTGTGGAGGCGCCAATGACGCATGTTTACACTTTTTCACAACGGCAAAGCAACGGTTGTGCCTTCGTATGTCCAAACACCTTCGATGATGAATGCTGCGGAACACATTTGAAAAGTTAAAATCCACTCATCCACGTTTTCAGGTGTTTGTGCTGGAGTACGATTTACGTGGATAGCCTTAGGAAAACTCCTGTCGTCCTGCAGCCCCATGCCGCCAGCCGTCCTTCCCGTTTCCGTTGTGTTCTTCCCTCCGACGTCACAGAGTTATACCTCTACGGCACTGGGTTCAAGTCATGAGGATGGCGTCAACTATCTCGTGGAAGATTCCTCTCTCTGTACCGCCGCTCATGCGAAGTCTTAGTTAACCTCTGTGTGTTTTGACCGCACCTTTTCCATCTTCGTCGCCTTATCACGTCTCCACATGGCCCAACTGGCGAGAACCCAGATGAGCCCGATGGTAAGAGCCAAAGCAAGAACTGTTGGAGGTAAGACGCATGAGAAGAATTTCTGTCCAGGCTCGTTGATGATGTGACGTGTGAGATGGGAGGGAGGATGGTCTTGGGAGGAGACACATTCAAAGTTATTCTCAGCTAACAGCACTTTTAGATCTCGCCCAGTCGTGAATGATAGACTTGATGGCATCCTACGCAGAGTTCCACGGGCATCTCAAACTCAAATATGATGAATGAGACCCGTAAATGAGAACCCCGTTGGGAAAGCTTGCTGGTAGCCCTATCAGAGATTCAATATCGGTTTACCTATAAAACAGATGACCTCCATCGTTTTTCTTTCACTCAAAATTCTACCCCGAACCTAATCAGACTTCTGAAATCCGCATCTTAGGAACCATCTCACACATTTCTCCGCCACCATGAGAATCGCTGCTGCTGCCAGTGTGCTCTTTGCACTCAAGGCAAGTTCCCACACTCCCGTCTAACGGCGGCTGTGCTAACGCTGTGAGTAGGCCTTCGCCTTGCCTACCGGTGACGAGCTCCCCGACCACCCTGCCATCGACAGTGAGAATGACGACTTCAGCTTGACCTTCACCGGACCCGTCGTCGTCGGCGGTCCCAACGTGACCCTCGCCGGGTCCGCCAAGTCCATCTACCACCAGGTCGTCAAGCTCAACCCCAACTACGACGCGGACTTTTCGTTCAATAAATCCGATGCCGTAAGTTCCATCAACATGAAAGAGCAAATGGACCCTCCCCTGTCCCTGGGCAGTCGCCCAGCCTGCTGTCCCGCCATGTCGATCATCCTCCATAGACGCCGTCGTCTGCCGCCGTGCCTCTTGCTGACGTGTGGTGGGTTTCGCAGGAAAACTCCAATACTTCTACGAGCACCTCCTCGATGTCCAGTCTCCAGCCTAGGGATGATCATGCCATCCAGCGTATGGCTGATGCGAATGACCCTGACCTTGGTCCTCAACATGGCACCTTCGACTGCGACATAGACGACAAGGTGGTCCACGACGCCGTGTCAAGGTGCATTGAGGGTTTCGATTACCTCCAGAAACTCGGAAACGCTGCTTGCGGAGCCGCACCTAATTCGACCGCTCGCGTGAGCTGCTCCGAAAAGTGCGGCCTGTTCTATCACAACCTCGTACGTTACAAGCAAACAAACCCCTCCCACCCTCCCACCCTTTTGTTTTGCTTCAAAATGCTAGAAGGCCGAATCATTGCTAACATGTACGGGTTGCCCGTAGACACCTTTTCACCGCGACCGCCCTTGCATAGATGTCCGCAATGATCTCGTGAGGATTTTAAGAAAGTGCGGCAACAGCGTGTGGCTGGGCGAGAGCTGGGATGCCAAGGGGCGTCTGACTAAACCAGATGGGAAGGACTACGTTGAACTTCGAAGGGACAAGTGCTAAGGGCTGCAGAGGCCTCTGCTGTGAAGAGCTGTTGCGTTGTCTCTCCTGAAGGATTTGAGTATGAAGCATTTTGGCATGGACAAGATGTTCAGGACTTTACGGATAGACCGGCGGTAACGAGCTTGGTGATTCTCATGTCATGATCTCTTCATGAACGTGTCAGTGGCGGGCAACTTTTGTATCTTGAGTAGTAGATTGCAAAGACAATGACAGTACGCAAACGGCCTTCGGGAAGTGAATCTGAACTGTGTCATTAAACCTGCCATGAATCTAATTCTAACTTTCACACACTTGGTGTCTCCAAGCCAACCAAACTCCCAATTATCTCCCGCCTCTTCTTCTATCTTACATATGGTACCATGGTCCAGGAGCAGGAGCCCCTGCCTGATGATTCTCCATCAGCGGGTTCTCCATCAACGGAAACGAATTCTCCATCAGCGGATCAGGTGCGACAAAAGACTCTGCGATGACTCCATTGGCCTGCGTACCAAAACTGGCGAAGCCCTGTGCGTAAAAAAGGTCGCTGTTCCCTCCGAAAGACGACCCAAGTTGATTTCCGTCGTTCGTCCAGATCCAGTTCCGGCTGGTCGCGTTATGCAACGGCGGGTACCAACCTCCAAAGTTGATGCCAGCATTCATTCCTTCCATGTTGAAAGAAGACTGTTGCGCATCGAACATTGGAGGTACCGTGTCTGAAGAGCCTTCCAACAACCCATCCGAGGTATATATTGCTGGCATGGCGATTGACTGGGCGGCTTCGGTCGGTTGCGTGCTTCGAGTCGACTCGGCTGGGCGTGGGTCTCGTTCCGAGGTGTCCGAGTGACCAGTGGCTTCTACCTCTGGTGATTCTGATTTGGACGCCTCGCTCGCTTCCGCTGCCGCCGCCATTTCCCGAGGCTGCCAGGTCATCATCACATCTGACCCCTTCAAAGCATCCTCGACCCTTCGACGCTCCACACTGCTGAATCTCTTTCCAAGTGCCTTCTCAACCAATTCACAAATGGTTTCTTCCAGGAGTGAGGGGACGCCTTGCGTGAATTGGGGCCAGGTCCCGCGCTGAGTCGCTGGCACAGGGCCAGATCCGCAGGTAACTCCATCAATGAAGAGCTGATAGACTGCCATCAAAAGTTAGTGAGACATTCCAACTCTTGCCAGACGAGACTCAAAGAGTGCTTACACGGATCAGGCATCTTGTCACTGTTCGGGAAGAGAATCCCATACACATGCCTCCACTTGTCCTCTTCTGACTTGACTTCTGGTGGGTATCTCTTGCCCTTCAGCTTTTTCAGCTGAGATGCATTGAAGCCCTCAACAGAAACCGCTTCATTAAGCTCGCAAGAGACTTCCAAGCGCCGGTGCTCTGCAACGTCTTCGTCTTCATCGAACGTCTCCCCACAGCGGCTGCAGTGTGGTTCCTGCTGGTGCGTTCGGTACAGGTGCTCTCTGGCCAAAGTCATTATCCAAGCTTGAGTGAGAACAGCATGGAAAGAGCTTACTTCATTCTATGGACAGTATCGTAAGCTGACCCGCGGCAGCCTTTTCTCTGTCCGTACGTGTGTGGATCATATTTCAGATACGGACAGGCCAGCCGCCGCTCAAAGACCGACTCCACAGGTGTTTGAGGGCCATGGTCGATCTTGCGTTTCTTACCGGACCGCGTTGTGGTTGCAGGTTCATCGCCTACGTTGTTTGACATCTCTAACCTGGCATTGTCACAGCCAGCATGCTGGTCACCCTATGTCATGTGTTAGCTCGAGCCTTTGGTACCCAAAGCAGTATTGGCTTTAAGTCTTAGCGACGATGACGTACACCACCATCGGTAAAGGGGTTTTCTGGCTGTTGACTCAACAGCTGTGTTGACGTATTGTACGCCGATGTTGAGAGGGTAGTTGTGATCTCGACTGGCAGCTGCTGTGTTTCCAGAAGGGAGTTCTTGGGTGCTAAGATAGAGGTCATGATCTCACTTGGCAGCTGTTGAATGTGTGTAAAGAAACTGTAACTAGCTCGGAGGGTGTGAACGTCACAAGGGACCTTTCACATAAAACGCAGAACTTCTTTTTGATGCTCAACAATTGCGGATATATAAGATGAACGCGAAGCCATACAGTACAAGGTAAAGTAATGGAAGATGTAGTCCAAAAATTCATGAGGAATTGGAAATCAGCAGATTGACTTATAGACCGAGACTAGGAGGTGGTTGATGTGTTGCGGACAACATGTTGTGCGCACCAATCAGACTGGGATTGAAATCTCGCTGACGTCTTGCCAATCAGGATCCATTGTCATTGAAATATCCACCAACCTACCTACATCAACACGACAGGCGCACCGGCCCAATGGGGAGCAGAGGGGAAGAAGACAGAAGCAGCACGTGGCACCGTGGAAAGCGAGAGGGAGAGGACTCCCTGAATGCTGCCGCGATAACTTGATCCTGGTACTTTCATGCTCCCGCCCCTAGGACCGCAAAGTGTTGATATGATGCTTTCGCAGCTGAGTACTTGAATCACGATGGCTATACAGAAAAGATCATCGTTGTCTCGACGGCTGACTGAAGTCAAGCGCTTGCTAACCTTTCCCGCAAATACACTATTTGTACCACCTCAGACTCAGAAATTTCCCACCGACTTCAGGTTGACGATTGAACATATTCTTTTGCGGATTAACAATCGTTGATGAACAATTGAACATTAAGGTCTTTAGCATCCGAACCAGCCGTACCCCAGGGTACTTCCTCCGCAACACAGGTCCAACAAGGCCCGGTTTCCGTGATCCAATTCTTTCCTCGCCCAGAGTGATATCCCGAGGCGCCGCTGAAAGCCGTATCGTTTCCTTGGTGCTTCATGGCTCAAGCAAGATCTCTTTCGCGTGATCTGTCCGTCTTCGCTTGGCTCAATTCCCGCAAAACTTATATCTGCCCACAGTCAACAGATCTGATCCAATTGGCTGAGTCTGATGATGCGTTTGAACCTGTGTCGCGGTTCAACTTTGCACGAGTCCGCCTGAGTTGCTGGTCGTCTAGCCCCATGGACTTCAAGTGATGTCGCCAATACTCTGTTGCTTCACTCTACTGAGGCTTAATCAGAATTATTTCCCATTGTTGTCCCATATCTGGTCCTTGAAGTCGTCGCGAATGTTCCTCTGGATGTGCCGGTGGCTGGGACTGAGGTCGGCGACTGGAACAGTTTTGGCTGGTCCTAGATTGTCTGCTGCAACTCAATGCTTGTCGCACACACTACCCTTCATCTGTAATTATCTCTGCATCCGAAGTTTTCAACATCGCATACGCATCTAAGGCCATGGCCGCTATGAGCATCGTTGAGCGTCCAGCCTGCTTTCGTCAAGAATCAAACGTCCATAGAACTCAACCTTTTTGAGGTCTCTCATCTCAAGATGGACAGAGTGCTTTCTCTATCGATGATTCCGAACCTCGCAACCCACATGTCCGCCTTGCGCAGGAACAAAGGTCTGTTTGGAGAGATCTCATGACTGTTCGACGAAACGTTGCATGATTGAATGTAAAGATGTCGAAAATCTTTATGGGACGAGGCTTTCGAAGGTGCACATTCATGAGGCTGCTCAGGGATTGAAGGTCTGCCTCACAGCAGCTCCTGGGCTCGCGAGAACAAATGCGCACTTTCGCAATTCCGTCTTTACGTACATCTCGGTCCCTGTTCGTGACGTAATTTGGGTTGCCGACCCAATGGCGACCAGGTGCAGTCAGCCCGTTGACTTACTAGATGACTGCCACCAGTACGAACGGCCACCTCAAACCCCGCTCGCTCTGCTAACCTGCTGGGCCGCAAGGGGGACCTCAATCCCCGATTCGCTGACATGCTCAAGGGACGGCCGAAAGAGGATCCATGCAGTCTCACCCGCAGATGAGCGCGAATGTTCGCTCCGATGCGAGGAATGCGCTGGCTACCCTTCAACGCATAACACGCACCTGAGCAAGCCGAGTTCCAGCCTGGTCATCGCCCAGCCAGTACAATCTAGCAAATGGACCAGCATCTACCGTACTCAGCAACTGCGTATTTATTGGCTTCACCACCCTTCACCACTCGCGATTTCACGCCATATTCATACTTCATAGTCCTTCATAATGAATATCAGCTGCTCTCTTCCGACGCAAAACCTCGTCACGATTCCCCTCCGTCTCGCACCAACGCTCCGGTTTCCCAACTTCAACTTAAGGAAGTGAGTTTGCTATGCTTCTCATTAACAAAAATAGAGAACAGGACATAAGCCCAACAGATTTGTCATTTGCTAATCATGAAGACCCAGTTGGGATAACCGCTCATGTAATCGTTCATGAAGTCGCTTTTAAAGCTTTTGGTCGAACCACTCCAACCATCGTTTCAGTCGCCTGGGATCTGGTTGAGCATGTTATTGAGACCAATGGCCTCAGATATGTAACCTAGGATATGGGGTTGCAGAATTCAAGGTATGTCTGCCTGATCCGACCACTTTCGTAAAGATGACGAGCCGAGGGATGTTGATTTAGCTTTAGTATCAGGTCAGTTTGATGCCGATGACGATATTCTGGTGGGAAACGCCAGGTATTCACCGGAGAGCATGATACTTATAAGCAGAATGCCAAGGGAACTCGCAATCCCGCAACCGGGTGCTATACCTGCGAAGTCTTAATACCACTATCACCCGATTCGTGATATGAAGCTGTGTCTTTTGAGATATATATATACGACGCTCTTCAATGCTTCCGAGCCGCAGACTTTAGAGCTATTCGTCCACTTGAACTAAATAAGACTATCTTCTAGATTTCACATCCCGAGCCATCGCTCATCAGCAGCAGCCCATGCTTGATTGGTTCCCGCCAAGGGATATTCATTCGCTGCCAGAAACGCTTCCGTAGTGACGATGTCAGGCTGTCCGCCACAGTTCCCGAAGTTCTGAACTTGCAATGAATCGGTATGCCCCTCGAAAGAAAACATAAACCCATAATTCCCACCGTTGATCCAGTCATAGCTTATCCTGTTGTCCAACGGCCACCGAGACCAGTCGCCAAACTCAAACTCCTCGCCCATAGAGAAGTTTTCTAGTTCAAGAGGAGATATCCGTGGCTCGGTAGGCGGAGGTGCCACGTTCAGAGTGTCCTTCGGTGCCACATCCGACGGAACGGCTTCGGGCATGCTGCTTAAAGCAAACATCGCCAAAGGCTCCGCGGCGTCTGGAGTATGGAGACTCTGGCTCAGCTCGGATGAACCTGGCGTTAGCCCTGAGCCCTCTGGCTCGTCAATGATTCGCTCCTCTGAAGAATCGTGAGTGGTCTCCTTGTCTGCCCTCGCTTCTGGACCTTCTTTCTGGGACAGCTGGCTCATCTTTACCGCAAACCCCTTGAACACGTCCATAAGCTTCCGACGTTTCGCCAAGCTGAGTTCCATGCCGATTGCCTTCTCCGCCAGTGCGTATGTATCTTCCTCTAGCTGCAACGGGACGTCTTGCGGGAGAATGTGCTCAGTGTCTTCTAGATCCAACCGTATCAAGCCAGATTTTCGGGATTCGTCATCGAAAATGGGCTTGTAAACTGTAATGACAGTCAGTAATCATTCCAGCGACCCTTGAACTGGGACCCAAGCTCCGCTGGGGTCTAAGAGAATGCTTACAGGGATCGGGCGTGTCCTTGCAGTTTGGAAAGAGTATCCCGTATATATGTTTCCATTTGTCCTCGCGGGAATTGACCCCTTTCACTCGCTTCTTACTCTTCAGCTTCTCGCCTTGGGCTTTATCATAACCCTCGAGTGAGATCCCTTCAACAACTTCACAAACAGTCTTGGATTTCAGATGTCTGTTTCTCTCCTCTTCATCATCAAATATAGTACGGCAACGCGGGCAGTTCTCCTTCTGCCTATGGGTTCTGTATAGGTGCTCCCTTCCAGCCCCGAGTTAGCTTCTCAACATCAAAGAAGTGCATAATATGTTAGTATTTGGGAACTCACTTTAGTCTGTGTATGTCCTTGAAAGCAGCTCCGCGACAACCTCGCAGCTGCCCATACTTTTCCGCATCATGCTTTAGGTACGGACACGCCAGCAGGGGTAGCAAGGCCGGCTCAGGATGAGGTTGAGGTTCGTCCAACCGTTTTCGTTTCTGGTTGCGTCCAGGCACTGATGGTCTCTTATTGTCCTCGATTTCTGAGATGTCCAGATCGGCGTCAAAGCGAACATTCACCGCACGCGGTCCGTTTGAATGTTCCCCCGATCTAGCCTTCGTGTCGGAATCGTGACCTCCGGGTGCCCTTGACTCCATGAAGCGGTGTGTTTCGCCGTGCTCGCCCATCTGACTATTGCGGTTGACTTCCCCCGGAGTAGCAGGCGTCTTGAGGTCATCGGCGGGTTCGCCTCGACCAAAACTGCTTCTCGAAGGAAAAGGACGACGCAAGGCACGAACAGTGTTGTAGGACATCCCCAGTTGCACATCTCGGCAATTTTTCGAAGGCAGATCTTGAAGCTCGCCATCTTCGTCCGAACTGCATGCTTCGAAGAAAGGCATCTATGCCGACCATTAGCTTCCGCCCTCTAAAACTCATGTCGTCGAGACAGTGCTCTCGCTCCATGGGCCGACGTACCTCAAGCAGAGTCGCAGACCAATTCTCGCTTTGGGAGGGGCCATCACTGTCCCGCTCTTCGACGATCGGCTCCGTTGATGACGTCTGGTTTGCCAGGTGAAGAAGTCTCTCACGATTGGCCTCCCGACGTCGCAACCTCTCGGCTCTCGACGCAACAGCATCATGACTCAACGGTGCCAACTCTTCATTGTCAGACTCGCTGCGCTCAGAAACGGTCCGCTTTCCTATACTGCTCGCAGTGCAGCGGCGAACCCTGCGCAGCTCTCGCAGCTTGCGAATGAACTCGACATGCTCGGCCTCTTCATCATCGGTGTCAGAGGAGTCTGAATTCGAGGCGCTGCAGTTCAAGTTGCGCATGTCTCGTAGTAGGCTGTGCGGGATCTCGAAGGGGCCGGGGCTCTTCGTGTCCTTGGAGTCGACATTCTCGTCGTCGGATGCTTCATCATAGCCGTCGAAAACAAACGTGATGTGAGCCTCGTCGAGACTCAACTCTGCTATCCAGCTCGCCAGCCTGTCAGAGGCATCGTCTTGCTCGCCGATGATGCTGTACTCCTGGATCGTCGCCGAGTCGGCAGGCTCGCTTTTGACGGCGGACATGTTGGAAGGTTGAATAGTCAGAGATGGCTGTCGGGGCAAGGCGAAGACAAGAACGGGATTGATGCGTATTGAGTCGATGTTCATCGAGGTCAATCTTGCTTTTTAAAGACCAAAACAGAATATCGCAGCTTCGCAATTCTCAATGGTCGTACTTACGGACCCTTGCCTCGCGCCCATCTGTGGTTGGCTACAGTATATGCAATGCATGGCGCAGCAGAGCTGAGCCGACAGCCCCGCCCAAGCGCGTATCTTTCTCTTCTCGGATTCATCGTCATCATCTTTCTGATAGTCGGAATGATTAATGGCGACCTATGTCGGCATTCGACAGCTCGAAAGACGGCCGTCAGTCGGTGAAAGCGAAGCGTATGTGGCTAGATACCCCTGAAAATGGCCAAACGTGCTTCATGCATTCGTGCGATGTACGCAGTTCTTAAGACAAAAGACGCAGCTACATCGTATTGGGGAGGAGAAGGGAGGGGGAGTTCGTGAAATGAATAGAATCTAAGGCCACTGCCTCATAAACATTGCGCCTGTCCGTACGAAGAGTAACCGTGCCATCATGATTAGAGTCCTCGCAGAGGCATCATCTCTACCAATTGACACCTGGAAACGATCCACCCACGTCGCTCGAAGGCAGCAGACCTTCATACTCCTCGCCGATCAAATCAATCACAGGCATTTGGAACCCAGAGTTCTCAACGTCGCGAAACCAGTCGTAATCCATCCCGTCCTCAATACTTCCGGTCCAGCCGACGAACCATCCGAGGTTCAGCTCCTCACCTAACTTGAATTCTCGCGGTTCTAGTGACGGCCCTTTGACCTTTTCTTCGACGAGCCGCGTGGGCCTCGCGGGCTCGTTCAAAATTTGGCGTGTACGTTTCTGGTCATTCTCCTCGGACAGTACCCCCGCAGATTTTGTTGTTCGTGCTTTGTGGCCAGATCTGAGGGGCTCAGAGAACCCTGAATCTGGATCCGAACTCTCAGGAGACACGTCCTGTTCGCCCTCAGGGATCTCAACCGCCACCTTGCTTGAATCATCCTTGGCCGTCGTTTGACCCTGTCGCAGGGCTTCCATGACGGCGTCTGTGACATTTCTTCGTTTCGTCCTGCTAAGATGAGTTCCTATGGCCTTCTCAATGCCATCACATATCTGTTCCCGAAAATCGTCGGTGAAGATCTTTTCAATATCCCGGGGAGCCAGGGCCGAATCACCCAGACCGGCGTCGAAATACGGGTTGTAGACTATTCTGCATCAGTTTCTCGGCTCGGAATTCGCACATGCATGTATTGTGACATGCCACTTACACGGATCTGGAACTTCTCTGCAATCGGGGAAGAGAATCTGGAAAATATCCTGCCATTTTTCTTCCTCCGACTTGGATCTCGTCCGCTTTTTGCTTTGCAACTTTTCCTTTTGGGATGCATCAAAGCCCTCAATCACGACGCCCTCCGCAAGCTCGCAGGCATCTTTTGATCTGCGATGCTTCTTGACGTCTTCTTCCGTGGAGAAAATCTTCCGGCATCGATCGCAGTTCGGCTTTTGTCCATGAACTCGATACAGATGCTCCCTGGGGACGTCAGAGCTGGCTTGTCGGACTCGAGCAGCAACTACTTACTTCACCCTGTGTGTAGAAGGAAAAGAAGGCCCGCGGCAACTCGGACGCTGTCCATAGGTCTTGGGATCGAACTTCAGATAGGGGCAAGCGAACTTGCACGTGGAGATTGACTGCCGAACCTTCCTAGGGGCAACCTCGGGAGTGCCGCTGGGGACTTGGAGAGGTTTTGGCAGCTTGGAAAGGTCGTCAACTCCACGCGATTCCTCGTCTCCGTTGTCCTCAAGGTCGGCGTCGCAAAGGACTGGTGGACGCTTCTTCACATCAAATGTAGCGTTGGGGACTTCGCCGTCCGACGGAGGAGACTTGGCCAACTCGATACCTGAAGGTTCACACTCGGGCTTGAACTTGGGAAGAGGGGGTGGGCTATGTCTTGGGGGTGCCCTCGGTTTGACTTTGACCTCCAGCTCCTCGTTGTTTTCAACTTTGTTGATTGCCGTTAGCCCTTGACGCTTTTGGTTGAGAGGAGACAGGGCCCAAGTACCTGGGACAATGCAGTCTGTAGTCAACACAGAATGGCGCATGGCCAATGACTGCTTTTCATCAGGTTCTGCAACGTTGCGAACAGCTTGTCCATGCCCCAATCCCTCATGCCGGAGGAGATCCTCGCCATGATCGTTGCTGAAGCTGGTCTTGGAGGGGCATTTGCCGACGTCGGGATGACCTCCACCGCCGCCTCTGAGCCCGTATCCGTAATAGTCGACATACTCCTCATGGATTCTCAGCCCGGCGAACATCTGCGCCAGAGGATCCATGCTTTCGACGCGGTCAAGAAACCCGACCTTGTTGCAGCTTCCACAGTCGTGCTTCTTCCAATCTCTGCGCTGAAGGTAATCCCCGAACTCCTCTGGGAGGCCGATGACGTCGACGATGCTGGGCATTTCGGGTTCGAACAGATGGTCCTCCGGGTCAAGAAGTTGCAACATGGCGTCCATAATTTCCCCTCGGAGACAGCAACTCTATGGGCTTTAATTGGAGACGTGTGCTGAAAAGAGGATTGATTTCACGCGGTCGGTGCAACCCAGCGATTCTTCTTCACGCGGCGCCTGCCACTTTTATGATGCGGAATCGCGCATTGTCGCAATTTCCTGCTGACGCGAAAGCAACCCTATTCGCGGTTTGGACTGCGGCGCCTGTTCACTGATGCTGTAAATCGGTCCAATGGTGACCACCCGGTCAATGGGTCGCAAGTTGCCTCATGAGATCATGCGGCATCATCCAGCGGGCGATTGGCTACCTGGCTCTGCACATGCCGCGCTCTCAGGCAGTCAGTCTGTCTACCGCCTCACTCATAGCCCCCTTGCAGGTCAGTCAGCCAATCCGTGACCCAATCTCTCCCCATTTCCCGGTGTAGGAAGTTGATAGATAACGGATAGAATCTAGAGATTTTCACAACATACCCAGGTGTTTGGGGGTAAAGGGGTGGTAGATGAGGCACCGCTCGCTGAAAGTTTTCAAGCTCACTTTCGTCTTTAGCGTCGGAAGCAACTTATATTCAGGATACTGCCCAGCAAAGTGACACTACCAAGCTGGTAAACCTCTTTCATGAATCTAGTGGGCATGCGATCGCGCAGATCTGGTCGGAGAGTGCATTGTAGGCATGATGGTGATGGAGATAACAGTCCAGAGAAAATACTTTGCTCGGGAATGAATGGTCTTTCCTGATCAGGCCCCTGAACGTTCAGTGTGGAAGGCAAGGAATGGCCGCGAGTGGTGTCCTCTGTAGGCAAGCAGGGCGATATCTCGTGGAAAGGAATGCGTCCTGCTCACAGGCAAATCAGGGCGGCCGCTCTTCAGCGCGGCTTGGACGCACCCGGACAAGCTGAGCCCCAGCCTAATCATCGCCCAGCCAGCACATTCCAGCAGATGGACCAGCAGATACCGTACTCAGCAATGAATTATCTCCTACACTTGTCAGAGTCTTTTCTATAAATACAAGGCTCCGTCTCTCGGCCCAATTCTTCTCGTTGACTCCTGTGCCAAAGCTCAACATCTTTTAGCAAACTTCCTCCAATCAAATGGTCCCCTCCGAAGAAGCCCTTCAGACTCTGCCAATGTGAGGATACCGGCCGAGTACGATGTCTTCACAGACAGAAGCTTCCATCCGCGAGAAATCAGACACGAGACGTCGCCCCGAAAATCCTTCAGTCGAAGTCGAGAAAAGCAAAACGAAATGCCGCCAAAACGAAACACAGTATGCCATGCGATGCTGACCATTCATGCCATGCCCGACCGCCAATCGCCGTGTCGCCCGCCAAACCAACCATCTCTCAAAACCGTTTCTTTTGTCGCAAAGCTCGCCACAGTCGTGATGCCAAACAGGAAAAAAATTAATCGTCAAGTCGCGCTTGAGGAAGGCCAACAAGGTCTAGAACGAGGGCGGGCCAAAGTGTGCCCGTTGCATGCAGTCTAACCTCCATCGTGCTGAAAACAAGAATGCAGATTGCGGAATTCTCGTGCGAAACGTCTTTCGTTATCGATGCCGTGTTGCACAAGTGCCTGCGATAGAAGTGTCTGTGCTCGTCGAATGCGTTGATGTGCCTCCAAGGATGTGTAGGAGCTGCCGTTGTGTTTCTGTAGTTGCCTGCCTTATCGGTGGCAAAAGCCTTGCATGTTCCGTTACAAGGCTATGCAAGAAGACCAAGCTCTCATTGTTACGGGAAACCAGCTTGTCAAGTGCTGTTTATCCTTGGACTAGTCGACGTTGTCGAAGAGATCGCGATACTCGTCGGCGACATCAACGTCGTTCCCTCATCATCGTGAGCATTTGACTAATGCCGCCCAACCTGGCTGTTGCTCGCACGGCTGCGCTCGTCTTCCTCCTCCATCACATCACTGAGACGGGTCGGATGATGATGTCTAGGGACGGTCTCCCAGCCAGGCGCAGCGTAGCCCGAGCCAGAGTAATCCTCGGCAAGCTGTTGTTGACCGCCAGCGGAGGTGGTCGGGGGTTGTGAGTAGCCGGCGCTAGGAGGGTTGGTCGCAGGAGTCTCATACTCTTCTAGACCTTCGTCAGAAACTGGGGAAGGCGGAACAGCATAGGGAATCTTATTCCCCTGGGAATCGCGAATGAATTGGCCCTGCGCGTCAATAACGTACTCACCTTCACTGTAACCGCCTTCAGAGCCAGCGCCGGTGTAGCTGACACCCTCCTGGCCTGCATCGCCGGGTTGGTAGAAGTTGCCGCCGGGACTTGACGTAACGGGCGGGTTGGCCGGAGCCTGTGAGTAGTCGCCGGTGTAGCCACTCTGCTGGCCGGTGTAGTCCGACTGGTATCCGCGCTGATCGCGAGAGCTGCCATGGCGGCTCGGAACACCCTGCGTCATAGGCACGACCTGAACACCGCCGACAATGGTGGGCTGGCCGCTCTGAAGAGACTGAGTTCTCTCGCGCTCCTCGTGCTCACGGCGTCCGAGCTCTTCCCAGGCGCGACGGGCCTCCTCCTTGGAGATCTGAAGCTCCTTCTTCATCTCTTTGACGCGTTCATCGTTCGCCGAGGTAAGTCTCTCCTTCTGGATGGCGGCCTGGACAGCGTTTTCTCTAGCACGTCTCTCCTCTTCAAGGGCACGCTCCAGCATGGCATTTACTTCTTGGGATCGCTCCAGCTCAGCTCTGGTCTCGAAAAACCAGCGCTGGAATTTGCGCTCAGAGCTGGCGCGCAGACGCTGCAGCTCAACGACGGCGTGGAACAGGTTGGCACCGGCAGCAGTAAGGTCGGTCACCTGACGAGAGAGGGCCTGATTGACGGGATCGCGGTCAATATCCTGGTTGTTCTGCTCCAGACGTCTAATCCAGAAGCTGGTGAGACCCTCCCAGTGGGCTGACAAGGTCTCCCAGCGCTCGAATGCGTGGGGAAAGGAATTTCTAGGTCTCGATCCAGTGACGCTCGACTCCTGGCCGCCCTGGGTGCCGACGTTGGTAGGCTGCTGAGTGGAGCCGCCCTGTTGGGTGGTGCTGTACTGTTGCTGGCCAGCCTGTGAAATCGACGATGTGCGGGTAGGTCGAGTCTGGGGCTGTGACGTGGCCGGCTGGCGGGAGCTTCCTCCGGCAACGGGTCGGGGTTGTGGGGCATCGTTAGCTACGGGTCGGCGTTGAGAGGTGAGGTCTTGTTGGGGCACGTTGGCGGCGCCACCAGTTGATCCTCCTCCGGCAGCGCCAGTAGCGGCGGCGGCGGCGGCGGCAGCTCGGCGCTCCGCATTCCGTCTCTGAGTCTCCTCCAATAAACGAGCTTCTTGCTCAGCTCGCTGTCTCTCCAATTGCATCTGCTCCTGCTCGGCTTTCTGCCGGGCGGCCTCTCTGGCAGCTCGCTCCTGCATGATCATTCTAGGACCACGAATTCCAGAAGGCGAGCTGGTAGGGTTGGGCGCGCCGGTCGGGCGGCGAGTCGAACTGGACGCATTGCCATTGGAAGCGGCGGCGCCGCCTCCGATAAGGTCGGCCATTGATGCGCTTTCCTCGATCTCGTCGGGCGTGAACGGGTGGGGCTGTCGGAGCGCTTCTTCAAGTGCGAAGAGGATGGCGCTGCGGGTGTTTCTGGAGACGCGGTGAGGTCGGTGAGACTCGCGTCTTTTGTTGGGAGAGGAGGATGATCGGTCTCGGTATGACGGGGCTTCGTCCGAGGATTCTTCAAGGAAATCCTCGCTCAGATCCTGTGAAAGGACTCTTCGCGTGCGCGAAAATCGTCTGTCTTCGTGGGCGACGAGTCGGGGGTCGTCGTAGTCAACGGTAGCCGCGGGCGCAAGGGCTGGCGCAGGCGCGGGTGCAGTCGCAAGCTGTGCTCTGGGACTGAAACCTACCGAAGCAGCCTCGATGTGGACTTGGCGCGTTGACTGCGGAGTGGGACTCGGGGTCGCCTCGAATCGCGGCGTACGACGAAGGGTTCGATGGGATGAAGCTGTGGACGGTCTCTCAAGTAGATCCGGAGTGATGTTTCGCGCCTGCCTCCGCTGCTGGCGCTGGGAGGAAGAGGTCGTGAGTTCGTGAATTTCGTGACGGTCGTTAGAAGGCGTAAGGGGGGTTGGGTTCGTCAACTTTGCGACTTGGCGCAGGTCACTGCTCTGACCTGACGGGGTGGACAAGGTGAAAATCTCACCACCCGAGTGGTGATTGAGAGTCGTGGACGATTCCGGCAGCGTAGGTGATGATGATGAAGACCCGCGAGGATGCTGATCTTGGTGTTAGCAAGTACCGAAGGATAGCACACGAAGGTGGTGTGGGCTCCTCGGGGGTAACATGGGAAAAAAATAGGTGAGGTTGGAGGGAACAGGCAGGGAACAACTCACCTGGTAGGGTGGTATTCTGCTGATGGAGTACAGATAGACCACACCCAAAAAAGTGAATTAATAAAAGCGGTCTGCGCGCGCAGGCAAGATGCTGCTTTGCAGAGGAGAATCGAAAACCGGAGAGGGTATGGATCCTTAGGTCAATCGCAAGGGAGAGAGGGTGGTGACTTCGGAAGGCCAGCCAGGAGAGAGTGAGTGTCGAAGCTGGAGAAAATGGGAGAGGCTGGAGTAAGATGGAAAAAAAAGAAGGTGGCTAGGCGAAAGGGCGGCTTTGGGGGCGGCCAGTGGAAATGCGCGGAAGAAATGGTCGAAGCGCACTCTTTTGGGGGATAAGGCGGAAAAAAGATTAGATTGATGATGTCGTTGTCGTGATAAATAGGTGGCTTTAATTGGTGACTGTTGGAACCTGGATTGAAGCGGGTTTTGTTGCTGCGACGATTGGGCTTCTTGTTGTCGTGATGCAGACTTTTTGGTGGTTTGGGTGGGAAAGGTGGTGAAAGATGGGATGTGAGAGGGAGAACTCAAGTGCAGGTCTTGTGCTGCTACTTAGGTCTGCGTGGGAAGGAAGAAAAAGAAAACAACAAAAGTGCTTCTTTTTTGTTTTGTTGCTGTCTTGCTGTAAGAAGAATAAAAAGTCTCAAGCAGGCAGGTGTTAAAGGGCAAGAGGTGGTCTCCCAAGTCGCGCCTTCCTTCAATTCAGCCAACTCCAAAAAATGAAGTCGCTGGAGGGCATCGAGAACCCCGAGGAAGGTACGGCCGGGAAGGAGGGGCGGGAGACCAGGCTTTCTTTCCTGCTTGGACTGAGCGACTCGAGGTTGGGCTGGGTTGGATTTTTGGCAGCTGCACGCCCACTTGACTTGCACTTGACTCTTGCTTGCAGCCAAGGAGCCTCGGGATGCGCCCTCCAACTTCCACCTAACCTCTCGATTGACCAAGGTGACGGAGAGACCTGATTGTCTCGGGTTGTTCGAGGTGCTCGTCCTCCTCCACACCACCACAACCACAGTGTCAGTGCCGCACAGAAGACAACGGCTAGCCGAGCTGGACGTGGACGGGTTGGTGGCCGCTGCTTGCTTGCTACCTTGGACCGACACGGACCTATGACAGCTCACCAAGCAACACCTCCTCCGTCCAACACCCTCAGTCAGGATGCGGTAGTCGAGGTCATTGACGGCTACGTCGATCGAGTCGAAATGTCGTCGAGGTCGCTGTGGTCGCGTCGAGATCGGATTCAGGGAATGGTCGACTCAGATGCAAATCTTTTGCGAGACAAGAGCCGGCAGGGCAGAAACGGACGGGGACATGGACGTCGACACGGACAAGGACGGGGATGGGCACACGCGCGGGTTGGGACAGGCGACGGGTTTTAATTGTTTCGGCAAGGCACCGGTCGCCGTACCCAACCCATTCATCATCTCGCGTCGAGTATAATTACGATGGCGGATCATCTCACCAGCGTTCGTTTACGGAGTACACCTACTCTTACTCGACCTCGCGGATAAGGCAAGATATCCGGAGGTAAAGTTCGGCGGTCGCCAGCTTAGACACGGTAGGTCAATGGCTAGACGACTCGTCCCAAGCCCGTCAAATCACGGCCTGCAGCAAATTTGCAGCTTCGTGCAGCTCGCAGCGCAGACAAGGTACAACACGTACATTGCTCTACCTTACCTTAAGCTGCGCACTGGTGGATCTACAAGCTGTTCGCCGAGCGCTGACTTGGAAGACAGCTGCAGCATTCAGGATTGAGGGGCTTAACGGCGCCGTTTTAAGTCTCGTGGAGCATGGCTGTCCCCGAATGCTATTGCCATTACGCGCATGGGATTCGCGGATGGCCATCATACTACCGTCTTAGCCATATCTGCTATCGCGGCCACGCGTGAGCCGTCCAGGAACATCCCGAAAGCTTTACAAGAGACTCGGCGCGACATGAGCTGACAGTCGCCCGTCGGGCATTGGGTGCCAATTGGGACGGACGAGCTGCCGACCTGAAAGCGCGACCGAGGAGGGAGGAAATTGGACGCTGCTCGCCTCACCTGTTCTGTGGTCCATTGACTGACAAGCCGTGACAGGGGCGTCGCCAGCGTCAGGGAACCTGCCTGCGGTTTTGGACACTGGAGCCAGTGGGAAAATTGGGGAGGCTGGGGATGCTGGCCGTGGGCGCCGCGACGACGTGACATGGGTCTGGAGGTGGGAAAGGCCAGACCGGCTCAAGTGGGAGAGAGGAAACACAGGAAACAAGCCTGGGCTGCAGTCATTTTCACTTTCTCACCATTCGTTTGACCTGCTCCGACCGAAGTTGCCTTGGGCCGACCGCAAACGCGAACCTAGCTGCAGGTATTCCAGGAGACTCCTGATGTGACGGAGTGAGGGGCGGTGAGTGTGAGAGGCGAGAGATGAGAGATGAGAGTGAAGGTGAGATGCGTGTGAGTGAGATGTGTGTGTGTGTGTGTGAGTATGAGTTGTCACTGCGCCGTGACGAAGCCCAGTCCCTACCTTCAGAGCATCGCCAATCACCCGCAATCCGGCCCCCCTTCTTCAGCGATCCCGATGGACCGGTTTGCACCCAGGAAACCCCCGTCTGGAGCGCTAGCCAGGAAGTGCCCAATGGCTGATGCGATTCGGCATGTCATACTGTGATCTTGGAGTAAGCCCCCTATTAAAAACCAAGGTGAGGGAACTTGCCACAGATCCTGACCTGGCCAACAGCTGGAAATGCTATCATAGTTACCTTATGGATACTCTAAGTGGTCCTGCTATACGTAGTGCTTCATCACCAACATTCGTTTGAAAAAAGAGACGGTTGCTGCAAGACGGGTAGGCGTTTGTCAGTCTTCTCTCGGCATGTCAGAAGCCGCCTGCATGAAACAATGGGATTGACCTGGAAGGGCGACGGAAGATTCCAAAGAAAATCTCAAAGAGAATGTCCAGCTTTGAACGTCAAGGCGTGTCTGACGATGTAGTAAAAATCTTCAAAAAGTCGATGTGAGACGAACATCTGACCTCAAGATGTTTCCTTCCAAGCTCACCCAACCCTCAAGAGCACGGGCCATACCCAACGCGGCCAGAGCCGTTTTGGAGGGGCCTGAGCGTGTCACTATCGTGATGACTTGAAAGGTGTATGAGAATCTGTTAGTGCTGAATGTCCCAACTTGCTGTCGCAATCGTGGAACCTGCCAGCAAGGAAGGCGGAGGCCCGTGCTGGGAGGTGGAAATTCGGAGATCAAACTTGGAAAGAACGGGTCGCTCCCGAACGGTACCCCCTGTTCCTGGAGTTCCTTCCTCAAACCAATCACAGCACCCAATGGGCCACACTCTCGATTAAGCTTCACCGCGACCGCGTGTGCCTGAACCACAATCTTGACCTTTCCATCGCCGGGATATTCTATTGCCAACCTTCGACTGAACGCTCAACGAAACGATGAAGAAGAACGTTTTTTGGGGGCCGGTGGCTTGGGGGCCGAAGAAGACGACATGATCTTTACAGCAACATTGCGGCCGTTATCTCCACCCAACAGACTGTCTTCAAACGTCACGGCAATCAGCTCCTGTCAACAACATGAGCAAGCTCCACGTTCCGGAAGTTCTACTACGAACTCTCATCGGCCAATTCCATTTTTGGATGATATGTCTATCCTGAGGGTGCGAGATCGGCCGACCAGTCAAGGAGCCAGGCACTGACTGCATTCTTCCACTGGCGACTTCCCAATCAAACATTCAACACTGTCAGCCCGACGAAGCTGAAAGCTCGGAACCATCCAGAGATGTCCCAACATGATCTAGACGATCGGCGATCTTCTTCGACCTTGTTCCCACGAGGCATTCACCACGGCATGAGAGGGCAACGAGCCGAAAGCCATCAAACACGTCCCTAAACGATGGTTTGCGTGCCCAAGTCAGGAGCTTCTCGAATGCCATCTCTCCTTCTCCCGCACTCAACATGGTCCGGATCGAATCGGAGGTTGCTCCGGCCTCCCTTCGCCACCATTAAGCTGATTTTTTCCCGGGCCGCCAAGTTGCATTTCGACTCGTGCGAAACAAGCGGCGGTACGCACGCTTTTCAAGGGGTCAAGGGAGATATCAAGAGCTCAAAACTCAGGGGACCTACACAACCCTAAAAAGGGGTCCTGCTCCCTGGGAATCGTACAGAACACACGGCTGCAGTCAACCCTGATTCAGGGTCGCATAGTTCAGAAGACAATGAGGAGGAAAGACGGCAGTGTTACCTTCTTCTTCTTCAAGGGCTCCCTTACATACGAGCTTTCCACATTCTGGCAACCGCGCACAGCCATTTCAGAATGCAGAGAGGTTCCTGGCTTGTGAAAGCTGACAATGTCGACCCGGTATGCCAGGGACGATCATCCCCTGTCGATCGACAAGTTGCGCTGCCCCCACCGAATTGTCATGTCGAAGAAGTCAGGAAACCGCCGCCTTACATGGGAAAGCTCTGTCAAGGGATGGCATTTTTGATGCCCTGAACTGCCTGCCAACATTGGCTTCGGACGATCTCCCGCGCCTTCATGTCTGGAAACAAGGTCCGCGAAGACGTGCTTCTTCTCCGGAGAACTTCCGCCAGTCACCCTTTGACTGCCACTATTTTCGACTTTTACAAATACTCATTAATTACGAATGACATCAGTCCCCGTGAGGCATGCTAAGAAAGCGGTCTTCGTCGAGAAAACCTCGTACGACAAACGGCATGACGTACTTTGGCAAATTGCTGAGACTGGCGCTGCGATCAAGGCTTTTCCCCGCCTACAACATTCAATCTGTCTGCCAGCTCTTATCCGCCTCAGCCTGTTTGTCGGTTTTCGCGCGCCATCCGCAATCCCGTCGATGGAGCATACACCCATCAGCTAACTGTCTTCCGGTGGCTGCCGTTGCTCCGGCACGCCGCATGCCAGTGGACCACAGCAAACGGACGCATCAAAATACACGGCCCGCAGATAGGTTTGTCACCAAACAAACAGATCGAACGGAACGTGCCTTTCGTCATCCACGGTTGTGGCCACCAACAGGCTTGTCCAAGCCAAGCTGAGTCCAAAAAAAGCAGAGTCAATAATCAATGGCGATCTTGTCGTCCGGACCAAATCGAGATTCGCTTGAAGCTCAAGAGAAGTGTCTCCTCTAGGCTTGGCAATGGTTATCGCGGTACGATCATGGACTCTTATTCCGGTCTCTCAAATTTGAAGCTGAGATGGAAGAAGCATGATAACCACGCCACGCAATATCAGCTGTTTTATTGCCTTCTCGAAAAGTTGTGTGTTTTGAAGTATTCAGAGCAGAATGCTCGACCTTCGGCTTCGTTCAAGCTCTGTCAGCATTTTGTTTGCCTGCTTATTTTTGGCCGCAGAGATCGAGCTCTTGGCAATCTAGGCCGGCCTTCACCAATCTTCGCCATCAAACAAACACAGGTCGAGAAGGGGTCCGGCGCCGCAGTGGCGCCACCGGCTCGGAGGGCAAAGTGCCGTCGCCGTGGAAGTGAGACATCGAGAGGTCGACGCATTCCAACAGACGGCTTCCACATGAAGGATTTTCTTGACTTGTTTGCTTTTCCGCTGGTGCTCAAAGCAGCTTCAAGTCAAGCATCCAGCAGCTGCAGTCGACCGCGCCTCTCTATTCGTCCCTCGATTTTCCCGGTTCAGAAGCTGGACACAAAAGGAGCCAGAAGACGCAGCTGGGTGCGGCGATTGCCGCTTTGCAAACGCCAGCCGCCTCGTCCCTGCGCAGCCGTCAGAAGCATGTTGCCGACCTCATTGTCAAGCAAGCCACTGGAAGAGGCAATCGCGATGGCCTCGTTTTTCTGTATCGATCCTCCTCAGGCGACTTCCAGGTCATCATTTTCGACGGACCAACGAGAGTTGCCAGAAGCGCGTTCGTTCTCACGTTTTGGAAGCCCGAGCAATGCAGAGGCCCAAGTCATGCCTTTTTCAGACTGTCGTGCATTCCGACTCAACGGAAGTCGCCAGCAGGCAGCGTGCCATTGCTTCGAGGGCCGTCGAGGGCCCTCCCAGCTTCCGATGTCCACCGACTCCGCACAAGCACACCGGGTTGAGACTCCGGATTTCAAACGGACCTGATTGGTTCCGCCGCCATCCGTCACCGAGTATGTATATCGAACGAGGGATAGCTCCCAAGCGAGGAATGTCTGAGAATTGCAGGGCATGGTCTGGTTGTCATAATCAGCCATCAAGTGGATCAAAGCCCTCGACGAGACCCAGAGAACGGCTTTCAAGACAAGGTGCTGCATATTTGTTCACCTGTTGTTGTTAGCCTTTTGGTGGATGGCATATGATTCGTGTTGACGGAAGAGGATGCATTCATAAAGTTTGTTTGTGGCAGGGAGATGGATGGCCTCCGTCGGCCCACCTATGACTCCGTGCATATATCGGTGCTTCCCCTCACCACCCTTCTGTCCTCCGGCCAATATCTACATCGTGGCGTCCCTATCTGCAGAGTTGCAACTCGACACTGATCAACCCGTCGTTGCAGACGTTGACCGCAGTCATGTCCGTTGATCACGAGGACATGATTGGGTACGCACAAGAGCTCGACCTGACAAGAGCCTCCTATTCCTCATCTCGGCCTGCGAGCATGGAACGGCAGACCAAGCTCGCCCATCTGAAGCTCGTATCAAAGTACTACGGCTACGCAAATTTTTCGTATCCTCGACCTGACGGCACCTTGACTCGCAACCCATACAGACGAGCCGGACAAACATACTCATCAGAGGACCTTACCCAGGACTTCGACCATATACCCCGACCCCAGACTCCGACCCGTCGGGACCGGTCATCGATAGGCTCCCAAAACTCGGACGGATCGTCGGCACCCAGCCTCATTGACGACCGTACTGACTCGGAGGTATCACTTGACGACGACTACCAGTACCACGCCACAGCCTCCCAGCTTTGGGACACTTTCTGGCCTGCTGAGGAGGACCCAAGTCGGCAGACCCCAGAGAAGTCCAAGACCCAGTATCCCGCCTTGATTCCGTCACCACACATCCGACGGGCGAAAAAGACGGGCTGCATCGACTACGGCGATAACCCATTACCACCCCGACCCGTCGAGTACAATATCAAAGTCAACAACCCAACACCTCCACCCAAGAACGATCCTATGACTGTGTCCCAGCCACACGGAGGTATGCGAGACTCACACGTCCTTCTAGACCGTGAGATACCCTCGTCGCCTCCAGAGCCTCGCCGCACCATCCGCGCCGTACGCTCGTCGTATAGCCTCTTCCCACGAACCCAACCACAGGCACCTAACTACCCACCACCGCCACCTCCACGCGCGCCATTCCTTAAGCCAACACCAAGCCTCTCCAACCTTCGGAGAGGCACACGACCACCGCCAATCCACCTACACTCCCTCCCAGCAGAAGCCGCAGCACCAATGCAATCGCCAGCAACCGCCTCTCTCTGTTCTCCTCTCTACTCACCACTCTATTCCCCTGTCCCCTCTTACGAAAGACCTCACACCTCCCACGGGACCTACTACCCCTCCACGACAGACCTCACCCACCCCCGCTCCGCACCCTTACCCCCTCAAACCCCGGTCACAAACACCACTCCGGTGCCGAAGTCTTTCTTCGACTTCGACTCCGACTCCGACTCGGATGACCCGGAGCCGGAGCACACCATCTCCCGCCTCGTCAAGACGCTCCACAAGCGCACGGCCAGCGAGGTAAGGCGGAGCACCAAAGGCGCTGCTTTTGCCGACGCCCAGCTGCGCCGCGCGCGTGCGGACAGCCAGACTGACACCGTCCCGGACAGTCCCGTCTTTTTCGAGCGGCAGGAGAGGCAGGAGAGGCAGAAGAGGGGCGGCGCCGTGTTCGGACGCATGTTCCGGGGGAGGTCCTACAACAGCTAGAGACCTCACGCTTCTCATGTTTGCGTGTTTTACGACTGATATTTACACTCATGGGATATGTTCTACGAAGAAGGACGTGGAAACGAGGAGTTGCTACGTTTCGTTTTTTCTCCCACGTTCTCGCGAGCGCAGCGTTTTGTTAGAGTCTTCTTTGTCTTGTTGTTTGGTGTCTTTTGCCATCTTTTTCTTATGTTGCTTCATGCTTTACGCTTGCATGACGTTTTTATCTTTATCTGATATTACTATCTAACGACCTGGAAGAGGAGGAGATGAACACTGCTCTGGAAGAGGTGTAGTTGGAAAAGGGGGGCTGACAGTTGACTAAGCTACTTCACACGGGGGGGGCTTACATGACAGGGATGACGCAGATGGATTCCACGCCGGAGGAAGGTTTTGGAAGGGATGGATTAGGGGACCGGGCCTGGACTGCTCTACGATTCAGACGGCTACGACTGACGAAGAGAGACTTACACGCGAAAAGAGGTGGATGAAAAAGCAAAACAGCAAACGGCCTTTTTTCTTGGGAGAGTGATGAATTGAACTGCCTCATGTCGGAATGAAACGAAAAAGAAACACCTCACGATCATGCGAGAGGAATTTTAAGACGAGGAAACTGATCTTGAGAGTATGAAGTTTGGTTTCGTGCAACCACAAGGGGATCATGACGACGTATGGTTAGTTTACGATAGGAAAAAGTTCAATTGGGGAATAATCAAATTCAGTAACTAACTACTGTATCACAATCGAACGACGGAGGGAGAGACGGACTTCTCTTAGGCTGAGCATTTTTCTTAGGTTGAGCAGCATTTTTTGCTACAGCTGGAATTCGTAAAGGCGACGACGACGACGACGATCCTCTCCCCGGCCGGTCGATGTGCCCATTCCATCCCGTCGTCAGGGAGGTGAGATGAGCACCTTCTAACCATAGTACTACCCTTTTTTTTTTTTTTTTTCCAAATCCTTCCCGGAAAAAAAAAACAACCCACATCTGAATTCCATTGATTTGAATTTGAGAGGATGTTGTCGGTGTGACGGACACGAGGGTAAATCCCCCCCTTTCCCTACCCCCCTTCCTTCCTAGTCCCTCAACGGCACGCTTTGTAAAAAGGGGGGGGGGGGGGCGAGAAAGGGGGCGGGAGGAGGTGAAGTTTACAGGAGTTCCTGACATCTCCAAAAGGATGCCCAAGAAATTGGCGAGGATTTGCGTATGTGCGTGTTTTGGAATATGTTGACATTTCTTCTTCTTTTTTTATCCAGGGCCTGGGGCCTGGAATCTAGCGAAAAACCCGTAGGTTACGTTGTGTGTCTAAACTGGTGAACTATCTAGGGAGGTGTGATTTCGGGGGATATGGATGGATGGATGGATGGATGGATTGACATGAATATGTTTACACAGAAAGAACCCCTACCCCTTGAACTCCGGCCCGTTCTTAATCTTTCTTCGAACTCGTTGAAATTCTCGTATCCCGTTGGAAATCATTACATGAAAAACCGAAAACGCCTGTGGTTGGTTGGTCCCCCCCGTGATATTTCCCTAATATATAACGCCGTGCCGATGCGGAATAAATGTAAAGGTGAGAGAAAAATGCAATATGCGGATTGGTGGAGGGGGAAGTGTGTGTGTTTCCGCGGTTATGTACAGTTGATATATGCGGATGGGAATTTAGGTGAAGGTATATGGTCGTTGATCGATTTCGCGTGATGTCATTCCCGCAGAAAATCATTAAGCATTAAATCATGGACCGCCGCGAGGGGGTCCTCTCGTGGACGTGGAAAGACTTGCGCTCGGTGTAGCGCCTCTGCCTCCGGACGCCGAGGCGCCTCTCGTCGCGACCCGGCCAGTATCCGAACATCCAGGTGCTCTGTGCCGAGGCCGGGCCGGCGCCGAGGCGGTGCGCGAGCTCGGCGCGGGCGCGGGGCGGGCCGGGGGAGCGGAAGACGGGGTCCTGGGCGTTGTCCTCGTTGGCGAGGAAGGAGAAGATCTCGGCGGGGCAGGAGACGGCGTGGGGGAGGCGGAGGTGGTTGCGGCGGAAGAGGAGGGAGACGAGGGCGGCGAGGTAGAGGGTCAGGAGGGCGAGGAGGACGGCGAAGACGGGGACGAGGGGGAACATGCGGACGCCGCCGGAGGGGACGGCGGTGAGGGCCATGAAGAGGGCGCCGGCGAGGGCGGGGAGGAAGGCGAGGAGGAGGGAGAGGAGGGAGAGGGCGGCGACGCGGTAGTGGCGGTTGCGGAGGGCGTGGAGGGTGGACTGGAGGGGGAGGCAGGCGGCGTAGTCGGCGAGGACGGAGCGGGAGGCCGGGCTGCCGTCCTTGTGGCCGAGGTCGGCCCAGGGCTGGAGGACGCGGAGGTGGTGGTCGAGGGACTGGAAGGCGAGGTAGAGGAGGAGGCCGACGAGGGAGGGGACGAAGCTGTAGAGGAAGTTGGCGGGGGAGAAGGCGCCGTGGCCGGGGGCGGCGGTGATGCGGGGGTCGAAGCCGTTGACGAGGCTGGTGCGGTTGAGGAAGGAGACGACGAAGAGGGCGGCGAGGAGGACGGTGGCGGCGACGACGAAGAAGAGGAGCGGGGAGGTGCGGAGGCACCAGGGGAGGTAGAGGTTGCGGATGTAGTCGTCGTGGCCGGCGACGATGAGGTTGGAGGTGATGGAGCGGCGGTCGGAGTCGCCCTTTGCGTCGTAGTGGATGTCGGAGGGGATCTGCCCCTGGGAGTGCTCGGTGCCGATGCCGTACCAGGGGGCCTCGGTGTCGTCGTCGGTCATCCAGTAGCCGAGGCGGTCGACGATGCGGTTGCGGAGGATGTGGCGGAGCTGGAGGCGGTTCTCGGCCACCTCGGAGCCGCGGTACGACTCGCGCGTGTTGGACTTGCTGATCATGAAGGAGAAATCGGCGATGGAGCGGGGGTCCCACATGAGGCCGGTGACGCGGTTGCGCCAGTAGAGGGCGAGGATGACGAGGGCGGCGACGAGAAGGAAGTAGAGCGCCACGAGCGCCCAGACGGTGCCCTGGACCGCCGTCCAGTACCAGACCTCCTTGTGGATGACGGTGAAAGAGGCGCTGGCGAGGGGGATCGTGAAGGCGGAGAGCCAGAGGATGGCGAGGGCGACCTTGACGTGTACGGGCCCGGCGAGCTGGGGCAGAAGGAAGGACTTGGGGTAGAGGTTCATGAAGAGGGCGTTGCGTCGCTTCATGGGCTCATCCTCGGTCATGGCGACGAACGGGAGAATGCGCAGGGTGGCGGTGGTGACGCACTGGGCGTAGACGAAGATCGCGGCCGCGCAGGTCTGGGGGAGGATGCGAAAGAGGAAGTACTTTGCGCTGTAGATGGTCTCGCCGTAGGTGAGCAGGCCGGGCTGAATCGGGGAGTAGATGGCTGAGAGCATGAGCGCGACAATCATCAAGACGCAGAGCGTCGTGAGGGCGATCATGGACGGGAGTCTCAGGATCGCGGGTACGTACGTGAGCCTGGGATACGTCTCTCGGCTCTCGTCGACGGTGTCGAGCTTCGTCATGCCCGGGAAGACGGTCTCCCTCTCGCTGATGGGCAGCCACTTTGACGTCGGCTCGGGGGTCAGGCCCTTGCGGTCTTGGCTCGGGCGGTATCTGGAGTCGGCGGACTGCGGCGGCGACATGAGGCGGGTGCCGAGCGACATTGACTGGCGCTCCTGTTGAGATTGCGGGCGGAGTAGCGAGTCCCGCGCGTGGGCGGACGGAGGGGCGGGCATCATGGGCTGGAAACCGGTCTCCGGGTCGCCGCTGATCTGGGGGCTGTGGTTTTGGAGGTCGTCTGGGAGGTAGCCGGCGGCGCGGTAGTAGCCTTCGTTATTATACCCCTGCGAGCCCATGCTGGAGGGAGGGGAGAAGTTGTTGCCGTGGTCTCTTGTGATGGCTTCCAGGGCGTGGTGGATGTAAGGAGTATCGTCGACTCCGGGTGTGATGGAGCGGCCGGCGGCGAGGGTGAGCTCGTCACGGAAGCCCCTCGCGCGTGCGCGGTTGGCGACCTCGTCGACGGCCAGCTGGGCATCGTTGAAGCGAGCGGCCGGCTGGGAGACGTAGGGATCTTGGTTGTTGAACATGCCGCCACCAATAAGGACCGGAGCAGGGAAGCTCTGGTCGGGTCGACTGAAGTTCTGGGTGTGGGGTTGCTGAGTAGGCGGCGTAGGCGCGTGAGGGACGAAGGGCGGCGGTGGAGAGATGGTTTCCTGGGGGCTGGAGTCCTCTTCGTCTATGCCGTTCTCATAATTGCGTCTCGTCGCGTGATGAGGGCGCAGGGTGTTGGGGGTTGAAGATTGTTGTGAGGGTGTCCTGGCAGACCAAAGTTGTGGAGGGTAATGGCCGCCTGTGATGTGGTCGTCAGTATTAAGAACAAGGGTGGATGATGAAGAATGTGCGTCTTGGAGGTTGGTGAAGGAGAGTGGAAGAATTGTATGTGTGGGAGAGGGAAGGAGGGAAAGGAGTAGACATACGGTGATGTTGTACATAGCCCTCGGGGTGGGCGTTATTATCTGAGGAATACATGCCGTCGTGTCGTTGATGGGGATTCTACCAGACGGACCTGATGAGCCTCCACCTGAAACTCAGCGAGGAACCAATTAACAGCGACAGAGACGAAGGAGATTGGTGTGATGGTGGGATGTTTGTAAAGGAGGGTGAGGAGGGGTAATGGGAATGCATCGTGGTTGGGTGGTTGCGAGGTTTTTGCTGATAAAATCACAATGGAAGTGGTTGGGAAAAGGCTCTTCTGTTGCATCATGAGTGATGAGTGGTGGTGTTGCGCCCAGGATCGTGTTCGGGAGGCTGGAGGTTGGGCGTTGCGTCCCCAGCCACCCGAAATGCCACCAAAAAATCCCCGGGGACCCTGGCGACGAGGCCCTGAAAGACCGGGCGCTAGCCCATGGCGTCCGGGGATGCAGGTACCAGAAAGGCAAAAAGAGGAGCTACTTACCAACGCCGAGGGGCAATTGTCGCAAGAACTGAAAAGCAAGAAAACAAACGATGAGGTTTGTGAATCGAGAAGAACTGGATTTGGGAAAAATAAAAACCTGTGGCAGCCGTCATCCCGTCTTTGTATTGTGCAACAGCGAGTCCAGACGACTCGGGTAAGGTAGGTACGTATCCTGCATGTCCAGTTGTCCTGCAGCTCCTCCCAACCTGGAACCTAAAAAAGAGAGCCCAACACCACCACTCGGCATCCTTCTCACCGAAGAAAGACACAGTTTACGGTCACTGCAACTGCAACTACAACTGCAGGGTGATGATTGTGCCTGACTTTGGCAGAGCAACAATGACACTGCAGTAACCGGCGCAGGTCCCCACCCGGCGGAAGCAGGTCCCCACATCCGCTTCCACGGCCCACCACTCGGTGCGCGGCCTCGGACCAGGGGCGCATTCTCAGTGGCTGGGATGCAGGGGCACCGGCCCCACCGCACCAGCGGCCTGGAATCCCCTCGCCGGTGCTCTCTTCCAGTCCTTGTGTCCAGGTCGAGTCTTTGCCCCTCGTTTTCCCTTGTTTGCGTGAAACCTGCTCGACAACCTAGACCAGACGTCAAGATATCTCCTTCGAGACCGAATCGAGAAAATACCCTGCTGCTTCTGAGACCGCTTCGAACTTTGTTGATCGAGTTTGGAAGAACCGCCCAACCGGGTTTGGTTCATCCGTTCGAGAGGGTGAGGTGACACACGAAGGTTTCTCACCGCCAGCGAGAAGCCAAACATCAGACGACGTTTCTGGCGGTCTGCAGCCTCACGCTTGGAGATTTCCTGGTCCAAAACCGCAACATCGTGATCGTTTTCCTTCTTTACCCCTCATCTGTCACTTCACTCTGTATCTTATCTACGCCCCTCTCCTCATCCCTCGTCCTCGTCCGTTGCCAGGCTAATGGCCTGGGACCCCGGGAAGCTCCTCCAGTATTCATCAGTCCCAATCTCTCCCACAAGCTGCATGCCCGGGTCCGACAGAAATCTGTCACTGCGCTCCGGCCCCATTTTCACCCAAAGTGGACCGTTCGATCGGTGGGGGGCCCATCCAGTAGGGCTACGCGAGCTCATGTCACCCACCATCTCCCACAACGCACAGCTTGCCAGGTCCATAACACAATCTCCGACAGCTCTCATCAACTCGAAAACGGGTCGGTTAGCTCAGTTGGTTAGAGCGTGGTACTAATATATCATCAGATATGTTGTGTAATGCCAAGGCCGGGAGTTCAAGCCTCCCACTGATCACATCCTTTTGCTCTTGATTTGGAATCGCCATTTCCTTTTTGTTTTGAGGTTCTTTTCCATTCCCATGACTGTGCATGATTCTCGCCAAATCACGCTCCTTCCCGAGTCTAAGTCAAAGAGGTTCGTCTCGGTCATACATGGAAGGAAGCACCCGGCGTCACGATGTGATATGAGACGAGCGTCGATTATGTTGATAATACCGATAAATACGGAGGCTCAAGGTATACTTCCTGAGAATCTTAGCCAGGACGGTGCAATGGCAATGTTGGGGCGGCCGCCCCGCAATTGAGACTCACTCTTACAATTGAGATAGACATCCCTTTTTCCTCTTCGACACTGGAGAACAGAGGTGTAACATGCAGACGAGGATTCTTGATGCCTTCGGCCAGGCATTCGACCACCAGCTGGTATCATTGCTGAGGAACAAGATGCGATGTGACGGACAGGAGACAGAGACTCAGGATGAAGATGAGATGACAGGATTATACCTTATGGTTGAAGGTGACGCATAGAATGCTCTTGATTGTAACGTGGAAAGGGGACTCAGAAATCAAGACTTCGTTCTTGCTACACAGAAACTTCTTTCCGCCTTTGCGAAACACGAGAAATACGGATCGAAAAATGACTGTGACGACGTTCTTCTGGGATAGCGGGATTTAACGTATCCAAAAGAGCAACAACAGTGCGGGAGGTTGTGATGGTCAATGAGCATTCTCCCACAAATCCAACCACAAATGATCATGGCCATATTCCAGTCCAGAACATATAAAAGAAAGCAGAGAACCCAAGAAACTAGCCTGCTAAATACACTTAAATCATAAAACATCCTCCATCCTCCATACTCTATCCCCCTCCTACAACTCACCACTCTCAAACCCCTCATCCACCCTCACAAACCTTCCAAGACGTCTCCGAATCTCCTCAACACTCATACTCCCATCACCACTCTCACGGTCTCCCCCCGGAACCAGAACCCGATCCAGCACATGAACAACCCCATCCCTCGCGGGTAAATCCCTAACCTCAACCTCCGCCCCATCAACCACCAACTTCCCCGTCCCCCCGTTCTTTACAACGACGCCCGCGCCAGCAAGCAGACTCTCAAACTCCCCCAGCGTCTCCGTATCCGAGTAAACAACCGCGTCCTCGACGACATGATACCCCACCAGCGCCCTCAGATACTCCTCACCCTCGTCCGAGAACAAGAACCCCTCGGCCTCCGCCCCGAGCGCCTCCCACGCATCGTCCGACGGCGCAAACACCGTCACCCCGCCCCGTGGTCTCATCCCGGTCCTCCGCAGCGCCTCGGCGAACACGCTCAACCGCTCCGGCAGCGCTTCGATGAGCTTGTCATGTCTCGGCGGCGGGACGAGGACGTCGTCTACGAAATGGACGATCCCGTTCGCGGTCTGTATCTACCGTGTAAGTCAGCAACGCCATCCAACCATCACACAAACGCCGAGAACCTACCGAATCGCCCCCCGAAACACGCGCATAAAAATTAACATCCACCCCCTCCACCCCTTCCTCGACCCTCACCCTCTGCCGGCGCCCCATCCCGCCCTCTTCCAACACGGTATGCGCCGCCCGGGCCTCTCGCAGAGCGTCGAGGGGGTACACACCCGAGAGGACGTGATACTCGAGGATCTCCCTCACAGAAGCCTCGTCGACCGCCCCGGGACCCTCGAGTCTCCGCATCGCATCGTCCGCGGGCAGGAACACGGTGACCTCCCGACCCGGATCATCTAGCATCTGTCTTAGACTTTCGTGACCGTCCAAGAGCTCCGAGAATAGTCTCCCGCGGTCGTTTTCCCGGATGACCTGGTACACGGTCCCAGAAACATCTCGCTCCGTCGCGAAGCTCCGACGTTGTCGAGAGGATGTGTCGTCGGCAGACCACGTGAAACTCCGCGCGGTCCTGGTCACCGCCCCGGCGGCACGAAGGAGCGCGCCGCCGATGGACTCAACCACTCCGTCAACAGACGAGAGTCCTTTATCCCTCGCGGGTACAGAAGTCCAAGATACCGGCGGCGCCTCCTCTTCCCTCACCATGACATACTCAGAAACATCCCCAGCCGAAGCAGCAACAGCCGAAGCCGCAGCCGCCAAGGGCAGCAGCAAAGACCCAGGTCTCATCTCTCCCACCTCGGCGCCGAAATCAGACGGCAAAGACGACGATCGCACGCGATTGATCAGTTTCGCGGATAAGGTGCGGCGTAAGGTGGACGAAGGTTCGAAGCAGACGTGTACACGACGACCGCCCATGGGAAACAGAAACAGGCTTGGTCACTTATATACAAACAATAGATATTCCACAGAAGGCTCGAGACACGTCTTTTGTGGATCGTGAGTCTCCAACGGACTCGGTTTTATGGAATGCGTTGGCATCTTGCTCGGAAAAGGTCGCGAGGCATAGAGGTTCTTCCTCCGTGGGTGTGTGAGATCCCGGCGCAGGCCATCAGGGTCCGCACGGCACATCGCAGCAACATCTGTGTTCCACCGCTCCCGGTTTTTTTATGCGGAGTAGATTGAGTAACGGAATGGAACCTGGTAGGAGTCATTCTCGACGTGATCGGATGGGACAACAAGGTTGCCGTCAGCTGCTTCTGAGTCGTTCAAACCGGGGGAGAGGCCGGGACTTCTCGACGCCGCCAAGACTTACACCCACACCCTACTCTCCGCGGCTCGGCTCTCCATGACCTTGATCATGTGAAATCCGAAACCTCCGCCGATCCGCCGCGACCCGTCCTCATCACACCCGGGGCCCGCCAAAGCCGCCGACGGTCCTGACGTCCCCGACATTCCTCTTCTTCTCCGCGGCGCCCGCAAACGCGTCCACGACCCTGCCCCCCGCGACCTCCACCGGCGTCCACCTCTGCTCCCTGCACCTCCGGCTCCCTTGAGGGCCCTCCTCTCCCCAGACGCCCATCTCGTCGAGGAGGACCTCCACGACCCACGTGAACCCGACGTCGTCCCTGCCCTCCGCGTATACCATCTCGCCGTCCTCCTTGGTGCTCGGGACCCGTGTGCACAGGATATGCAGATCGAGGAATTGCGAGAAGACGAGGCCGAAGGTGGGTTTGTTCCGTCGCGAGAGCGTTTGGTTGTTGTACCCGTGGATATCGAGCGGCGGCGGGTGGAAGATGGAGCAGAGGGACGGGTCGATTGGTCTTACGCTGTTTTTCGCGGGACTTCCATCCCCCGCCGGTGGTGGCTGCGCTTCGCCTTGGTCCATGGCGGGATCCGGTCGCGTCAGGGTCTTGCTCTTCGACGAACTGGTGCTGTTGAGGAGGATGATGAGCGGGCTGCTGGATAAGCTGCGGGAGAGATAGCGCAGGTAGTCCGAGAGCGACTGCAGAGAGTCGTGGGCGGATGTGCGGTCGAGACGAGTGAAGAGCGCCGTCATGAGGGCTGAGAAATGCGTGATGAGGATGATGTCCGGCGGAGAGGCTTTTTCGTCTCTTTTCGTGGGGCTTTGAATCTTGGTGTTTTGGTCTTCGATTGGCTCTTCCGCAGCCATCGAGATCTCTTCCTCTTCTGCGTCGACGATTTGCCTCTCCTGGCTTGGTTCTCGGTGATCAGAAACTTCGGGATTCTCATGCGGCTCAGGTGTAGCGAGCATCGAGGCCATTGACGAAGGCGGCGGTGACAGTTCCGAGAGCTCCGACGAGGAAGACGCCGGCGGCGAAAAGGCCTCCTCCTCGTCGCTATCCGCGATCTCCGTTTTTGTCGTTGTCTGCGGATGGTATCTGGGTTCAGGCTTGAGATCCGGTAGCACGAGCACCTCCTGCACCGTCTCTGCCTCCGTCTCGACGACATCCTCTTCCTGCGACGTCGCCGCACCGCCATCGTCCTCGGAAACAACTGACCCATCCGCAGACGGACTCCCGGGAGGAATGTCCAAATCGCCAAGCACCTCCCACAACCCATCAAAATCAAACACCCTAGAAACAGAAACACGCTCCAGACAAGACCTCAGCCTCCCCTTCACCTCCGCCGCAGGAACCCCAAGAACCGCCAACTCCGCCTTAACAGCATCTCTCAACGTGGGCAGTACGGCAGGGGGAGGCTGCGCCGTCACCACCATCACCCTCGACTCGCCGCTTCCGTCACCGCCGCAGACCTCCTTCGCCACAGCTTGCATCGAAATCTACCTCCTCACATCAGCCAACCAAACCCCACACCCTCAATCTCTCATCTTCAAAAACCTACCAGCACCCCGAGCTGCTCGTTCTCCGCGCTGATCCCGACCACGCTCCCGCGCTCGAACCCGCCCGCGAGGACATACTCGTCCACCCCGCGACACCCGGTCCTCACGCGCCCCATCTCCCTCAGCGCGTCCCGCCGCTTCGTCTCCCGGCGGAGAAGCACGTCCGCCGAGATCGGCTCCAGCGGGAAGTGAGAGCTCGCCTGGGACGTGATCGGGTCGTCTGCCACGGGTGCCGCGTGGTCGACCATCGCTGCTGAGATTAAATGCTTGCGTGCCACCAGCTCAGCGCCGCCACTCTGGACGCCGGCGTCTTCGAATCGGATTCGTCGCCAGTCCGTGTGATATGTCGTGTTTGAAGCGGTTTGTAGTTGAAAAGCAGCCAAAAAAAAAAGGCGTGGTTTTCAGATCGTGATTTGGAGCTCTCAGCCCCAGGTGGTAAGCGGGAAGTTGAAGGTCACATGACAGGAGGCATTTAGACTTTCGGGGAAGCTGGGGGAAAATCCCCCGTCAGAATCTCGATCCAGTCTGGGCACCTACCTACATTTTGGACAGGCATCTTCAGCCATCCTCAATGACATCATTTATTTTCCTTGCATGAAAGTTGCTAGGGCACCCTTCCCAGCCACTTTTCTTCAGATTACTGATAACAAAGCTAATTGCATGCATGATAACAGTCCCTCACATCAAACTTTTGCAGTAAGCTGACTGATTATTCCAAAAATACAATGCTTGTCTTCACAAAAGGGTCACAAAAGGGATGATCAAAGTATAGTCTTCCTAGTTTCAATTCCCAGTAGAGCTAATTCATAACAATCTGCCGACGGACTGTTGGCTGCCTACTCTATGTTCTCCTTGGGCAATGTGCCACTTCCGGGCGATAAGAATACTTGTAGCAAAAGAGGCAGAGAGACTGCTGTCTCCTCAAAAGAAATATGATTATTCACGAGAAAGGTATCACTCATCAAGCGGTCCCAGAAACAGGCACTTTTGTGCAGCTCCTCCGCGTATCCTTTGATCGCTCTCGTCCTGGTGGCTTCTCCAACCGCCACCCAAACCAATCCGAGATCCCAACCGGTATTCACTTCCGTGTTGATCCAGAAGTTGGCATTGTTGACAATGCTGCCGTGATCGAGCTCATTATCCGGTGTATTGTAAAAAGTTGTAGTATCATTGGTTCAGAAGGGAATGGTGACTCTTCTGGTCCTCTTGGACCCCAGAGAGGCCGATTGTTTTTCAGAAAGAAAAATGTGGGCTGTGCGGTGTTTGCACGCGTCGCTTCCGTGGTATTCGGACACTTTGTAGCTCTTGCCAGATTCCTAAGGTCTGCGTTTCCACTAAGCGGCAGTTCCAGGGGCTGGAGGAGCCATCGCATCGGAGGCCTGGCGCCTTCGTCCTCCCTTCAGACTCTTGACTCTAGACATGAAACCTCCAGACGGCTTGCTGGGTGCCTCGTCAGTTGGCGACTTGAGGTCGGCTGTGGCGCGGCGCTCAAGACCATTGGCAGATCCTCGGCGAGGACCGGGAACTGGTGGAGGGGTTCCAGGCGAGGTGGCACCGTTGTCGGTGCGTCGAACCGAGATGCTCTCGGGCTCCTTTCCGTACTCGGAAAAGAAGGGGTTTCGCTCGCCCGTGTACGAGATGCTCGTCGAGGGACCGGCGCTGTCGGGCGACCTTCGAGAGTGGTAAGCACCTTCAGGGTTTGTCATGCGGCCAGAAGGTCCATACTCGCGCGGCTCTCGCTTCATGCCGCGAATGCGCTGTGCGATTGACTTGTTGCGCTTCAAGCCATCAGTAGCAACCTGCTGGGCCTGCTCAGCCTCGCGGCGCTGAATGGCCGAGCGCGCAGCAGGAGTTCCCTCGAGGAAAGTCGAGGTACCGAGACCCATGCTCTCTTCTCCGTGGAGAATGGAGCTGCGAGCACGAGGATCGAACACCGCCGGCTGCTCCTTGAGCTGCGTGTACGGGTCCTTCGCAGCGGTAGCGAAGTCCGCAGAAGCGTCGCCGTCGTTGTTGCCCATGAAGGTGGCGTGATCCGGGCGCTTGTTGAGGGGGCCGGCTCCTCCCAGAGACATGTTCAGAGAGTCCTTGGCGAAAGCTTGCATGGGGGCGCGTCGGCTGCCCTTTCGGTTACGATGAGGGTTCGCGGCGTCAAACGGGCCATCGTGATGGAACACTGCTCTTGTTAGTACTGCGACGTCAATCGAAGATGACTCGACTCACAACCAGTGCCGTAGATACTAGTGGCGTCCAACTGATCGATGATATCAATCTTGCGGCTGGGCTTCTTAGGGTCCTTATCCTTTCCTTCCCGTGCGCGGCGCTCTCTCTCTCGGCGTCTGGCTTCTTTGGCCTTCTTTTCCTCGTCGGTGAGCGGCTTCTCGATATCGATCAGGAGCGAAGAGTCCGAGTTACGGCGTGGGCGACGTTCCTGGGGCCTGCGCTGGGGGGAGCTGGGGGCTCCAGGCGGTCGGGGAGGACCGCCACTGACGCTGCCGCCGCCTTGCATTCTTCGCTGTCTCATTGCCTCTTCCTGGGATCTCGAGGGGCGATGACCCGGAGGCGGGGGACCGCGACGCCCAGGACCAGGAGGGCCGGGAGGACGGTTCGTCGGGGGTCGGCCTCCGTCGGGGCGCGCTGGCTTCTTATCGTTAATGTTGAGGCCATCCTGCGGATGAAAATGTCAGTAAACGCTATTCCCCGATGGAACGCCACCGGTGACCATCCGCTTGACTTGGCCGCGTCACCATTTTGGAAGGGATTGGGTACGTACGAAAAGCTCCTCGGCGGTAGGCGACGAGGCCTTGGGGTCCAGCGTTGGTGCCATGCTTCCAGGTCCGATCAGATTTGGTTGACTAGACGAATATGATGGATCGAGGAAAGGATTGCGCGAGACGGGTCGAGGAGGAGGGTCGTCAAAAGGCGAAGCGGGCGAGGTGGTATTGCTATAGGTAGCGCCGGAGAGGAGTGGGGAGGCGGCGCGATTGCGAAAGGGGTTGTTGGAAGAAAGATTGAGCGTTAAGCCAGTCGACCTGCTAGGTTGATGGCCTGTTCCAAGGAAGTAAAAGGTCAGTATTCGTTTAAGAGACAGGAGACGACGGCACGGTGCATGCGAATGACGGCGAGGGGGATGGGATATGAAACAAGAGGGCCGTCTACATGACACAGCAGGTCTCGACGATTGGGTGGAGCGGACGTGGTGCTTGCGTTTGCTTGGGCGGCAGTGCAGGCAGTGAAAAAGGGCGGCTCTCCTCCCGTTGGACAGGGCAAAAGTCAAAGGGGGAAAAATCCGGGAAGATGGTGGCAGGCAGGGAAGAAAGGGGTTGTGTGGTGGGTGGGAGCGGTGCCAGGCGCATATCAGTGCTTGATGCTTGGCTTACCTGGCTGTGCTGATTGTGCGGTTGACATTTTGGCGGTTGTGAGGTGCGGTACCCGTGTGCCGTGGACGGGAGGGATAGATAATGAGGATAGACAGGCGGCGTAGTATTGAAGTCAAGGGATCGGCCTTTTTTCGCGGGTACAAAAATAGGGGAGCTGGCCGAGTGAGCGACAGACGTTGCTGGCAAGCTTGGATTTCGTTGGACTAGATGCCCGTTCCTAGCGTCATGCCTCTGCAGGGACGCAAAAACAACGGGTTTTTTGGGGGGGGCCACCGACGGAGCGTCCTCGGCAGGCGCGCGCAGGTCCTTTCGAGGTGCAAGCTGCAGAGTGGTGGTGCGGTCGGGAGCCGGGAGCCGGAGGTAATCGATGTGCTGCTGGGGGAGCTATCGCTTGGAAGGGTGAAAAGCCGAAAGGGAAAAAGGAAGAAGAAAAAAAGGGGTGAGTTGGCGACCGAAGGTAACGTCGAGGAGCCCAATAACAATGGGATATCGTATGCGGTGTAATGCAACTGATGCTGCCCTGTTGATTCTGGATGATGGTTCGGGGGCCCCTTTGGTTTGGAGGGGGGACTGATGGATGGATTATCGGATGGATTATCGGATTCAGGGGGAGATTGCTGGCATGCTGGTTAGCGACTGGATTAGCTAGGAATTTGGGTGGTAGAGCCGGTGGATCTGGGGATCCACGAGCGAGGTTGAAGGAAGGGGTTTGGCTGCTTGCACGGGATTGGGGGTTTTTGGGGGGGGTTCGCATTGGGGATCGCGAAGGATGGGCGATGCCGTGAATGGACAGACGGACGCTCGACCGAGGTCCCAGGTTGCGATGCGGGTGGGCCAAAAGAGGGAATGCAAGCTCACCTTCTTTTTTCTTGCGACCTTCAGCTTGCTTTTGTTTTCCTTAATCGGGACTCGACAAGACTTCCTCCGTCTTGGGGCGGGCGAATCAACGGACTAATAGCTGGCGATGGGAGCGAGGTAGATGATGTTGGAGTAACCCCAGAATGTACTTCGGTAGGCGTTAAAATAGCGCCAAGGCTAGATTTCTTGTGCCTGTGTCTGTATCTGTGCGGTCGACTGGATGGTGTTGCCCGTAAGGTAGGTAGGTATTCTGTGCGACTGTGACGATGACGGTGACGGGCTCGGTGCGCCTGCAAGACCAAGACGGAGCCGGGTCGACCCAAGTTGTTGGTGCGTGCGGTCGTCAAGTCGGACGAAGGAGCCAACGGGGTTGGGTCGTGTCGTGAGGTTCGGCGGTGCTGCCAACTCTGTCTCGGTACCGGATGCTGGGATGGGCTGGCGTCTCGGGGGCGGCCGTTGGAACCGGTTCTTTTCTCCCTTTTGGAACTGCGTCGGAGGAGGCGAGGCGATATTGTCTCTGCTGGGTGAATCCTGTGGATATATATTTGGTGTCGCTTATGCCGTCGTTGGAGAATTCGAGCGTGCGGCGTATTGGAACGGGGTATTCGATGTGACGTGGCTTGGGTGAAGGTTTTGGCGATGGCGGAGGGTGTTGAGAAGGAGAAGAATATAAACACGAGGTGCCGTAAGGAAGCTTCCTGAGAAAGGAACTGCGGGGTGAGAAGGCGGTCGAGGTCGAGTTCGAGTTCGACTGTGCGTTCGTGTCGAGCTGAGCTTCAGCTGGTGGACAGCGTGAAGAAGGAAGTGCAGAGAGGAAAGGCACGTCAGAGGAGGTAAATCTCAAGAAAAGATACGTTCCCGTTTGTTGCTTTCCTGCAAATAGAACGCAGGAATAAATGTTGAAAAGTGCGACGGGAGCACGAGGGCAAAAGCAGAGGGCAAGAGAGGTTGAGTTTGAGTCGAGGAAGGGAAGGAAGGAGGGAAGGGGAAAAGACGGATAGATCGATTAAGGTAGAATACAGCTTAAGCGGGGAAAACCAAGCAGTAAGTGAACAAGAACAAGGCAAGGCAAGAGGCGGTGATTCTATTAGTATTAGTTTATTTAGGAAAAACAGCCAGCCGGAGAAAAGAAGCAACAAGAGGACCTGGTTAAAAAAATAATGAGGACGAGGCACCGGGAAACATGCTAACGACTAACGACGCAGAGTTCCCTCCTTCCCGATCCCCGCGCATTCCACCCGCTCCGATCGCCTTCCTCATCAGTGACCACACACCCCAAGACCATGAGCAAGACCAAGACCCAGCATCCAGCATCTAGCATCCAGCATCCAAGACCAAAGACCCAACCCAACGCTGAACGTGGAACAGACGCCGCTTTCCTCAGCTCAGGACCCCATCTCTGTCCGACCAGCTTTGTGGCTGCATCGTGGCCGGCCGACGGTGACGGTGGGCGGTGGACGAGCCATGACTCCATACCTCTCTCGATACCTACACTAAGCTGACTACCTTCAGATCCCATTGCTGACCGTTTCCTGAACAACTTTGATCGATACATACACGGGCTTACTCTGTACAACAACATCATCCATCACGCAGGAACAGAAGCTTTCAGAGCCATCCTTCACGAGATAGCATTCCTTGCTCCGTCTGGCTCGAGCTCAAGGCCTGGCCCTTTTTCCCACGCGCTGCCACCTGTTGTTTAAACTGGGTTCATCAATCAGCACCATGTTCAACAAACGGAATATCCACCGCCGCTCTGCAAGTCTGCCGCTCTACACTAAAACTGGCATCGCCGCATGGGGTCTTGGAACACTAGCCACCACCAACGCGGGAGTGATGGTCATCCGCCGACCGGGGTGCGAACCAGACGTGCCGACGACACACCCCAGGACCCCTAATAATCCTAATTACATGCCCAAACCCACACCTGTTCAACAAATTGCCTGTCGCTTGAACAACAGGGTGCCCGCTGTGAGTGTGACCTTTCACCTCAGTCCAGACTCCAGACTGCAATCACTGACCAGTGCCCAGACTCGCCTCCAGTTGGAGTTCCGCAAAATAAGACGACGGTGACAATCGACAGATGACGACCTGCCAGATTTCAACCCACAAACGAAATACCACCTGCTCGTCTCGACCGTCGCCCGAAACACCAGACGAACACATCCGTCCTCTCTTTATCCTCCCTCTTCAGCACCACTTCCGCCCACGCTGAAGCCATCTGACCGACAATGCTTCCGTCCGTCCACCCAAGTCGGGACGGACCAAGAGCCACCCAGCAATAATAATGCACGCACCGGCTACTACCGACCGGCCCTTCTTTGGCCCACGCTACCTTGACTTGGCTCCGTGTCAGAGAGGTACTTGTGGCATGTACCTGACGTCGCCCAGTCTTAGCTGCAAAACAAGACGCCCGTCTTCCCGGTACGGATACTGGACCAAGCTTGTACCGCTTTTTTCGTTTTTCTTTTTCTTTGATGAGAGGGCTCACATACGTAACAGCAACATCTCGTCCCGAGGAACCCGTCCGTCTTCAATCGAATCGCCAAACCGGTGACACCACTCTGTCTCTCGATCAAGATGATGCATGGAGCTGAGGAGGAGCTCTACGTCCGCCCTGGTCCATGTTCTTTCAGCACCTGGAGATGACGAAAATCAAAGGGCGACACAGGCTCCTGGTTGGCTCTCCGCCCATTTACACTCACTGGACGCAACCTCGTGTTGGGCCCCCCGGTCAACTCTACTGCGCTAACGGAGCATGGGGTGCAGCACCTTGGACGTCAGGTCAGCCGCTGCAGCTCCGAGAGCTCCATTGCCTATCTTACCGATACTTCAGTACAGCATCAACACCAGCCTCGGGGCGCCGCAACTGCACCAGCCAGCCCGGGTCTGCTACTGCTAAACACCTACGGAATAGCAAAATGTGCGTAGCCGTAGGCATCGTCACCGCACCGTACCCACGAGAGCTCCTCTCCCGTCTGACGCGTGACGAACGTTTCCAGGGAACCTAAAGCCCGTCCACTCCCCGCAAGGCCCGGCCATCTCGGTGGCGTCCAGTAGTCACTCTTCATCGGACAATTCACTACTTGGTATGTCTTCTCGATCCCAGCTACCGCCCGAGCGCAAACAAACACTCCTCTCATCATCAGTGCGTCAAACTGGAGAAACACTTGTAGACGATACCCGCTTTGCGTTGTTGTTATGTTGGAGAAACACCGAAAAAGACTGGATGACGGGGCGCAAGTCGTTATCTGCGCATTCGAGATCGACGCAGGACTCACTCAGCAACTGCACAACTTGCCGAATTCCTTTGCCAAGACAAGCTTCCAGACAGGGAAGAAATGGGCAGCTGGCAAGCCGCGAGTTCCGATGAGCGTGACGGCCGCCATCTGATCTTAGCCTCCCATCCTCGTCGCATGCCAGAGAGTTTGGCTGCGCATTCAACGGTATAGGTATGCAAGAAACACACGACATGCGGACTTTTCTGAGCCTTCGCCAAACATCTCGTCGTACTTGGCAACAACAACATAACATCAATCCCTCGATGCATCGTCGTTCGTAGTGCCAGGCATCGCGTCGTTTGCACGGGCTGCCCTTGCAACCTTATTGACATGGCGCGCATTCTGACAGCTGTGCCCTGTGCCCCCCTTTTTCTTTTCTTCTTCGTGCTCAAGAGATCCTGATCGGGGAGCCGCCTTCCGTTGTTACGGTAGTCCGTGGAGCACCGGGAAACAGCGTCATCCCGGGCTCATGTCGCCAATCTGAAACATAAGCGAGCTTTTTATGGAAGAGAGCATTGGAGCAAAATCTGACGATGGAGCTTCTTCATATAAAAGGCGATCATGGGGAATTGGATTAATATCTGCAGCTGCGGTAGTTGATCTTTCAGGTAATGAAGTGCATGGGGCCCGGCGACGCGCCAACTCCCAAGACGCGATCTCGCAGAGATTGGCAGATTGCAACGCGACTTTATCTGACGAGGAATCCAGTTCTGCCATTTCTTTTCTCGTCCCCATCGCGAACCATACGACCCATCCATCAATCTCCCCTATTTTCGTGCCATCGCCCGCGCCTGACTGGCCACTATCCCCGGTCGTACCTCTTCACCCACTCTGGTGCGGGGACGCAATCAAGCGAGTCGTTCGTCTCATTTGCGGCGATGAACAATGAACCGCCTCAGGCGCCGTCGAACCACTAATGCCCGCTAAGCCCGAGCTCGACTCGGACTCTGGTCGCCAAATCACAAGAAACCTGCCGGGAGAACATCTGCACCCTTCACGGACCCCCGCGGAACCGAAGAGCCTTGTTCTCAGCCCGGCCGAACATCCATGAAGCCTGTCTCGAAGAGATGGGAAACACCTTGTCCGGAGCATGCGGGCAAGTTCCAAACGTTCGGCCTTGTCCGTCTAGAATCTTCTTGGGCCTCTACCAAGGCAAATGCAACGGCGTCGAGAGCCCCTTTCCGAGCACCGGTTCGGCCGTGCCAATGTCACCTTCGGCAAAGCGCATCAGTCAACATGTCTTGTACTCCGGACGGTGCAACCGCGGAATTCAGCACTTACCCGGTCCTCTCGGCGCCCAATACTCGCCTGTCTTGGATATGTCAAGCTTGTCCGTCCAGGCAATGAGACTCTCGGCCGCCTCGTCGGGGGTAACGGCTGCGCACCCAGACGTTAGCGATTCACCGTCGGTTAGAGACATGTCGAGGGGACGAGCTCACCACCTCCGTCATCCCAGAATTTGTCGAAGCCAACGCCCTTGGTCATCTCTGTCCGCATGAAGCCTGGGTGGACGATGCTGACGATGACGCCCTTGTCCTTGAGGTCGAGACTGAGCAGCTTGCCCACCATGTTCAACGCGGCCTTGCTCGCGTGGTGTGCGTAGTTGCCGCCGCCCTCCTTTTCGTGTCTGAGGGTGATGCTCCCGGACTCTGACGAGACGAGCACGATCTTGGAGCCCTTTTGAAGTAGTCCCGCGTGCACCAGCGCATTGATGATGAAGACGGGCGCGATGGAGCTCGTGGTGTACATGCGCTGCTCCTCAGACCAATTGGGGCCCTTCTCGGCACTGAGGTCTTCGGTCGCGAAGTAGCCCGCCGTGATGATCTACCGGCGTTAGTATCTGATACAATTAAGCTCCGGCATGCCAGGAACCACATACCACCGCCGACAACGGCTTCGACCCGCCCAGCAGACTGACCAAGTGGTCGCCGACTTTGGAATCCATCAGGTCGACCTCGGGCAGCCATTTGACGGTCTCCGGGAAGCCCTTCTCAGGCCCGGCCTTGGAACGCGTCGTGCCGTAGACGGTAGTTCCGGAATTCGCGGCATACTGCTTGGTCAGAGAGGCTCCGAGACCTCGAGTCGCGCCAACGATAAGAATTGGAGACATGTTTTTCCTCTTCTGGTTTTTTTTCTCTCTCTTGGGTTTCTATTTCTGTCCACTTTCGAAACGCTGTTGGAATGCGGCGCCGTGTGGGATATTTTAATTTGAGGAGTTCTAGGGAGATACGAGAGGAATGCAAAGGGAGACGGATGTTCAGCTTGTCTCGTCGTGACGTAGGTATCGAAGCTCCATGGCGTCAGGAACGCATGGCGGGGGAGGGGTCGAGACACAATGACGCCTTATCGATAAAGCTGGTGTCATTGGATTGGATGTGTGCTGACTTAGCAGGATCGACGAGAGTTCTCGACTCAATGCTTCCATTCTCCTCTGTCAACCTGCAACTCCGAACCTACCGGCCGAATGCAGAATAACAGTCGACGGGAAGGCTCGTTCAGTCGGTGACTCGACGGTGAGTGGTTGTTTCTCTTCAACCGCATGTGACAGCTGAAACCCCACGACACGTGCGCATTGCCTTGGACGCGCGACATCAACTCATCCTCAAGAGCAAAACGCAATCATCATTCGTCCAACGGCCGCATAAGGCGTGCAGGGCGCAGTAATAAGCTCCAACGGCTGTCTCCAGCGCATTCGAACTCGGCATGACTTCTTCTTCGTCTCAACGCCGCCTACCACTAACCGACGCGGCATCCGATGAAGATGGATGGGTGGCTGTCAAAAAACCAGCCGTTCCGGCCGCGGCGGCGGGCGCGAAAAGAGCTTGGGCAGAGGCAATGACAGGGCCAATGCCGGCGGCTCGGAGCAAGATGGTTGGTGGTTTGTTCTGTTCTTTTTGAAACCGACGCGTTCTGGGTTGGGTTTTGGTTTCCGACTCGCATCCCCCCTCACGAACCCTGCGCAGTGACGTTTGAGCTTGCTTAATCTGGCAACAAACGGTGGTGTTCGGAAGCTGGCGAACCATAACATCGAGTTCGTATTCGTTCATTTTGGACAAAGTTGTTTTTCTTCTGTTTTCAGCTGCTTGAAAAAGATGTGTTGCGCGGCCGTTGCCATCGACGAAGTAGATATGAGCTGCGACTCTCGAAAATTGAAGTGCATTTGTCCGTTTACAACATCCGCATAGACATCGTCCCGATAGAATAATCATCAAGATGGCTTTGAGTTACGCAAATCTCGCTCTATACGTCGTTGGGTTTACCCTCGTCTATGTAAGTGGCCAGCCGAAGCGAGTAAACATCATCTAATCGCCTCACAGTACTTCCTACTAGGCATCTACAATGTCTTCTTTCACCCACTGCGGCACTACCCAGGCCCCTTCCTCTGGCGATTCAGCCCGTTGCCAAAGAACATCAACATGCTCCGAGGCACATATGCCAAAAAGGCGCGAGAAATCCACAACACCTACCAGGGGACCGTCCGCGTGTCTCCCAACGAGCTCTCCTACATCCAACGTACCCTCCCTCATCCCCTCCACTCGAGAAAGCAGAGACTGACCTTCCCCTCCAGCCCAAGCATGGAAAGACATCCTGGGCCGCCCCCTAAAGTCGGAAATGTACAAAGACATGCGCTTCTTCGGCGGCGACGCCTTCGGCCGCGACAGCCTCGTCACCACCCTGCCCGAGGACCACACCCGCCAGCGCCGCATCTTCACCCACGCCTTCAGCAACTCGGCCCTCAAGGCCCAGGAGCCCCTCCTCGCCAAGTACGCCGACCAGATGGTCGAGACCATGGCGGCCCTCCGCTCCCGCCACGGCGCCGTCAACCTCGTCGACCTCTTCAACTTCTGCACCTTCGACATCATGGCCGACCTCACCTTCGGCGAGCCCCTCCTCCTCCTCGAGCGCGGCGACTACCACCCCTGGGTCCACAACCTCTTCTCCGGCCTCAAGTACGTCGTCTACGGCGTCGTCCTCCTCGAGTTCCCCGTCCTCGGCCCCCTCGTCGAGCGCGTCCTCGCCGCGCCCATGAAGCGCGCCGCGCAGGACCACATGGACTTCGCGGGCGCCCTCGTCGACCGCCGCTTGCAGCTCAAGGACCACCCGAAGCCCGACATCTGGAGCTTCGTGCTCCGGCACAGCGGCGACGAGGCCAAGGGCCTCTCGGGCCGCGAAATGCACGCCAACGCCGCCATGTTCATGGTCGCCGGCACCGAGACCACGGCCACGGTGCTCTCGGGCGTCGCGTACTACCTCATGCGCACGCCGCGCGTGTATGACCTCCTGGTAAAAGAGATCAGGAGCACGTTCGCGCGGACGGCGGACATCGACGTCGACTCTCTGCAGCAGCTCCCGTACCTGAACGCGGTGCTGCAGGAGGGTTTGAGGGTGTATAACCCGGCCGGGGCGGGGATGCCGAGGATCGTGCCCCCCGGCGGGGCGGAGGTTTGCGGGGAGTTCGTTCCCGCTGGTGTAAGTTGCTTTTTTCCCTATAACGCTCCGCTGATCTGGTTTTGCTATGTGTGTGACTGGTGAAACTGACGCTGGGTGGTCACAGACCTGGGTCTCGGTGAACCCGTACGTCGCGTTCCGGCACGCGGACAACTGGGCCCGGCCGACGGAGTTCGTCCCGGAGCGGTGGATGCACCAGGACGACCCGGAGTGGAGGGGCGACAAGCGGGAGGTCCACGAGCCGTTCTCGTACGGGCCGAGGAACTGTCTCGGGAAGAAGTGAGTTTTACCCTTCCTCCCCCGGTGTATGATGAACAACACTGACAAAGTGCGAAACGCAAAACAGTCTCGCGTGGCTTGAACTCCGCCTGATTCTCGCCAAGACGCTCTGGCACTACGACCTGGAGATGTGTTCCGGGATGGAGAGCTGGGTCGACCAGAAGGCGTACCTGACCTGGGAGAAGGAGCCGCTGATGGCTAATTTGGTCCCTGTCGAGAGGGAGTGACGTGAGAGGTAAGGATTGGGGATGTAGACAGTGGTGAAGGCTGGATCCCTGAGTTGGATTGAGTTATGAATCATGAATCTTTCCATTTGTTTTTCCCGGCGGAGGTAGATGCGGCTTACACGGGCCAAGATTCGTGTTGTTGGTCTCTCATGTACATGTCTACGGCGCGCTTCTTGTTCCAGAACTTCGATTTTACCCTGAACCGCTGTCATACCCAAGGTAACCTCACGGGTCGCCGTGCAATAGTAACGACGGATGTCCTACCAACAACGTCCTCTCCTAGAAATGACAAATATTCTCACGATTCATTCTTCTCTGAAACCTTCGCCGTCCTTCTCAACACATGATACCAGACATTGGCGAGTCCGGTCGGGATCCTACGTCGTCTCGCGATGCACCGCACCAGAGCCGCTGGTGCGGTTTCACTCCCGTCACGCACCACCGGTGCGCACGGGAAAGTGCTTCGATGGAAATTCATCCACGTCTCTGATTGGGCCAGGTAGACTTCTTGTGTGGGAGTCAGGTCAGAGTTCGGATGAACGCCGTTCGTGGGTTGGAGGGGTAGGCTTCGGATGAAAGTCTGTGTTTGTCTGGACGTCCATCGAATAGCGCCAGGTGCTCTAAACGACGGCGACCCGTTCTATATTCTCTTAGTATGGGCGGGGTTACGCAGCTCTCAGGCTATATAAATTCGTCTGTAGTTACGTCCATGGCAGGACACCCAGGACTGTACTTTCCGAACCTCTTGTGTTCTGCACAACAACCCCAATGGAAATGGTTCAAGGGACGACTAGGAACAAGGCCTCATGCAAGGCCTCGTGCAATGTTCCCAGGGGCGCGAGTCTGTAGTACAGTTTATCTGGAGTTGACTTGCGTATTCATTATCAGAATACGCGAAGACAGACGGAGGAGAGCAAAGACGATGGCTTCTTGAAACATCTGTCACCCATCAGAGTCTCTGGGTTTCCTGTCTCCAGACACTCGATCATGTGGTTATGTGGAAACTGTGTACTGCGATATTGGAAACGCTGTCAACACACCGACCTTTGGCAACTCACAGCTGATCTGGCAGGTCTTATACGGCATCTTGCTCATAGTCCATGATTCTTTTGGTGCTTCACTGAAGCTGCCGTGGCGAGGAATCCACTGCTAGGGTGGAAAGCAAAGGCAGAATGAGAGATTTAATCAATAAGATCATCAGGACACCGTAATTGTTGATTATGACTTATGCGGGCTTGGTTTGGAATACGCAAGTTACTTGTCGGGAGACCTCATCAGCCTGCAGCCACATGTATAACAGACCATCAATATATTATCCAGATTTCAAGTATCTTGGGGAAGTCTCGACGCATTGAGATGTGTCGGAACAAGAGTGCCGTGCAGCCCTTGTGATGACCATGTTTTTGTATAAGATGATAGCAGAGGACGTCTCGATGAACTTGACGCTTGCGGCGGGCGCACGTCTTACTGGTGTTTATCTGCATATCGATCATGGTAATACATCAAGGGCAACGGAAGCCGAGAAAGACGATGTTGTTCTGAGGCCTCCTCTTTACCAAAATAGGATCTCTACGTTTCTGTCGGTATACAGGTACTTTGCATTATGGGGTGTGAGAATCGAGATTCGTTTCTTTCCTTATCTTTTCTCAGCTCGCTTGCTTGAACCACCTTGAAGAATGATACTTGGTGATATATATAGTATTCCATTTACGCGGATTAAAGGCACAAACAGCCCGAAGCGTTAGTCTAAATAGTTACTAATGTTTGATCAACGGAGTCGAAGATTTGCAGCTCTTCGCGAATGTCTATCCTCGAACGTTATGATATAAACCCCAAAAGTGAAGGAATTTCGTTTGTTCTTGTCAAGACATCCAATCACCTGTAGGATCTCGATGATCTGACAGCCAAGCTCATTCCACAGGTTGATGGGAGATAGGTTCCAATAGTATCAATAATCCTCTAGTTGGCGACGGATGACTATATTCTCTATCCCCTACGTCCTCTTTCTGGTTATTTTCGTACGTATAACACATGATTCTGGGGGAGAGGTGACGGGTGATAGGGTATGGGATCAACACACTTGCCGCGAGTCTCGTTGCACTGAGAGACCCGTCGCTCCCTGAAAATAACATGGACGCTTTTGGCGACATATCGTGGCGGCGCGATTCGTCGAATCGGGGAATTAGATTTCCTTCATCATCAGGTTTACTGCCGCCTTCCTTCCCATGTAGAAGTCTTGCCTGCGGTATGATGTTCACCTCCATCAAGTCTTATATGCCGCATTCTGGTCGCTCATTACCTGCGTGTTTACCTAGTACGTGGTAAGAAAACCGCTCTTATGAAGAATAACCGAAGGGATCACATCGCCAATCCGCAAGTAAAAAACAGTAGCGTCCATTTCCCAAGGTTCAAGGGATGCTTAAAGCAGGGAAGGTCAGAAACCGCGAATTCGGGAACGAATTATGTTCGGTCCTATGCGTAACCGCATGTTGCTTGAGCGCCAGCAACGCACGCTCTCCATCAAATTTTGCTTTATCTTTTTTATTATTCTCATGATTATGATCTGCAGACGTGGAGGAGAGGCGGCGAGGGAAGAAGGAAGAGTCCAGACTAAAACTTGGAACCCGGTATGGCCGATTTCAGATCTAAGCCTGGTGACACTGCAACCTGCTAGAGCTGGGCTAATGAGGTAGAGGATGGGTTATCCCAACGATCTAGGCGAGATATCCAATAGGAAGAACCTACCTTGACTTGAGCATTATAGAAGAATTATTAATGCCAATTAATACCTAAAGTCTCTACCAAGCTAGGCTCGGGTAGAGGCTTCTCAAGTTTCTCGCCTGCTATAGGAAAGTGGAAAGTTTCACAGATTTTGTTGAAACCAGCACTACTAGCCACCGGCGAAAGGAAACACGTGGCCCAAGACTGAAGCATTGGGTCCTACTGCACATTGGCGCTGATGGCGCGACTGTCGACGAGCTGATGTTAGACGAAGTCGATCTCTACAAGCAGGGCGACCGTAGTTTCGCGGGCATGAAGTTACATATTCAAAGAACGCGCGAGCGGACGAAGCGACTGCAGCACAGATATCGCTTTAAAAAAAGATGGAGAACATGTCTCAAATGTGATTCAAGACGACGGTCTGTTAATAGCGAATCTGCATTCTGCCTATGAACAATAAAAAGTCAAGACTACAGCCAAAACAGCAAAAGAATCTCCTCGACGGGGAATTGAACCCCGGTCCCCTGCGAATCGTGTTTCCATGACAAGCAGATATCCTCACCACTAGACTATCGGGGATTAGAACCTCTGATTTGAGATGTGAGAATGGAGCAAGATCGTGGCTTAGGGAGCAAGGGTTTCAGTTGTGGGGCACTCACGGCCGGCGCTGGGCCTTTGTGCCCCGTACCGCAGAGGGTCCAAACACATGTCAAAACACCTTTCTCATTTGAGTAGCTTCCTGAATTCTTGAAAACTGAATTGTCTATGCAACTTTGTAGTTTGTCAAGGTAAAACTACGTTAGAATTATCAGAAGTAGTTGTTTTAATGCTTCGCTGATCAAATCATGTAAGTGGAAGCTTCCTAGTACTCATTTGCAATTGCGTGTGCTCTGGACTTTCCCCTCCAGATCGTAGCATATCTTGAATGCTTACATGATCTGCAAGAGATGTAGACAGGTAGAGGTGGTATTTATATCAACAATAGATGCCTAAGATATCTAGGTTTAGAAATCCAACATCACGGCAGACATTGTTGCGTCCACCTCGTGCAGTCAAACTCTATCCCAGAGTATTCAGAGGGAAGTTGCGCGTGGAGGCTGGCTGACACCTCTTCGCATCGCGGCAAGTTGGTCTACCATCGCATTGTACCTTCGATGTCTCTCTTTCCTGTCATCTCTGGATCATATCTATGGAATAAGACTAAGATGCTGTTGTGTTGCTGTAGAAAACATCACGTGAAGAACTTGTTTCGACTGGGTGATCCGCATAATTGGCAATAAGGCGATGACACGAACCAGACATTCCGTCCTGTACATTGACTTATCGTTAGAAAGCAAATGAGTACGACTTTATATTGAACTTCATTCATGCCATATTCGTTCAGAAACCCTGAAAGGCTTATGGATGAAGACTGACGCTCTATGCAATATCTCCATCGCCCTGGGCGCCGTTGTGTGTATGTCCTCTGGCACCAGCTGCGCTTGAAAGGCGCATTGGACCAGCATTTTCACAGAAGAAATCTGCAAAAGGAACAGATGCATAATCAAACTTCCTTCAACATCCTCAGGGCAATAGTTCCTTTTGGCAAATCAATCCTCTCCGTTGAGGCGGACCACCTCCGCCGTCCGGCCGCAAACTGCCCCGGTCGCCGGCGACCCCACCCTCCCCGTCCGAACGCCGGCGCTTACCAACACCCACACCGAAAGTGACAGCCAACCACCGCCACCCACTCTCTCATCTTTCCCCCGGTCTACCCCAGACTTTCCCACTACCCCCCTGCCCATCACCGCGGACCTTACACTAGTTAAACTCCTTCGCATAAAAGCCAAATTCAACACCACGCACACAACCGCGCTCGAGACCAAAGTAAACACTCGTATCCAATTTCGATAAATATTTCATCCGTCTTCTTCTACTGCCGGCCATGTCTTGGCAATCTTACTCACGCGAAAAATAAACCAATGTGCTCTCACCCCGCATCGACGTAGCATCCCATCTGCTTTGCCCGTCACACGCATCTCGCGAGCAAGGATCCAAGAAAAAAACAACATCCAAGGATCTCCGCGTTACTTTCTCCCCAATGCCCATCCCGGGCTTCCTACCAATGTCCCCTCATCCCGGGCGCACGTTACATCGGCTACCGGGTGCATGTCTCTGTCAGGTCTCCTCTTCCGTCTTGGCTCGCTTTAAATTGTGGCTTCCTGACCTTCCGTCTTCGGATCTCGCGGTGACGCTCCTTGGCTTCTTCGAGATATCTGCGCATCAAATGCTACACCACGTTCCTGTCCTGAGCATGCGTGACGTTGTTCGCTGGAGGGCTGTTCCTGGTTCTCGTCTGCATTGTTGAGAGGTGATTGAATTCCGGCATCACATGAAAGATTGAAGCTTAGTCCCGCGGCAGATGGGAGAGGGGAGCAGTAGATCCCCATTCCCAATACCTCCGTCTTTCATGTAATCGTGGGAGATGCTGCGCGGTATAAGTGAACCTCACCTCCATCCAATTCCCACCCGTAACCTCCAGGGCATGGGATCTCCAACCTAGCACACTCCCATCGTCTCCCCAAGGACGACCAAGCCACGCCAAGATGAAGCTCCTTCCCGCCCTCCTCGCCGCCTCCCTCCCCCTAACCACCACCGCCATCGTCTACAACACCTTCGACGGCCCCGGCTTCCCGGCCTGCAACAACGTCGCCGCGATCCACAACGCCACCTCCGTCTCCCACATCCAGTCCCTGGTACAAGATGCCATCGCCTCGGGCCAAAAAGTCCGCGCCTCCGGCAAGGGCCACATGTGGTACGACACCATGTGCTCCGACGACCCGTCCACGGTAATCATCCGCACCGAGGACGTCAACGGCATCTCCGACTTCGACCTCGCCGCGGGCACCGTCGTCATCGAGGCCGGCGTCACCTTCCTCCAGCTCGCCGAGTACCTCCACGCCCGCGGCGCCAGCGCGGGGTACACCCTCGTCAACTGGAACATCACGCTCGCGGGGTGCGTCGCCATGGGCGCGCACCGGTCCAGCATCCGCGAGGACTCCATGGTCGCCGCGGGCGTGCTCGAGCTCGACATCGTCGACGGGAACGGCGAGCTGAGGACCGTGGTCAGGGACGAGGGGAGCGACGAGTGGCTCGCCGCGTCGACGTCGCTTGGGCTTTTGGGAGTGATTGTGAGGATGAAGTTTAAGATTTATCCCGATTTCAAGGTCTATGCCGACCAGAAGACGTGAGTTTCCCTAGACTGTTGATTGGAGGTCGAGAGGCGGGCTGACTGACGGCAACAGGCTCGAGGAGGACGAGGTTCTCAATGGTGACATCTACGGCATGATCGCCCCCTACGCAACCGCGAACTTCTGGGTAAGCATCACTCTCCTCCTTCACGAAACCCGTTCTAAACCAAGAACCCCAGTGGTGGCCCTACAAGCGCAAGTTCCACTGGCGCTACTACGACGTCGTCCCGACCTCGACCTCCCCGCAAGAAGGCTTCCAAAACACCTTCTCCGTAACCGAGCTCGAGGCGACCGCGGCCCGCACCCTCCTCGACTCGGGCCGCTACCTGCCCACCTCCAACCTGCTCGCGGAGGAGATCTTCTTCGGCCTCTGGTCCAAGCCCAACTTCCGCGAGAAGACCACCAACGAGCCCATCGAGACCTGGCCCGTCTACGGCTGGAACTACGACGTCCTCATCGGCGGCCTGTACCCGGACCAGCGGCCCCTCTGGGAGCTCGGCGTCCAGGGGTACACCATGGAGCTCGCCTTCCCCGTGACGCAGGCCAACGCGATGCTCAAGCGCGTGCGGGAGCTCTTCGACGCCGAGGCCAAGAAGCTCATCATCATGACCTCGACGTACCGCAGCGGGATCAACATCAAGTTCGGCCGCCCGTTCGAGGGCTTCCTGAGCCAGGTCGCCACGAACACGAGCGACGGCGCCGACTGGAGCAAGGGGGCCATCATGTTCGACTTCCCGACCTTCAGGCCTACCGTCGGCGACGGGAGCCGGTTTAACGAGCCGTTTTGTGAGTCGAAGTTCTCCTTCTTCTTTTGTTTCTTTCTGGTGGATTAGGAACTAATATAGACTCGGGGGGTAGACCACAACCTCGCAAAGGTCCTCATCGACGAGTTCCCGTGCCGCCCGCACTGGACCAAGAACACGCGCGAGATCTTCGCCAACGCGACCAAGAACCTGGATCCCGATGTGAGTCTCACCACGTACCATCATACAACGTGAAAAAAAAGATCGTAGCTAACGTCGGTGCGCGCCTGCAGCACATTGCCCGCTTCAAGGCCGTGAGGGAGCAATTCGACCCCAACGGCGTCTTCAGGAGCGTCGTCGGCGAGGCCATTGGCGTATACTGAGGCGTGGTGCAGCTAGCTGATGCACGGGATGACGGGGCAAATTCTAATTCTTTAGTGTATAATGTTAACATACCTTCCACACTGGATCTAGTTGAGTCGTACATACTTAGTGTTGCTACCGGGGTCGTTATCTAACGCATGCCGCCTCATTAGGCAACCTTTTTTTCTATCGTGAAACAACTTCATCAGACTTGGAAGAGGTGTGATAGGTCCAAGTTGGAATCAACAAGAATGCTACAGAGACCAGTAAATCTTAACTCACGAGCCAGGTCACGAAAGAGCCAGTGAGTAGGGTCCAAAACATCTATTCCTCGAACCGTTCTACTACACAAAAGAACACAATAAACTACAACAACCCCAAGATTACCAAGTGCAACAGTTCGTACAAGTCGTAACTGTTCCCTTCCTCAATGCTGATAGAAACAGAAAAACACACTCATCTCCCCCTTGTACTTCTTCTCTCTCCAAACACACCAAAAAACCACTTTAAAACTTGACAAGAATTAAACTCCCTATAATCTGTCCATGGAGCTGCTGTAGTAGATCTGATGCGAATGACTTCATAAGATTGTCGTTGGGAATCATGCTCAGGCCGTGGGCAGGGGGAAGGGGAGGAGGGTCGTCTGGCCGATGAGCCAGGATCCCGTGGTGATGCGGCAGAACTGGCCGGTCGGGGTGGCGCCGCCCTCGGTGTAGAGACCAGGGGGCAGGGTGAGGGTGCCTGCGACAACGGGGCCTGTCGGGACGGCGCCGTTACCTCCGGCCCCTCCGGCTCCTCCGGCGCCGGGGTTGGTGACGACGGTGGTGAAGGTGAAGGACTGGGTCGCGGTGGGGCCGGCGCTGACGCTGACGCTGACGATGGTGGAAACACCGCCGTTGCCGCCGGGGGTGTTGGCGTCGATGCGGATGTAGACGCTCAGGCGGACGTCCAAAGGAACAGACTGGCGACGCTGGATGGACGCACGACCACCGCAACGCTCCGTAGAGTTTCCAGGGCAAGGAGTGTTGCACTGAGTCTCGGAAACGAGCGAGGTCTGGGTGTTGTCGATAAAGTCTCCGCAGTAGCAGTCGGTGCTGAAGACACCGACGAACCTCTGACCAGCGCAGGAAGCGATACAGCTTTCGATAGAATTATCGGCCCTCGATTCGGCAAAAATGAACGAGGGGAAGCCGCCGTTCGAAGCAAAGCAACCCAGAGACGCGTAATTGCCGATGACAGGAGGGTTAGGAGCAACGCTGGGAGCAGTGACGCCGGTGTTGGTGGCAGTCGGGAGGACGGTCTGAGTTGGGCCAATGATGGTGGTACCACCGGGTCCGATGATGGCGGTGCTGCTGGGGTTGATGATGGTGGTTCCGCTGGGTCCGACGATGGTGGTTCCGCCGGGTCCGACGATGTTGGTGCTGCTGGGAGTAACAACAGTGGTTCCGCTGGGTCCGACGATGACGGTGCTGCTGGGTCCGACGATGACGGTGCTGCTGGGTCCGACGATGTTGGTGTTGCTGGGTCCGACAATGTTGGTGTTGCTGGGTCCGACAATGGCGGTACTGCTGGGTCCGACGATGTTGGTGTTGCTGGGTCCGACAATGGCGGTGCTGCTGGGTCCGACAACGTTGGTAGTTCCTCCCGGAGGACCGGGAGGGTTGACAGAACCAGTGGTAGTCGGGACGACAACGGGGACGCTGCTGGAAACGGTGGGCGGCAGGATAGGGGTCGAAGAAGGAGGAACAATGACGTTGTTCTGGCATTGGGTGCCTGATGCTTGTATTAGTGCCGAATCAAGAACACAGGAAGGCGATACACTTACGGGGAACGACAGTGAAGGCCACAGACTGGCAGTTGCTGGGAGCGTTTCCGGGAACAGCAGGGTTGGCAAAAGTAGCGAAAACCTGTCCAGTAGGATCCTGGCAGAAGGCAGCCTGACCGCCAAAGAAGGCATCGTTGGTCCACGCGAAGCCGCCGCCAGCAGTCACAGTGAAAGTAGCAACGATGCTACCAGACTGGCCGTTGCGCAGAGGGGCAAACAGAACGCCGGGTTGGACTCCAAAGGCGGCATCATCGATGAAGAGAGTGCCGGAGGCGCCAAGTCTGAAGGTAGAGGCCTGGGAACAGTTGCTGGGGTTGGGGTTGCCAGCACGACCGACGTACGTCTGGACAGTAGATGTCTGGCGCTTCTCCACTTGATGCATCTTGAAAGCTTGCCTTCGGATGAGGGGAAGGGTACCGTTGGAGAACGGCGCGGTGGCAGAAGAGCTGGAGCTGGCTGACGTGGAGGAAAGAGTAGGCAGGGTGATCGTGGGCAGGGTGATGGGCAAGCTGAGGGAGTCGCTGGAAGAAGCAGAAGAGCTTGCTGAGCTGGAGACAAGGCTGCTCGAAGGCCCAGACGATGCAGGGGCGCTCGAAGAAGCAGAGGATCCAGGAGCGCTGGAACCAGAGCTGCTCGGAGCAACGGAGCTGCCGGAGCTGGCCGGAGCAACGGAGCTGCCGGAGCTGGCCGAAGCAGTGGAACTGCCAGAGCTGCTCGACCTGGCGGAGCTGCCAGAGGAGCTCGCAGAGCTGGAAACAGGTGTGCTAGAACCAGTGGAAGACGCACGCGTGGTCGAAACAGCGCTGGTTGCAGAGCTGGAAACAACGGGAGCGCGTCCACCGACGATACCGAGGATGAAGTCTCCAGCAGCGGCGCTGCTAACCGGGGGAGTGACACTGCTGCTGCCCGAAGGGCTAACGGAGGGAACGGTCAAGCTGCCGCTGGAAGAGCTGACGCGAGTTGTAGGCACAGAGCTGGAGCCGGGGGTAACTGAGCCAGAGACTGAGCCAGATGCTGAGCCAGATGCTGAGCCAGATGCTGAGCCAGATGCTGAGCCAGATGCTGAGCCAGAGACCGAGCCGGAGGCGGAAGAGCTAACGGTCACACCGGGAGGCAGAGTGTTGACAGGGACCACAGGCAGGGAGGACGGCAGGAGGGTGGTGCTCGCCGGGGCGATGTTGACCTGGTTCTGAGGGACACTCTCAGCGATGGGGATGGGGTCGAAAGTGCCTGCCTGACGCTTCTTCGAGCCGCTGGAGGTTCTGCACTGAGAGACGTCAACGAGGGTCAATTGCCTCAAAACGGTGCCGCAGAAGCAAGCTCCCTTGATGTTTCCAGACATGGAGGAACCCTTCTGAGTGCAAGCCGAGGCGCAGGTTCCAGGGTTGAAAGTGCCAGACTCGGGGCCACGTCCATCGGAGAAGGGCGACTCTCCAGCAGGCACGGCTCTGCATCCCTGGAAGATAATGACGAAGTTGACCGTCCTCAGTTGGCCAGTGGCAGGGTCGATGATCTGGAGTGCAGAGATGATGGCCTCTCCAACTTGGATGTTCAAGAACTGGACAAAGGCGACGACGGCGGTGCTCAGAACGTTGATGATACGGGCACCAGGAATAGTCGACTGAGTCGCAGAAGGCTGAGCGGTGGGCTGAACAGAAGACGGAGCTGGGGCACCGGAGGACGGGGTGCCACCGCCAAGAGGAGGTGGGGAACCAGAAGACTGACCCGGAGCACCGGAAGAAGGCACCGGGGCACCAGAAGACGGAGCCGGGGCACCAGAAGACGGAACCGGAGCACCGGAAGACGGAGCCGGAGCACCGGAAGACGGAGCCGGAGCACCAGAAGACGGAGCCGGGGCACCGGAAGAGGGCGCCGGGGCACCAGAAGACGGAGCCGGAGCAGCAGATGACGGAGCAGGAGCGCCAGAGGAGGGAACCGGAGCAGCAGACGACGGAGCGGGAGCGTTAGAAGAGGGAACCGGGGCGCCGGAAGACGAGGGAACCGGGGCGTTAGACGAGGGGCCAGGAGCATTGGAAGACGGTGCCTGAGACGCACCAGGACCGCTGGAAGACGGTGCCGGGGAGACGCCGCCGGAGGACGAAACTCCAGCAGAGCTCGAAACCCCGGCCGAAGAGGACACTCCAGCGGAAGTGCTGGGGCTGACGGTCGGGCTGTTGCTCTGTCCAGTCGAGCTGGCAGAGCTACCAGACGTGGTGCCAGAGCTGGACTCGGAGCTGGTCAAGCTGGACGTGAGACTGGTCGTGGTGAGAGTGGAGGAGCTCTCAGACGAGCTGGTTGAGGAGAGGGTGGAGCTTTGAGTCGAAGAGTTCGTGAACGACATGGACGTGAAGGAGGTGGTGGTCGTGTTTTGAGCCTTGACAACGGCCAAATAGACGGCCACGAGGGCCGCCTTCTTCAACCAAACCATTGCGTCTGGTGGATGCTCGAAAATGACAACTCGGTAGGTAACCAGGAAGCCAAGTGGCGGATGTCGAGGACTTGGGGGAGCGGGCGAGAGATATTAGTTGGGGAGAGAGGAACTCCCGAAAGAGCGACAAACGCGAGAACAAAAACCAAGCAACAGTAACGAATGAATGCCCACTTGCCCGGAGGGGAACCCAGGGAAGATGGACGAGGGAGAACGAAGCGAGTGTGAGTTGGAGCGTGGTGTCGAGAGAAACTTCCTTCTGCAGAGAGGAGAATCTTGGCCGTATTTGAAAGTTTTCCACCGTCGCGGCCAAGCCAGTACCGCCGTCAACAAGGAGAGATTACCCCTTTCTCCTTGTCGTCCTGGAGCCGCTGCGGTGCTGGTGCTCGCCGCGAAACTTTGCACTGAGTGTGTGGAATGCGTGAAATGACGATTCTCAGGTCCAGCCGTGGGCAATGCCTGTCCCCTGAACGCCTCCATTCCACTCGGCCTTCTTTCTCTGAGCATCGTGTGCGTGTCTATGTTCGTGAATGTGCGTATGTGCGTATGCGCCGTCTCAGGCCTCTCATTTCGGTATTCGCCTCCCACTTTGAACTCGACGCGAGAATGAGCAAATTTGGACAAAGTTGCATCGCCTGGAATACGACCAGAAGATGACAGAGTATGACGCTGTCTCATTCAAGCTGTGCTTATCGTGTCGAGTTCACCACGAACCCTCCAAGATTGTCCACGGAAAGCTCCCGCTATCGGATAGTCAAAAGATAGAGGCCACTCGCCACAGTAACTTCCACAGCCAGTCGTGCTCAGAATGGTACCACGCTCCCATCAGACAGGTCTCGTTGGTGCGGAAGCCGGGACAAACGGGAGAGGAGGGGAATGCCCCACGACCAGCGTACTTTCCACCACATGCTTGAGCAGTAATAGCTGCGAGAAGGGCAAGGCAAGGCCTGGGGCCAGAAGTCTAGCTGGGGCCCGCTGAAGGAATGCAGAGGGTCGGTCGCCGATCCAAGGGTTGACTGGCCACCGTTCTGACGTTGGATGCTGCTGCGTGCCGCGAGAGTCCCGGACTGGAAGGGGGGCAAATGAATCTTGGCGACGCGGACGTATAGAGATAGGAGCTCGAAGATATTGACATGTCTCTGCGAGATATAAACGGAACGGAATCCGAGTCTAGCCCCGTTACCAGCTTTCGGGGATATTGCGTGGGTGGAAGTAATAAACGGCTCGATTCCTCTGGAAAACAAACGGCGAATCCGTGGCGGGCGAAGAGACCTTTCCCAGGCATGTGGGCATGTTGTGAGAGTGGAGGCCGAGCACGTGAAAAAAAGAAAAAAGGGGGAAGACGTAAGTGTACGGGAAAGGCACGAGATGGAATTCCACGATCGAGGGCCGGCACTCAGGCTCTCGAGTTGGAGGTGGTCGGAATGAAGTTGACGCTGGTCGATGGCGATGACTGGAGGGAGATTGAATATCTCCACTGATCCAGGAAAGTGGCCTGAGCTTAGAGCCAAAGGCTAAAGGGAAAGAAATGCCAGAATGCTTCCTGCCTCTCCCTGCATAAACCGTCCCGGTGCGAGGGACGTTCTCCCTGTTGCCATTGAGTTGTTAGCTTCACTCTCTCCTAAGGTAGGTAACCGCCCAAACACACCTTCGCTTTCTGATTCAGCCCAGACAGTGGCGTTGATGGCTTCCTTCTCCATGTCCATCCTCCCGGCGCCCAGGCATAAGAGCAATCCATGCCCGCGTTCTCATGCCAGGATTTGATTGCGAAGGTGACGATGGGTTCATTTTCCTCTGAAGGAAATCTCTTCGGGAATCTCCCAGGATTCGATGGCGATACGGGCAGCCTTTCTCGTTTCGTCGACTCGGCATCATACCAGGCTAGCGCCCCAGCAACATAGACCCTCGATGCCATCCATGGCAGGGAGATCGAGCATGTGCGGTCATCGTAGCGGCTGAGAGACCGTGGCGTGTGAGTATGTCGGCAGAATTTGCCCGAGTACACCTCGAGGTGGCACTGGATTGAGAGAGGATCTCGTCAGTATCACGATGCCCGGAGCGATGCACTGACGCGGTCAGGCTTCGACAGTCAAGATCTTCTCTTCATGACTGTATGATCTAGCCGCAGAGGCAAACCAGTCCCAAGATACTCCTAGTTACAAGATGTCCGCTGGTATAATCCCAGTTCCCGCAGATAACTTCCTTCTACAGCAAGCCAACAAGGCCAATCGCGCACACCTCACTCCGGCAAAATCTCATCCGCGTGCATGCCTCGCTTCCCTGATTTCCCTCGCGTGCCTTACGAGTTCTCCTGCCAATTGCCACTCCTCGCACACACGAGTATTGCTATTTCGGGCTAGCAACGTCCTCAGACTGTCTCGCAGGTTCTCTGTTCAATAGATATTGCACGAACTGCGTGCCTGGCAGAGGCAACGATCAGCCCTCAAACTCAACAACCCCCTTGGCATTTGCCTCACTCCTGGTGGTGGGTTCAATGTCCACGAGCTGGCCTTCCTTGCCGTTGCCGCTGGCACCAGCCGAGGCATCCGCCCCGTCCAAGAGGTCTCGGTCTTCGCTCCGCACACTCCGTCTCTCCATGTCCGCGCTTCCTCCGGCTGCGCCCTTTCTGATGCCGATCTCGACGCCGATGTCCGCGTCGTCCTCCTCGTCCTCTTCTTCCTTCTGACCGGGCACGGCGTTCTTCTCCAATTCCTTCTGCGCATCCTCCACTCTCCTGCGAACCTCGGCGGCAACGCGCATGCCATCCGTGACAATATTGTCTAGGACGCCACGCAAACCACGCGTGGCTCCCTGAGCGGCAGGGTTCAAGGCGGCGACAGGTGCACGGCCAAAGTTGAGACTGGAGAAGGTCGTCAGAGTAGACGTTGGTGTCGAGACCGTGGGTAGACCCTCAATGAGATGGAAGGATGTCGGGAAGGATGACTCAAAGAACTGCTCCAGAAGCTCGTCGGCGAGAACGACCATGCGGAATGTGGGCAGTGTAATGTGGAGAGGGTTGGCGGGATCCAAAGCAGCATTTGCCGCCTCCGACTGCGCTTTCGACACCCGCCGCTCAGATTGAGCCGGGGCTGTCGGTTCGTCCTCCGAAGGTGGCGTCGGATCGTCGAAAGGTTTATTGGCCTTTGACGGGCTGCCTGTAGGCGACTCCAAACCGAGGAGGTCTTCCTCGTCCTCGTCCTCATCGTCGCCGATGGCGAAAGCACCGTCGTTGTCGGCAGCCTTGCTTGTCTCTTCCTTGTTGCGGTTCTGGTTATGCGGATGGTCGGGGTCGGCATACTCGAAGCACCTTCTTATGAATGCACTGACGCTGCCCAAAAACCTCTCGTTGGTTGAGATCCCAGGCATACCTGGCTCAGGGCCGTTGTTGTTTGCCATGCCGTTGGGTGTGTTCAGGGTGAGGGTGGATGCGCTCGGGCTGAGGGTTCCCTCAAGACCTCGTCTTGACAAAAACAACAAAGCCTCCGACATTCGAAGGATACCCTCGCGATCGACCTTGCCGTCACCATCGTCATCGTAGAGCTCGAAGAAGTAAGTGATGGTGCCCATAATGTCTCGCTTGCCCTTTATACTAGCGAAGCCGGCGACGACATTGCTCAAAGTCAGTGCCCCAGTGCCGGTGACATCCCATTTCTTGAACAGAAGCTGCATAAACTCGTGGTCCGCAGGCTCCGGGCCAGCGCCCCAGGGAGACAGAAGTCCATTCTGTTGTCGGCGGCTGGTGTAGGCGTTCCTGTCTCTCTCGGCAAACGTTTCTCGACGAGGCGTAGTCGGGGCATCTGAAATGGCCCACTTGGCCATGTTGGCGAGGAACTCTCTGAAAGCATCGTAATCCATCAAGCTCGTACTGGGCCCCAGGGCAACACGACCCTTTTCAACTCCGTGGTCCGGGCTGTCTTCGAAAGCATCCCGCGCCCTGGGTCGCGCATTCTTCGCGCGGCGCATCTTCTCTTGCTGTATGATGCTATCTCGCTGTTGTCTTTCGTATAGAATGGTATAGAAGCGGTCGTATAACGCTCCCAACTCCTCAGGAGCAAGCAGTTTGCTGTCAGGGCCCAAATTCCGGATGGCCGTTCTCTTCGCGAAGCTTTCGATGTTGCTCAGAACGGCGTCCTTGTTCTTGAGACGCAAGTCCGTGATACTGCTGTGAGTGATTCCAGAAAACTCCTTGAAAGCTACTACCATCAACTCCTGGAACTTGGTGACGGCACGCAGCTTGGGGTTCTCTGACTTTGGGTGCGCAGACTCGTCGAGGCGCGCGAAGTACGTCTTGAGGATGGAGATGAATGCGCCGTCGTCCGCGGCATCCAGAAGCTCCTCGCCGTTGATCCTCAAGATTGCCAGACCTATCTGGAACAGTACTTTCGGTCCTTCGACGAAGAAGACATCCAGCACTCGGAAGGCGAAGACCAGCGGCATGGAGTTGACGTAAAGTGACAGGAACCACGGTAATGACACCACTGAGAGCTGAACGTCGCTCTTGACCAAGTGTTCCCACAGGATCGGCATCGTCTTCTCTACAAGTGATTCAAACACCTTCTGGTCCAACAGAGTGCCGTACATGGTGGTCGAGTAGTATCCCGGCACCAGTCTGTCGCAAAGAGACGACAGCAGGAAGAAGGCTTGCGCCTCTGACATGTAAATGAGCAAGGCCGCGACAACGATGTTCATGGCCTGGCAGTACCCAACATCAGGGTTGATCCAGCTGTAGGCTGTGAGCACGCGTCTCAGGCGACCGATGCCCTCCTCGCTCTGAAAACCGGGGTACTCTGGCAAACTTCGGTTCAGATCCTTTTCGATCTCGTCAATAGCGAGAGACTCCTGTCCAGCGTACTTGGCCAGCGTGTCGGCATAGAGCGTGGGGTTCTCGAGCCTGAGGTAGATGGACCCGCACGTCAACTCCCAAGTCTCGCCTCTCAGTCGATTTGGCAGACCAACACGGATGAGCTTATGAAAGGTGGGTTGTCGAATCAAGGTCATGTTGCGGCCGTTGTCGCGCAGGTACTCGGCCCAAAGGCGCATCTTGGCTCTATCACGGAGCTTCTTCGGGTCTCCTGGGTAGCGGAAAAGCATACCCAGGCCGGCGTCGGGTGGGCTCGCGTTCTTCTTGTCGTCTGATCGGAGTAGGTATTCGGAGTAACACTCGCTGGTGACTTTTTTGTATTTGGTGACGTTGCCGACGCCGGCCCTCAGTCCCTTCTTCAAGCCATCGCAAAAGCGCTCACAGCCCTGACGGGTGCCGGCCAGGTGTATCGTGATCCTCTGCTCCCTGTTATCCTTCTTCTCCTTATCGGCCGAGTCCTTATCGTGGTCTTTATCTTTGTCCTTTGACTGATTGATTCCATTCCAGGTCGTAATGGCCAAGGCAAACTGGGAAGGGCAGAGTGTCAGTTCAGAGTCTTTGCGGGGGAGAGCACGGACAGTCGGCTGTCATTGTCTGAAGCCGGGGTCGAGGGTCACCCACCTGGAAGGTTTGACTGTTCAACCGCTCAACGCGTCTGATGGCGCAGAGTGGGAAGGTGAATCCATTTCCGCTTGGCCCTCCGCCGTGTGTCTGGCCGGTGAAGGCGGAGCTTGTCGAGGTGCTCGCGGACTGGACGAAGCTGGATGGTGTTGTGGAGAAGCACATGTAGGCCTCGGAGAGATGGAGCTTGCCGGCATAGTGGTAGCCTCGATCGTGGTCCTTCTCGCCATAGGTGGCATTGGCGGGTGGGATGGTAAGCTCGGCATTGATCTCGTAGAGCGGCGTCTGGGTACTGGGAAGGCGGAACTGGTTTTGGAAGAGCGAGGCCTTGGACGGGTTCTTGTCGGAGTTGGTCAGGTTCAGCCCCTGGGTCGGGTCGATGAACTGCTGTGCCTTCTGCACAAGGCTGGATAGGTTCAACATCCTGGGGCTTCTGGACTCAGCTGGTCATGTCGGGGGTGATGTTCGAAGGCACGGGCGAGGAAGGCTCGGTTCAGGCCGGACGGAGAAGCAAGTCGGAAGTCAGGCGTTGCTGACCTGAGGGGCAGGCCCAGGAATGAGGCAAGACGCTGGTCGCCAATGTAGCAGACGAGCTCTGGCGTCACAGCGTGATGATACCGGATCGCTGAAGCATCAGTCAGCTCCAAAGCGAGGTCGAGATTCGATTCGGCGGTCGAGTGATAGGTCAGTGTAGGTAGGTAGTTGGTGGATTGAATGGGTTGAGAGGAAGAGCTGCGATGAAGGTGAGCCGGGACTGGAGCTGAATGCAGAGAAGTGGATAGTTGGAGGTTTCCCGCCAAGACCACGTCCAGCGGAGGGTCTGGTACGTACCTCATTCCACCTCTCGTCCCTGACAATGCCTCCCAACTCACCACCATTTCTCACGGTTGGCAGTGTCTGAACGCCCTGAATGCCCTATTGATCAGTCACTGTTGCAGGCTAAAGCACGGCGGACATGCGGCGGCGGCACGCAGTCCGGCAATCCCCTGCAGAGGGGCAACCCCTCTACACCTTATTCGTAACCCGCCTATCCGACCATTCTTGAGGCACCTTTTCTCTCTCCATCTCGCCTCTCCTGGCCTTGAACTCTTGCAGGTGATGGACATAATGGATGAACCTAACGGACCCCTTATTCAGCAACGCTTCTTTTGCCTCCAACATTCCATCCGCGGTGCTGCCCAAAATATGATATCATTTCCTCCCAGATCGTCCTCGAAGCCTTGTCAGGATACTTAACGAAAGACGGCGATTCCTCCCTCCCTCGACCCCTATCGTCAACCTGTCAACCCAACCCCGCCAAACACGGGGCAGCCTATCAGTCCAGGTGACGTGAGGGCTGCCATCACCAGAGAGACACCCATGCCGAGTGCCATGCCCGTCTTGGCTAGCTCCCACAGCTGAGACACATCCCCCCGTGCTGTCATGTCAAGCAAGCAAGGGCTCAAAGCTCACGGGGACGCTGGACTCTGCGCCGGGTCGTACAGATTGACAATCGCCTACGGCGCTGGGTCAACCGGAAACTACAGCCGCGGTCGAGGTACATTACACTGCATGCATGGTTTGAACTGAAATTTCTCGTTGATTCGTTCTCTCTTATCCTCTTGTTCAAGACTCTTCCGAGCCTCATAGCTTGCTACCTTGGTGAGGCAGATGTGTAAACGCCGTTGCAACGCCGAAATAGAACCCCAGCAGTGCTTATCCAGGGCTTGACCAGCAGAAATCCCCCTTTCCTCTTTCGCGCCTCTCTCCCTTCCCGAACCCCTAAAAGCTTCCCATCAGAAACCTGCTACGGCTTGTGGGCTACGAGCGCATCTTCCTTCGATTCGCGCTTCACGAATGGCATCCTGTATAGTTTTACATGTGGAGTATCATGAACAAACTGAAATGGAACGTTGGGACGAAAGCTCCCATGGCAAATAACTCCCAGCGCATGAATTCATAGATGAAGATTTGTCGGAATATCGTCAAAAGTCTTTAAAGTACTGGTCGTACTTCTCGACCATGTCGTCGGTATATGGTTCCCGCTTGCCGTCGTCCTCGGGATAAATATCGAAACATTGCGCATCGCCTGGGTACCGAATCGGCGGGATGATGGGCCCGCGGACTCTCCGGTGGTACATGTCGTCCCAGTTGACGCCGCGGAAGAAGGGATGCTCTTTGACTTTCGCGGCGCCTCCGCTGATATTCCCCAGCCGCCGGGAGCGATCCACCGTGCAGAAAGCTCTGATGAGGTCTTGAGCTTCGGGAGACACCGGGGGGTCGTGCGGGAACATGACGGGCTTCTCAACGATCCTGAGTGGTCTGTCAGTGACTGCAGCAAACGACTCCTGGCAAACAGAGCAGTCTCTGTGGGATTACTCACTGTTTGTAGATTTCGATGGGGTTTTGGTGCCAGAAGGGCGGGTATCCCGTCAGGAACTCGTATATCAAGATGCCCAGCGCCCACCAGTCCACAGCCGTCGTGTGGCCCTTGTTATGGATCACTTCCGGGGCGAGGTACTCGGGGGTGCCGCAGAGAGTGTACGTCTCGGTGGGCTGTCCAGCGCTGTTGCTTAACCTCTTTGCGAAGCCAAAGTCCACCAGCTTGATGTGTCCGTCTTGGTCCAGCAGGAGGTTCTCGGGCTTCAGATCGCGGTAGGCGACTCTTCCCTGCTGCTCGTGCAGGTACTCCAGCACGAGAACAATCTCTGCCGCGTAGAAACGGGCCGTCTCTTCCTCGAAGCGCCTGAACTTGCGCAAGTAGCTGAACAACTCGCCGCCGGGTACATAGTCCAGCAGCATATAAAGGTGGTCGCGATCGGAGAAGGAGGTGACGAGGTTCGTGATGAAGGGGAAGCCGGACACGTCGCCGAGAATTAAGCGCTCGTGACGGACATGGTCGATCTGCTTCAGCTTGATGACCTCTGTTTTGCGCAGAATCTTCAGAGCGAATACCGTGTCGCGCTCCTCTTCGGTGGCATTGGCCGGCCTTACGAGACAAACTCGGGCAAAGGTACCTTCCATGGCGCATGGTCGTTAGCAAACGGTGTCCCGAGACATGTCGAGAATGACACCGAGGCTGCGCAAACATACCTGTGCCGAGCGTCCTCACGACGCGAAAGTCTTGGGGGGTCAACTTGCGAGTGGCAAGAGGCCCAACGCCAGAGTCTGGATGTTGCGATTGTTGTTGTGGTTGACTGTGTCCATTACTGGTTCGACGCATCATCTTGGACAGTCCTCCTCCAACCTGATTAGGGAGGGGATTCGCATGCGCAACCGTCGCCGCCATGTTATGTATCTTTTGATTGATGGCCGATATCCCAGTCATAGAGGGTTAGGTAGGGGTGGTCGGGTCGGAGCGAGAGTATTTGTTTGCTTTTTTCTTTCGGGTTCACAGCGCGCCGTCCATTACGGGCCGGAGAGTCGGCCGTCGGAGTAGAGCGAAGCGGTTGCTGAGGGAAGGTAGGTAGGTAAGTTGGTATGGTGAAGCGGCGCAAGTACAGCTCGGACAGAGAGTATGGACGCAGATATGGGACGTAGGTGTACGTAGGCGTATGTCTGTAAAGGGGGTGGGTGTGTTCGTTGGGTATCGTCAGTGGTCAATGGGAGAGGCGTCTGGTTGGGTGGAAAGGGGATCGGTTCGGATCGAGTATCGTCTGGGGATTCGAGCAATGGAATGGTTCGGGAGGTGGAACGGGGTGGCTGGAGGCGAGTAGTTCTTTGTGTGTGAGGTGCCTGGTGTAATATGGCGTACAGAGCAATAATATCTTGGTGCTTGGATCAAGAGAGCGAGAACGGCGCCCCCCTTGGACTTCCTCAGGACCTCAGGACTTCAGGTTGGATCTTTTTCAGGGAGTCGACGGGGAAACCTTCAGATGAAAGGGCCGTGGCAATGACGAAAGCCAGCAGACCAGACAGCTACATACGGTAGGAGCATTTATGGGGCTGACCAGGAGCAACCAGGAGGGGAGGGGCAAGAAGCGTGGGAAGGTGTGGACAACACGGGGGTCCCTGAACAAGTTGGAATACCTACCTACCTTACTACCTCACTACGGATATGTAAGATACATACCGTAGTAGTAAAGAAGAGCCCAAGGAGGTGGTCACCGTTCACCGTTCCCGCCCTGTCGGGCACCTCGTACACTCACACTTCACCTGCATCGCATCGAATGCAACTGCCATATTATTCGCCAGCAAACGGTGTCTGTCGGTCCTGCCTTCTCTGCTTTCTGCCAAACGCTTTAACCGACAGCACTTACCGAATTAGGAAATCTAGCCTGTCCTCCGGGTCTAAATCCGGGCCGATTCCATGTACCAATCAGGAGTGACAGTGACATCCAACACCAGCCACGAGCCACGGAGGCTGCCCGTCTCACCCCACATCCAATGCCCCCTTTTCTATCATGGATCCGTACAGATCTCTCTGCCTTACCTTACCTACCTAGCTCAGATACGGTAATGAAGAAATCATTCTGCAACGTTCGTCAACAGCACCGACCAACTCCTCTGCTTTGTCCATCGCACTGCAATCCATTCTCGAGTCTCAGAGTCTCAGCCTACCGCGGTTACCCCGCCAGTCTCTGACGAGCTGAGAGAGAGAAATAGAAAACTCCGCCACTACCTTAGAAACCCTTGCTAACCACATGGAGACGTGATGGAGTGGCCTAGACTGAGATGCCCTTACTGCCCTCTCAATCTCAACTGTCTCCTGGCGTTTATTTCACCTCCCGTCGTTTCCACCCGACGGCAGTTTCTTCCCACTTTTGAAGAAATCTCCGTCGTCCTGATGCGCGCAAGGACTCGCCAATTTCCAGCAGACCCAACACCAACAGGAGTCTCCGTTTCCTTCAGCTGTCAGAATCCCTCAAGTCTGAGTCGGAAGTCTCACTGCTAGTCGTCTCCTGACTCTGTCATCTCCATCCTGTCCGCCTCGCCGTCTTACCGCCGCTCCGCCTCTGAGTAGCGCACCACTAACCGGACGAGTCGTCTTTCTTCACTCTCACTCTGCTGCGGCGGTGTGATGTCTTCCTTTTTTTCTTTCTCCTCTCCTACCTGACAAATACCGAAAGTGGCTCATATAGGGTCCCGGATGCTCGGGTCCCCGATCTGCCCCAAAAGACGGTAAAGGTTAAAAAGAAAGGAATTCGACTCGGCTGACCTGACTTGAGAGTCGGGTGGAAACACGCTACAGCTGACGAGGCGTTGCAGTTGAATCAACCGTTGCGATCCAACATTCTTTGACGGCGGCAGAGACATTTTTCACTTTCGCACAGGGCCACCCAATATCCAGTCAGTCAGTCAGCCAGCCAGCCAGCCAGTCAGCAAGATCTGGGGACACAGCACGCTGCAGAGTCAGAAAAGAAGCATGATACGCCTTGCATGCAACCGACCCTTATCGGCGCCTATGACGCAACATTCGACATCCCTCCCCGATCACCCCCAACTCATCCCACCTTCTCGTCACAATTCCCAATCCTTCCGTCCCACCTCATCCCGTCCCGCTGACTTCCTAATTAACCTACCAGCGAACATGCTTTTCCCCATTCGCAAGCAGAGCCGCCTGCGCTGCGTGGCATCTGGCAAATGCTCGAGCCAAACCGAAATCCGATCTTTTCCATCATCACATTTCGTCGCTTTCTCGTCATGGCCGAGTTTGAAATCTATACCTTGCTTTACCTAGCTCCTGTTCTCCGGGCCGACTCTCATTACAAGCACGCGGCGTCCTCTCGCCTCTACCAAGAAACAAGGGGACCTTTGTCAGCTCAGCTCGGCTTCTGCTTTGCACGAGTCGTGCCCCATGCCTGATTGCGGCGAGGGGGGTATGTCACTTCAGCCCCCAACGAACCGTTTGTCATCCCGCATGCAACGTACACGACATACGGAAGTATATCTTCCCAGTTTTTCAACATATCCGGCCGGCACTTTGACGGTCGGACTGCTCCCCGGCTTGCCCAGCCTCGGGTTGCAATTTTTTTCCAGACCATTGGATCGCGCTCCGGCACGGATCATCGACAATATTGAGAGCGGCGTCGTCCCCATACTTCATACCCGAGAATCGCGGGTTTATGACTAGGACGGCCTTGTCCTTGTCTCCTCAGCCATACGAACCTTGGACGTTTCGAAAGCTTTTCATCAAATTCCTTCCCGGACAATCATCGGATGCACACACTCCTTACTCAGGCTGAAGCTTGGCTGGACAACTGATGGCTTGAGTTGTAAAGTTGCAACATGGGCCCTGCTCAACACGCGCCCAACCCTGATCTTGGTCATCAGAGATCTAGATCCTTCGCGGTCATGACGTCTTGACTCAGAACCCGTCCTCACGCTCTAAAATAATGGACTCGAGCACGGAGGCAAGCACGGAGATACTCGTGGCATTCTGTGAGAGTTTACGAGACGCCAAGCCAGCAATCGGTCTGTATGTGCGTACCACGAGACGCAGCAAAGACTTTTTTCGCTTCCCGCCGAGACGCGCGGTTACCAAACTTCTTCAATCCGGGTACCCTTCTGGCACGTCGCCCCGTTGCCGGCCGGATTCGATGGGACCTTCGGGAGTCGGGTCCGCAGTATTTGGCATCGAGACTCGTCGACTCGACCTGCCCTCAAAGCCCGACTAACACACGCTGCAAGGATCACCCTACCCAGCAACCCGGGACAGCCATACCTGACATGTCTAGCGAGATGACAAAAACGAGCTACGACGGAGTCTCTGTCAGAAACGAATTTTGACTCGTCACCCGTGTCATCCGGATATGCCATGGCCCTTGGTTTACCCGACTTAGACGTCCAAACCCCTGACGACCCAGCCTACATTGGTTGACCTTTTGCCAGCACTTGCGAGATATTCTGAGACTCTTTTTCAGAATCTCAAATTATAGTTCCCGAGACGTAAGCATAGATATCCACCGGGTTGGGCTCCGATTTCTCATGAGCTCGAGTATGTCGATGCCAACGGTCGTCAACCATTTCCAACGCCCTTCTGACCCTCTCGAGCCTTGGAACAGAAGCTCGTAGACCACTCGCAGAGCTGCTACTCGTTGCAATAGCGGATGGTGACGTATACATACGGACTAGACCCCGGATCCCCCCCCTCCAGATCCGTGTAGAAGCGTATCTCTGCTCGCTGTGGCCCCCCCGCGCGATCCCTTCCTCGTGCGTGGACGCGTCCTGCCTTCTAAAACGCATTCCTCCACGGGCTACGTTTCCTTCCCAAGAACAATTTAAGAAGGCCAAGTCTTTTAACGCAGTAGTGGAAGAAACACAAGACCGCTCTTACTCCCTCGTATCGTCCAAGTAGCTGATCGGAATTCATCTCTATGAGAGAGCGAGTGTGTGTGTGTGTGTGTGTGTGTGTGTGTGTGCAGCAGTCTTCCCAATACACACCAACCGCAACAATTCCACATCGCAGATGTCTACCCCGTACCTATTGGGAACTCCTTCATCATGATGGAGGCCAGACAACCAACGACGACTCCCCGTAGAAATTTCCCATCTCCAAGCTACAGGTATCCAGTCAACGATGCTGCCGGCGCTGGCGTGTCGAGTATACTTCAGTCCTCACAACTTTACAAGCCGGGGAAGGAGGGAGGAGCGAAGGTGTCTGCTCTACTCGCCGCGGATGACATTACTCCTCTCTATCAAGGCTCTTAACAAGCCATTCCAGTAAAGGTCGCGCATGGCACGGTGAAGATACTCTCCCCTACGTAGTATAGAAACTCGTTGGCTTGGTCATGCTCTCTGTATTGTATCAATGCGTCGCTCTTAACAAATGCTCCCATCGCCACATCCTTTCGTGACCATGTCTCTCCACACGTGTATGTATATAAACACATCAAACCCGAAAAAAAAACCCAGGGGAAAAATCATCGACAGGGTATATCAAGTTCCGTCCTTCATCATCCCCCCACGCCTTCACTGGCTAAGCCACCAAGCCCCAGCTCCGATGGCGAGCAGCGTGGCGAGGATCAGCGCTCCCTGCTTCGTAGACCACAGGAACATGCTCCAACCCGCGAGGACCTCCTTCCGCCGCGCCGCCGCCCTCCGCTCCCACGCCTCCGGGTCGATCGCCACCGGCAGCCGGAGCCGCGGGTCCGCGACGTGTCCGGACGTCTCCGCCGCGGCGGTGGGTGAAAGCTCCTCCTCCGTCAGCAGCGGGACCGCGGCTCTGATGTAGACGGCCCTGTGATCGGAGCTGCGGACGACGGGCATCGCGTCGTACGACTTCACGTCGACCTTGCTGCCGGTGTCCGCTTTAGCCCACGAGGGCACCTCGAGGAAGAGGATGCGGTCCGTCCAGCCGGGGTACCGGTGCGGGGCGAAGACCCACGGCACGTCCTCGACGCCGTCGACCTTGAGACGGCTGTCGTCCGGCGGCAGGACGGTGTACTTGTACGTCGGCGGGAACTTGACCTCGGCCTCGCTCATGCCGTGCAGGGTGCGGCCGGCCTGGCGCTCCCTCGTCAGCTGGTCCAACTGGAAGAAGCGCGAGTAGTGGTGCTCGCTGTCGGGGTCGAGGCTGGGGAACGTGGCCATGGGCGGCGGGCTGGTCGTGGAGATGCGGTAGTTGAGGTCGCCGCCGACGAAGAGGTGCGAGGTCGGCTTGAAGACGGAGATCTCCTGCAGCCGATCGTTCAGGGCCTGGTTCTGGGCCGTGTGGTGCTCGTCGTGGAGCAGGTGCAGCCCCTCGTCGCCCGCACCGTCTCCCCGGCCCTCTCCCTCCGCGGCCGGGCCGAGGGCGTGCTTACTCGGGCTGAGGATGTCGTCGGGGTTCTCGAACGTCAGCCCGCGCATGATGGCGGCCCAGTTGGCGTTCCTCCGCGGCAGATTCCACTCCATGGCCGCGAGATGCGTGGCGACGAAGGTGAGCTCCGTCTCCTTCTTGCCGGTGCCGTCGGCGGCCTTGCCCTCGTACAAGACGCGCAGGGCAACGGCGCCCTTGTTTCCCATCTCCGCGGCGCCGAAGCCGACTTCCGCCTCCTGCACGCGAAGCACCGCCTCAGGGGTGCGGGCGAAGAGCATGATGGCCGTCATACCAACATTTCGAGCTCTCACGAGTGTATACGGCCGCACGGGAGCCGGCGCGGTGGGCTGCACCGTGATCGTGTCGTCTTCGTTGTCGGAACCATTGTCGGTGCCCTTGGTGTATCTCGTCGCCGCCAGGTTCAGGGCCTCTTCGTAACGGGCGAGGTAGGGGCTGAGGAAGTAACCGCCGATGAAGGAGTACGACATCGGTGCAACCTCCTGAAGGGAGCTGTTAAAGAGATCATGTCAGCTCTTGCTCGCGCAGCGGCACCATGGCGGAACGATGCCTCCCAGCAACATTCGTCGGACGATAATGGTGAAGGTGGTCGGTCACGAGGGGCATCCGACTCACAAGACGACGAGCTCGGGGAGGCCCGTAGCATTTTGCTGGAAGGCCGCATGCAGATGCGACGAGAAGACGGCGACATTGATGAAGTTCTTGGCGCAATTGAACGTCAACATGAACAAGTCGAGCGTTGAGGGCGCCATCTTGACGGCGGCGGCGGTCGTCGTGATGGAGTTGACGTCGTCGTCGACAAGGGTCGCCATTTGGTGTCGGAGGTGATAAACGCCGATCACGGTGACGGTGGGTGGTCCCGGCGGCCGGCGCTTTCGTCTCTGTCGTTGGAGGGGGTGGGACGAGACCTGTTGGCGCTGAGAGATCCTTGGCCCGGGAACTGCCTGGGCAGAGCTGGCTTTTATCCAATTAAGGTGCCGTGAGGAAGGTTTTGGACGAGTGCTGGCCTGCAGGTGATGTAGCCTACGTAGCTTGCCACTGGGTGGAGGTACAAGTCGCTTGAAATGCTGGTGTACAGCCACACTCGCGTGCCAGTTTCTGGATTTTGGTTCGGTAATGGTGACCAAGATGAAGCTCGAGATGCGTCTGCTCTTCTTCGGATACGAGATGTATATACTTCGCTTGGCAATCAACAATTCTTTTTCCTCCCTGCCTTCCCGGCAGTTGAGTCAGCTGCGGAAGCAGGCGTCAGGCGAGGCTGCACCTGACCTGTACAGCCTCTAAAGTCCTGGACTCTTGACGCATCACTGACCTTACCGCTCCAGCCAAAGTCCACGGCCGTGTCCACTTGAAGATCTACGTTGCCTGCCAGGTCTAGGCCTCTCCACGCTTCCTCCGCCTCCTCTAAAGCGGGGTCGTGGACTAGTTCTCAGGTAGGCACTTCTTAGGCTGACTTTGGAAGGACTTGAACTAAGCTGATTTCCAGTCCTCTTTACGAGAGCATGGATCTGCTTACTGACCTGCTAAACTCCGCAAACATCGCATGAACTCACCATTGTAAATGCCTCAATATGCCCAGCATCCTTCACCGCTTTACGCGTCACATGACTTTGCAATTGACTCGGATTTTGCGCGACCATTTGTAAATTGAGAAACTACCATGCGTGTATCGGTTGGCTCCTTCACATCTTGGCGACCCTGCTAACTACCCGTGCTCCGCCTGCATCACTTATAAGCTTGTCGAACCGGTTAAAGTCCGTGGGTGATGAAGGCGCAGTGTGAAGAGTCCTACCGCCCATGTCCATCAGTGCCCAACCACCACCTCAGCTAAGCCAAGGGAAGGCGGTAGACCGTGAAGGACCATGCGTGACTGCTTCCAAGAGCTCTTGATAGGGGCAGCGGATCAAAACTGTGATTGCCTACTGACAGTCCAGCCTCGATCCTCCGCGTGCAGATGTCGAAGTTCCCAACCAACCTAACCAGATGAAGAAAGACAAGGAAAAGAAGTTCAGTCTCCCTCATTAGCACTGCTTGCGTCGCCCGATTGCCTAGTGTGTCGATGGGAACTCGTACGAGTCGTTCGGTGTTTTCTTCGACTACCACTACCACTGACGCTTCGCCCGTCTCTCGTGTCGTCCCCATCCCCGATACTACCTCCCCAGAAGCGGGCCTCGACGCGTGGTTGACAATGTACGAAGCCATCGAATGGAAATCAAAATCGTAGTGCGCGTGACCATTAGAGAGTAGGAAAAGAAAAGGAAAAGAAATTGAACAAGGAAAACCGTCGGTGAAACGCAGCTCCAACGCATCGACAAGGTGCGAGGTCCGAAACCAGGGGCACTCAAGATGTGGGAAGGGATGTCTCGCGGGGCGGCCCGACGACGGTGCCTCGGAAACCAAGGTACCGGACGTGCCGTTCAAGTTCTTCCTGCCATAGGCGCCAATCCCATAAGATCCAGCAGAAGACTGCGGGATGCCTCGAGAGTGGTGCCTCGTCATGAAGAAATGAGCCATGCAGAGAAAACAACCCAGACATGTCGAAGAACAAAGTTGAGAATGCGTAAAGAAATGGGGATGCGACCGGTTCGCGTGGCAAGGCGTATCATCAAAAAGACCCTGCTGGTGAGCAGAACCCGTACCAATCGTGATGCCTGGAAGCCATGCCACGGAAGGATGACGCCAGTAAGCCGGTCAAATCATACTCCCAATAGGTGGACAGATGCGTATGGTTGCCGTCGTCGGTGATCACTTGGGCAGATAAGAATTCGAGCCATACGGTGCGCTTTTCGTAGCCGAGCGCAAACTATTTCATCGTCCACTAAGTCAGCATGCTCTTGTCAGCCATTGATCTTCCGGCTCGCGGCCTTCTTGCCTGGATAGGTTCCGAGGTGGTACTTACATCCTGTCGCTTCCACCGACGGCACGGTTGGTATCTGGGGTGTTTACACCAGCACCAGATCCTCGTTCAATCACTTTGCGGCGCGAGCTGGGAAGGGCGTTAGGCTTATTAGCGCCAGACTGAGGGGTCGGCTGACCAGCAGTAGTGGCAGTGCGAGATGCCCGCGCCTTTTCATCCTCCTCATTGGCTCCGGCGGCCTGGGCGATGGCCTGAGCGTTCTTCTGGTACTTGTAGACGGTCCAGTCGAAAACGTAGTCGTACTGGAAGCCCTCGCGGACGAAGAGATCACGGAAGATCTTGCGGAGGTAGCTGTAGTCGGGCTTGTCGTCGAATCGGAGGGATCGGGTGTAGTTCAGGTAGATGGCGAACTCGTTGGGGAAGCCGCGGCAGAGGACCTCGGTCGGGGTGGTCATCTTCTTCTCCATGATCCTGTCGTATTTCTGCTTCTTAGTAGCAGCCTTCAGTCCTTGCCAGGGGAGGGATCCGCGGCAGAAGTAAAGCATGACGTAGCCGAGGGACTCCATGTCGTCACGGCGGGATTGCTCTGCGGAATCGTCAGCAGCGGAAAGGGGCAGGACTGGGTCAGTTGGGAGATGAAAACATACCGACACCCAAGTGGGTGTTGATGGAGGCGTAACGAGCCGTGCCGGTAAGGTTCTTGTTCTCTCTGTAAGGAATGTGGAAGTGAGTCTTGGGGTCACGGTACTTCTTGGCCAGACCAAAGTCAATCACATTGACCTGGTTGCCACGCTTGCCAATGCCCATAAGAAAGTTGTCGGGCTTGATGTCACGGTGAATGAATGACTTGGCGTGGATGTACTCGATGCGAGAAATCAGCTGGTCGGCAAGCAGCAGTACCGTCTTGAGAGAGAATTTTCTGTTGCAGAAGTTGAACAGATCCTCGAGAGAGGGGCCGAGAAGGTCGAGGACCATGGCGTTGTAGTCGCACTCGGTGCCGAACCAACGGACGAAGGGGATGCCGACGCCGCCAGCCAACGACTTGTAGACTCTGGCCTCGTACTCAAGTTGAGGGTGCTTGGCCTTGACGCTCTCGAGCTTGATGGCGATTTCCTCGCCGGAGATGATGTTGGTGCCGAGGTAGATGTCACCGAACGAACCAGAACCGATCTTGCGACCGATGCGGTACTTGTTACCAACGCGGAGATCCTAGAAGATGTTAGATACGGTACCAGCAGATCGAGTTGGAGCGAGACAAGCTGGGCACTCTTCACCGACATCAGACGTGTTGAGTCGACACGAGACCAACAACGTCGTCCGATGAACATGCCCATGCCGTATTTTGCCCCAAACCGCTTCCGGGGTGCCAACTCACCATGGTGGTCATCTTGGCCGATATGTTCTGAGTGCTTCTTTCCACGAGGAAGGAAGCGATTTGAGATAAATATTAGGGTGTCGATTGACGGGTTGTGAGAGACGTCAGCAGTGAAGCTGTGTGAAGACTGAGGGTAGAAAGGTCAGCGTTGATGCATGAAGGAATAAAATTCTTAGTACGTGACGTTAGGTGGATGGCTAAGTAGGTACGGAAGAGTGTTTCGGAGAGAGGAAGGAAGGTGGAAGTTGAAGAGTGGAGAGGGTTGGTTGAGGCGGCGGAAGCGACAGGTTGATTGAGGCAAAGCTCGGATCCACCGAGAACCTCAATCAACCCGAGGCTACCTGAGGCTCTCGCGTCGACTGATGCTTAACCCGAGAGTGATCCGAGAACGGGGACATCATCGAGGTTGCTGATGAAGCAAACAATGAAGCAAACTGCAGGAGATGATACTCACATCTTGTTGTATTCGGTGGTGTCGAAACCGGTGATTGCGTGGACGTGTTCGGGGGTTGTCGGTTGGTGAGGAGGTACCTGTGACGAAAGAGGCCGACCGGTGGTAGAATATGGCTCGGGGAAGTTGAGATGGAGACGAAAGAGTCTGGAGAGACTGGCGGTGAGTCGAGGGTCGGGAGGTCGAGGGAATTTTTGTAAATGATGCTGATGCAGGTGGAAACCTCTCCAACTAAAGCCGTGTCCAAATTGGGGAGGGACAGGTCGTGGTGTTGGGTATTGAGGGCCTTTGAAATCAAGGGCTCGAAAAGAGATCGTGGGGTGAAGGAAGAAGAGTAAGGCGAAGGTTGGAGGAAGAGGAAGGGGAAGGGAAAAGGGTACCTTAATGGGATGGGAGCCCAAAGTGGAGGCGAAAAGCGAGAAAGGCAGAAAGTGAGGAGGGCTGGCTCTGGCTGGCGGGCAGCGGGCAGCGGGCGGCGGACCACTGGGCTGGGGGGGGGTTAGGTACGGAGTAGGCAGACAGACCGCGGGCAGAAAGCGCTGTGAATGGGTACGGGCTTGGGCGTGGAGTTGGTTGAGTGAGAGAGGTGGGTGGGCGGTGGACGGAACACGGAGTGGGTGAGAGAGAGAGGAGCCTTAGGTAGGTGGTCCGGGCTGGCCCAGGCCTATGATTTTTTACGCGGGAGGGTACTTTGACGGGAAAGGAAGGTACGTGCGACAACGGGCAAAAAACGCGTGCATGTCCAGGTACCTCTTTTTTTTGTTCTTTCTTTCCTGACGCGATTCCTGGTCCAGGAGAGGTACCTTCCTCCATCTATTTTCTACCACCTCAGGTAAGGTAGGTAGGTATTGTGCCTGCCGTCATCACGATATCAATCCTTTCCCCGCTGCATTTAATGCATCTCAATGCCTCTTCGTCAACTCGCCTGTTGAAGCATCAAGCACCCAGCCTTCCTGTCGGTTACCTGCCTACCTACCTGGGGTGAGGTGGTCCGGGTTCGTACCGCCCGCCTCTTTTGATGCAGGAGTGGAGGGACAGGCGTTCCTTCCTTCGCCCTGGACCGGATATCTAAGCTTCAAATTCCAGGGCTCCTACTTCAGTCCAGTCCTGGTATCCGTATCTGCCTCCG